ACAGGATCTGGATCGGCCAGTTCTTGTAGATCGACGAACCACTCTCTGACCGGCCAGAAGGGCGCGACCAAAAGCAGTGTCATCCACTGAGTCGTGCGTAGTTTCAGTAGTATGCGTGGAAGTATGGCCACTGGTGGAAACGCGTACGCGTTTAGGTCGTCCCAAGAAATGGCTAGAGCGTCGAGAGCGTCGACAGAGAATCCGCAATCACATTCTTCACTCCTGGAATATGATTGGCTCGAACGGAGATGTTGAGATTGTCCACCAACTGGAAGAACCGTTGTGTCCACTGCAGGAGTTGAGGCGACCCTGTTGACCCCATCCGGTTGATGTGCCACACACTTCCGCTGCATTGTCCGACCGGACCAAGAGAGAGGTCGATCATAGAATCTTTTGCCAGTGAGTGATGGAAAGAATCACTACCCTGAGCTCTAGAACGTTGATGTGGTAAGCGCAATCTGTGATAGACCAACGCCCTGCCACTTGCTGATCGAGAAGGTAGTGAGTCGGGACGAACGGCCTCAAGCAGACTCCGCCGCAGACGTTCAACTCTTCCATCCACCAGAGGAGATGGGGATGGAGCGCCGGAGGTAACTTGATCAGGGAAAGCGGGTTGCCCACCCTGATGTGTGGAGCCAGGAATAACTGCAACGGTCCAAGTTGAAGCTGACCCCTGTGGGTCAACACCTGGGCCTACATCAAGAGATCCAGGAGCTCCTGCCACTGATGAAGAGTCCTGGGTTGAGACAACGCAAGGGGAATTAATCGCCGGATCTTGTAGAAATGGTCCCTCGGCACAAACAGTCTGTTGAGCTCTGTGTCCAACACCTCCCCGATGAACTCCATGAAGGGACCAGCTCCGACTTCTCCATGTTGACCAGCCAGCCTAACTGGCGAAGTAGCTGCATCGTGAACTCCATGTGACGTAAGAGGAGTGCATGGTCGGTCTGAGCCTGGATAAAATCGTTGATGTAAGTCTCGAACAGTATCCGCTTGCGATGAAGGAAGCTGGTGATGGGCTTCATCACCCATGTAAATAACCACGGAGCCGAAGAAATTCCAAACGGGAGCACCCGCCACTGGTAGTGGGTGCCCTCGAAGATGAAACGAAGACACTTGCGATGGTCAGGGAAGATCAGGATGTGAAGGTACGTATCCTGAAGGTCTAGGCTGACAATGTAATCCCCCGGTTTGATGATAGTCTTGAGTAAAGCCACCGACACCATCACGGAAATGAGGTGGTGGTTGTAGGAACATCTCGTTGAGGACCTTCATGTTGAAGATGAGTCTCAACTTCTTGGAATCCTTCTTTGGGACCAGAAATATTGAAGAGTAGAACCCTGAGTCGGTCGGAGTCGAGCCTAAGGATTCAATCGCAAGTTTCTGAAGAAGCGTAGTTATGATGGATCGTAGCACAGTCAGTTGACGAACGGGATACATCCTGTGCTCCGGAAACAATGTGAGAGGAGGGTTGCCGATGACCGGAAGTTGAAATACCTTGGACAGAGTGGATAGAACGTCCAAGATGGTCCAGTTGAGGGCATAAGTGCAAAGTCTTCCGCCCACTGGGGAAGTCATGATAGGCATGATTGGAAGCGGAAGGATCCAATCATGCTCTGATATCATCAAGTCACTGCTTCTGGGTCCTCTGATTGGAGGACTGCTTGGAACCAGAAGCTGGTCGAGAAGCAGTGAACGTTCGGTGCTGACGGTTGGAATGTCCTTTGTTCGAACCTCTTCCTCGAAAGGAAGTCGAAGATCCCGAATGGAGATCGGGGTTGGACGGCACATAGGTAGCTGGCCGCCATTGACACAACGAATCTTCTACTTGCAATCGCTGAAACTTCAACAGCTCCACCGAGACTTGCAAATGAGCATCCTGCCCAGCCTTAGCAGCTATATCCCTTATAACCCCGTTAAAGAGTGATCTACCTGACCAAGGTTGACGGAACAGATCTGTCTGGAATCTATCCTCCCACGAAGATAAGTGAAGCGGGCCCCTGCGCGGAACTGCCGTGAGGTAGGAGAAAAATGGGCCAGCTGATCCAAGATGGTTTGGAACTGCTCCTGTAACAACACCATCGCAGCCTGAATATAGGCCTGTTGAGGGGAAGCTGTATGTGAGACAGACATAGCCACAGCTTCAGTCGCCGTCAAAACCAAGTTGAGGGGAGCTAGGATCCTCCTCACGGTCTTCAACCAGAAAGGGAGAATAGGTCCTCTGTTTAGAACCCAACAGCACGATGTCATCATCCACAGAAGGCAAGCAATCAACGTAGAAAACCCATGAACATGGGAAGCCGTCAAGTTAAATCGGGGTGCCGTGAACCCATCCTTAACCTTTCTTAAGCTGTCAAACGCCTCATCAAGTGAAGCCGCAAGTTGAGTAATGCAGGGACGAGGTGGAAAAGTGATAGAGCCGAAATCCCCCCGGTTTCATATCAAAGCTAGTCAACAAGTCCGAAGGTGAACTGCTACGACGTAGTCGAAGGTTATCAGCAATCCAAACTAATAACTGAGGTGTGTCGACTGCATCCGCGCTGACATCTGAAGCCGAACTGCCATCTGAAGTAGGAGAAGGCGTAGCTGATAGAGGAGTTTCATCCCCGGAGCGAGGTGGAATGGCCAGAGGGCCAGCTGGCTGAACCCTCAGTGGTGGAGTTGGGACTGGTTGACGTAACACCGAAGCCACAGCGTGAACGATGGCATCAAAATCAAGAGGTCGAGATGCAGGACTCTCAGACGACGGATCCCAAGAAACCGGTAAAATAGGTCTGGCTAATGTGTGAGGCGTAGTACCACGAAGTAGGAGGGAATGTAGAACCAGAGGCTGGCATGGGTGGATGACCTGGCAAAGGCGGCAACGTAGAACCAGTAGAAAGCGGCACACTGGAAGACTGTGGTACACTGGAAGTAAGCATCACACCGGCAGCACCGAACCAGGTCAAGCGGCATATTGAAAATAGGAGGCGCTCCGACAGTAAACGCCAAAACAGGAGCGAGTGGCGCATAGGAGGCAAGTGACGTACCACCAGTAAGCGCCGAACCGGGAGCAAGCGGCGCTTCGACAGTAAGCGTCGAACCGGAAGCAAGTGGCGCATTGACAGCAAGCATCAAACCGGGAGCAAGCGGAGCTCTGACAGTAGGTGCCTAATCGGGAGCAAGCGGCGCTCTGGTAGCAAGCGCCAATCCGGGAGCAAAGGGCACATTGACAGCAAGCGGCGCTCTGACAGTAAGCGCCGAATCGGGAGCAAGCGGCGCTCTGGTAGCAAGCGCTGAACTGGAAGCAAAGGGCACAATGACAGCAAGCGGTGCTCTGACAGTAAGCACTGAACCGGGAGCAAGTGGCGCATTGAGGGTATTCGTCACATCAGAGGTAAACGGTGTACTGGAAGTTGGCAGTGCTCCATAAACAGGCGGGACGGCATATGAGGCAGAGGTAGAAAGCGCCGCACTGGAACTCAACGTCATACTAGTAGGTATCACAGAAGGGTATGAAAGCGCCGAACCGGGACAAAGCACCGAACTGGAGGCAAGCGGCGCATGGGTAGAAAGCGTAGAGCCAATCACCGTGCTGGAAAGCGCCGAACTGAACGTATCCACCCCTTGAGAGTGAATGCTGGGCATCAAACCAAGCGCCGCACTGGAAACATTGCGAAGGATCACCAAGGTTCTGAGAAATCGTCGCCAGGGTAGACGGACAGGATTGGCCAGATGAAGTAGTCAAAACTACAACTCTAGGCGGCGAACAATCTGGAATCACAATAGGACTGGATACTTGCGGATGAAATAATCGCCGGAGATCCTCACTCAAATAGGAATTGGAAGCCTCACATAGAAATTCTTCATTTGGCGACGGGGACTTAGACCGGCGAGCAGGTGTCTTGGTACGACGTTCAGTTCTCGATCGTTTAGCAGAGGAAGGACCCTCCGAAGGTTTACGGCGATTTCTGTCAGACAAACGTCGAGAAGCCATACGGCGATATTCCGAAAATGCATCATCATCAAGTGGAGCAAAGTAAGTGCACCGGTGCGACCAATCGCAACATCCCAAACAATCCACACACAACGTATGCGGGTTCGCAATGTTTGTGCTTAGTAGAATTACTGCGACGAGATCTACCCATCTTGATCACAGTCAAAATCTTCACTAGAAATCAGCACACATCCACATGATGTAGCGACAAGAAAGAGAATGACAGGCACAGAGCGTCACGTGATCATCTGAGCGATCTGCACACTTACTGAGATGATTGACAGGTATTGTTATCGGAGTGGGGCAGAGGTCAGGTGGGCAGGGGCCAGGAAGTGACTACAGCACGTTTCCACACATGGTCGTAGAAGAAGAGAGGTGCATACCGTGAGATAGGATAAGTTTAAAAATTTATTTGTTAGTGAATGAGTTACTACTGTTTCAAACGCAGTCAGCAACAAGCTAAATCATACTGTAATAATACAGTCTGGTACAAAGAAACCCTGTGCTTAATCAGCTGACAGGAATGTGGTATTCTGCATCACAGCATTTGTGTAGGAGGATAGGTAACTGGGACCATTGTGCCCCTAAACACTGATAACAATGACAGTCCCCCAGTGTGAGTGAGTGATGGAGGGAGGGAATAGAGTGAGTGGAATTTGTCACATAGGCAGTGCTTCAGCCATATTGTGACAATAAAAAGTTATGCATAACAAATATTTTATATTGTTAAAAACCTGTCTTCAAAGGACAGCAAAATAACTAGACTTATCACAGATTTATGTTTAAAACTATTACCTTACCACCGAGGGATATCGCTACACATACCAAGACATTACGTAAATGGGCTATAGACCACCGGCAGCCAAAGTGAGGCCACTATACAGGGACCATGATGACTTATTGTTCCCTTGCTACCAACATGGTGTCCCTAGCAGTATTTACAACATCCCTTAAGCCAATTGTCTGCAAGTCTAGCCAACAAATATTCCCCAGTATGGCAATGAGAAGACACTACATGACTTACAGCACAGAACAGCAGAGCTCCAAGGCAGGCATACACCAGGGTAACATACTGGAACATAACAGGTTCATTTATTTATACAGACACATGGCAGAGGATATTTGGCATTTTTTTTCAACAGAACATGAAATGTGGTAAACCTTAGATGTATACTCAACAACAAAGTTAAGGATAACCCCAATATTCAATACTTAAGTATTATATGGATCATAATATGAACAACTGAATACTGTAATATTGAAAATTGGGGTGGTCCTTAACTTGTTTTGTTGAGTATATTTTCACATTGTCAGTAGAATGGAGGAATGATGATTGAAAGATGTACAGGTTCACATCGACATCAGTAAAACATTACCCATGTAGCACCTGAACAGATATCATCCATTCATATTTCCTGACATTGTTTCTTGTTTCATTATACAATGTATTATAAATGTATCAACACATTCTGATTTTCTAATTATACAGACAACTGACAAAGCTGACCTCATATGAATGAGTGAGTGAGTTGGGTTCAATACTACTATTAATGTCTGAAGAAAGCCAGAATTGATGCAGGCCATGGACGTTTACCACTTTGTTGAAACCCATGAGCAAGGGTACGCTCTGCTGACACCCCTTGAAGCTCAACTGGGTCAAACTGTGCTTCAAACTGTGCTTCAAACTGTGCTTCAAACCCACAATCGAAGCGGTGGGGTAGACTGGTGCTTAAATGTTCGCTCGTCACACCAAAGGCTTGGGTTCAATTCCCACATGGGTACAATGTGTGAAGTCCATTTCTCGTGTCCCGAGCTGTGATATTGCTGGAACATTGCTAAAAGTGGTGTAAAACCATACTCACTCACTCAAACAGTATCCTCCCATTTGTCAGACATCCCAATAGTCAGACAGGTTAAAACAACAAACCATCTGGTTGAGTGCACAGCTAATCCCCTGCCTGTTACCTCTTAATGAAATAGGGATGGCCCATAAAATAAATAACAGAACAGAACTGGATTACACTATTACACTCAGCCAATATCCTTGGCATATGAGGTATGACAAACTCGCAATCATATTTTCTACCTCACCCATTGGATGCAACTATGCAAATTGCAACACCTTAGATGACTGGGCCAGCCATGCGTGCATTCTCTTATCACATGAACATAACAACTAACTGTACTTTTATTTCAATGTACCTTGCTTCTGATGATCGCACACAGAAGACCGAAGCAGAACAGCACGATGAGGAACACAAATAGCATGCCGCCCATCATTGTGAAATCCCACTGTAAAACACAAACAACAATAAATCTTAACAATAACAGTGTTGAAACAATTGCAATGCAGTTGAGATATTATGAGTTTGCAAATTATCATGTGAAAGTTTGTACGAGACAAGGATTTCTTGGCACATCGACAAGCTATCATTATACAACAGTGTTGTAAAAAGAAAATGACATCTCAATTATATCTAATGGAACTGAGACAACTATTTGTCATGATAAGCTATGAGAATAGACAAATACATCTCCAGTGACAGATAGTTACCGATGTATCACACCACTAACCTTAGTTTGGAAAGCGAATATGGTCAGGGACACAGTCACAACCTGCCACAAAAACAACAACACATTTTCAGAAAATATTATAACAATGACAGAAGAGTTACTCACTGTACTAAAGTTTTAAAACTCATGATGATGGTCCTGTGTTAATAGCTAGTTTACAAATCTGGAATTTCCTTTCTGTTTTAGAACACTGGTGGACTAAATTTGAAACTTGATGATGGAGACTTCATCAACTACATTTATCAAGTTTAAGTGTTCAGGTTGGGTGACACTGTAAGAAAACAATCAGTCATCTTATTTCCCAAATGTACACATGAACTTTAGGATTACTTTCAAAACTAGATAAGTCATTATCCTACATAACTGCAGAAATATTACATATGTGTGCTATATACCTCCTCACTTTTTGACATTTTGGACAAAAAGCAGATAGAAATGAAGTCTTTCAAGAAATGCTATCTTAGAGTTTCGGCAAAGTTTTAGGAACAATACTTGTTCCATATCAGGAAGGGACTTAAGTGGATGATTTGGTAATCTGATTACTCAAGTGATAACACCGTTGGTGAAAGTAGAGATACTTTTGACATCCCTGTAAATCAAAAGCTTGTAAACCAATTGATCAAACCCTCTCGTATGTCCTTAGGTGTCATCATTACAAATGGTCTTTGTGGTGATGATAGCCATGGTGTGGTCTTGTGCATAGAGGCTCGGTCTCAAATCAGTTGAAGTTAAGCAACGTTGGTCACGGAGAATCCTTGGATAGGTGGCCGTGTTTGGTAGCTTGACTCCTGAGAGTTGGTCTCACCTTTGGTCTCACCTTTGGTATGAGTTTGTTTAAAAAGTATTGGCTCTGTTCACTTAGCAGTGAATGGGTGTCCGGTGGGATAAGATTGTTATATGACTGTTAATCTTCTAGTGTTTCACAGGCAGCTTAGGACAACCAGGGTGAAACTGTCCGTGCTTTGCGAATAATTTGAAGCTCACCACCTTCCTCTGTTCATCTCATTACCATCACTATGTTTTGTTTGTTGCATACGCCACACATAGCAATTTTCCAGCTGTATGGCAGCGTTCTGTAAATAATTGAGCCTGGATCAGACAACCCACTGATCAACAGCATGAGCATCGATCTATGCAGGGAACCGATGACATGTGTCAACCAAGCAGGCAAGCCTGACCACCTCATCCCGTTAGCCACCTCTTACGACAAGCATAGGTTGGTGAAGACCAATTCTAGACCAGGTCCATCACTATCTATTCAATAAGCAGTCTCTAATCTAGAAAGTTATGTATGAGACAAGTGCCGATGCTAGGAGTTCAGTAATAGGTTGCATTCTGATAGTTGTAAAGAACAACTAATTTGCATTACTGACTAGAAAACAGCAGTATTAATACTTCTGTAGTCATATTGTCTCGTGATTAGTGACAAGCTGCCTCCACATCACAGAGGAATGTTAGGAGCTGAGCCAAGATATCACACTGGTACCCAGTATGATACCAAATGTTACTATGGAAAGCTGGAGGCCAAGCAAGCACTTAAACTATTGTAAAAGCACAGCTTCTTTAATATATACAGCTTCAGCAAAAGGTACGTCAATCATAAGATTAAGTGTACTTCATTTAAGAAAAAGTTTCCCTTATTTAAGAAAGAGTGTCCTTCATCTTAGACAAAGGTAACAGTAAATTCATTTGAAAGCAAATATAATACATGAATTGTAATAGTTCTTGTTAAATAAGGATATTAGGTACAATATTTTAGGGATATTTCAAGTTCAAGCCTTGAACAGTGATCAGTTCATACCTACAGTGAATGTTAATGATGTCAATCAAGCAGATCTTCACTATAAGCTGGAGTCAAAAACTACATAGATACTGAATGGCATAAAATCATTAAATAATGATAAACATCAGGTGTAGATGAGTTATTACCAGAAATGTTAAAATCAACACTACCTATGTCTTACATGCATGCCATATATGATAAGATGTATTGCACTCACCAGTCTTGCTTGTAGTGAAGGTATAATTTTAAATCTTTACCAATATGGCCAAAGAGAGGATCCTAATAACTACTGGGCCAAAAGTTTAAAAAGTATATTCAGAAATATATTTGCAACAATAAGTGTAAATTAAAATCATGGGCCAAAAATAATAAATCATTATGTAAAGAACAAGCAGGTTTTAGGTTTGGATACTGCTGAAATACATGTTGAAGAGGAGTATAACTGTTCCCTGACTTAATTGAATTCTGACTATTGTTGTTTGCTGATAACGTTATTTATATTTCTAATTGATCAATCCATCTTACATTTAACAAAAGCAGTGTATAAATAATGGGACAAACTTGCTAATGAAATGTTTTGAAATATATTAGGACATAATGAAAAGTCCCACTTGGGACAGTTTCTAAATAATTGATAAAAAAATCAAACCCATCCTTCTGTATGGATGTGGAACAACAGGACATCAAAGATTAGAGGTGGAAGGGAGGGTCTAATGTCTCGCAGGTAAACATTATCTTGGTACAGGCATTAACACTCTTAACCTAATGATATTTGGGGAATGTGGACCCACTGTTCATACAGTTTGGTAAAAATGCATTAAATACAGGCCAAAACCACTCCATATGCCATCTAATAGACTCCAGTGTAAGGCTTATGAAATGTTAGTTAATCTTGATTCAATCTGTAGACACAACTTGGCAAGCAAAGTAAGACATAGTCTGTTTAGTCCAGGTCTTGGCTATGCTTGGGTTAACCAAGATGTTGGATGTGGTACTAGTTTTCTCAACATTTTTCACACCAAGCTATATATATATGTAGTGTCCAGCATGGACAAGCATATATGTATCTTTTCCACCATATCAATGTTATTCAAGATGTCAACATCCAGTCCAAGTCAAGGCAAGATAAGCCTTGAAGCAGGCCCTCCTCCAATCAAGCTGAGTGCTGTTTCTGAAGCAGTTTATGATGTTCTTGGCCAATCCAATGTCAGCATAAGTGGAATTGAGGGGAGCTTCAACTTTTTTAATATTCACTCTAAATTTTACATTCAAACATTCATTTAAAATATTTCTTTTCACAGACAGACAGTTTATTCAGTAATTTAGGCCAAATGACACAGAGTACAGTTTGGTTTTATAACTCGGTCTTAAGAAAATTCTGAAACTTGAGAGTAACTCTAAAAAAATCTCAGTATTTTCTACACTTAGGAGTAACTTTTAATTCTTAGAATTTTTATAACTACGGCCAGATGTGTACTGAATATTTAAAATGGCACTGTAGTTTTTATACATTTCATGTATATGGGTCAATGGCCTATGAAACAATGACATTTGATTTGATTATAAATATGGCTAATATCTGCAAATACTTCAAAATGTGAACAATCTCAGTTGATACATTACAACACCTGAGGTAGATCTCAGGTAAATATTTCTGAAGTGTGAAGAAGCCAATGTACTTACGGCAGTGACTCCTACAGCCATAAGGACAGCATCTTGGTCATAGTGGCTGCAATACATCAACATTGAGTGAGTGAGTGAGTGAGTGAGTGAGTGAGTGAGTGAGTGAGTGAGTGAGTGAGTGAGTGAGTGAGTGAGTGAGTGAGTGAGTGAGTGAGTGAGTGAGTGAGTGAGTGAGTGAGTGAGTGAGTGAGTGAGTGAGTGAGTGAGTGAGTGAGTGACATTTTATGCAAAAGTATTTTTGAAATATTTCATAGAATGTGAGTGGGGGAGGAGAGTCCAAAGTATGCCAAATACCAACTGGAACCAAGCTGTATCACTGGCCCAAATCTGGAATTCTTACTACCATCAGGAGAGTTTGGCAAGACCAGTGATACACCTCTGCTCATAGTTGATTGTAACTGCCCTAAATACTGACTGACTGAGTTTGGTTTTACGCCGCTTTTAGCAATATTCCAGCAACAACACGGTGGGGGACACCAGAAATGGGCTTCACACATTGTACCCATGTGGGGATTCGAACCCGGGTCTTCGGCGTGACGAGCCAATGCTTTAACCACTAGGCTACCCCACCACCCCCCCCTAAATACACTATACATGTAATCACAGCTCTGTTTCAGGAAATCACTCATGTGATGGAGATCAACATGCTCTAGAATAATGTTGAATGTTGGAATCAACAGTATGGATGGAAGCTAAACATGAAAGTCAAGGTGATTAAGATTTTCTTTGTCTCTTCATCAAAACACCAGAAGGAAACTCCTGAGACATTCTACATTTCTAAGCTGAATGAGAAGTCTGAGGAACATATGAAAAATGTCCCTCTCCAGAAGAGTACAATGCAGAAATATACTGACGTTTGACAGAATACTCTTAATCCTTTTAATAATAAAAGTTAAAAATATTGTTGTGTATTCCTATATATACCTTTTCCACAGAAAAAGGTATATCACTAATTAAGAAATGAACAGTGATTCACATGTGTTACCATCACAATAAGATACAACTATCCATTAAGGTGATATAAACTCTGGTTGATGGAAGCACCTGTTACAGTGCTACCATACAGAATTAGTGCCAAGGCTCACCTGGCCACTGTCCCAAGCAGGAATCCTTCACAAACAGTCTGCAAAAAAATAGAAGACATTCACGTTTTCATGCATCCTTGTATGCTTGCAAAGGTGCAAGTCAATTTTTTGTTATGAGTGAGTTTGGGTTTATGCCATTTTTAACAAAATACCGGCAATATTAAGGTGGGAAACACCAGAAATGACCCTCATACATGTGGAGAATCAAACAAAGGACTTCAACATGACTAGCAAATGCTTTATTAGGCTACCCAGTACCCACTGTTTGTCACGAGCGAGGGGACGGTGGGGGAAGCCTAGTGGTTAAAACATTAGCTTGTCATGTCAATGACCCAGGTTTGATTCCCCACACGTGTACAATGTGTGAAGCCCATTTCTGGTGTCCCCTGCCATGATATTGCTGGAATATTGTTAAAAGCGACCTAAATCCATACTCACTCACTCACTTGTACTGATCGAGTCTGAAATGTTAAAACATTCTTGCTATAAACATGTCCATTGCTACTGCAGTGTATCATTATCAGTCCTGGTAACCTGTGTCCCAATAAACATTCATCTGCATTACTGTTTACTATTCTGAAATATTCAAATACCTGTCACTCATGAACGCTGCAAAAAGAATGTACCTTACCAGTCACAAACACTGCAAACAGAATGTGCCCCACAACTTACAAATACTGCAAGCAGAATCATGTTGGTTGGACTCTGACGCCGGACATTTGGACAGCAGGCCAGGACGATGAGAGCAATGAAAGTGATGGCCCTACAAGAGACCAAAACACAAACTGAATACTGACACGATTGACAGCATCCTTCAGCTTATCATGATAGTTCCATACTACTGGAAATGAAGAAACCTGTTACTGTAGTCTGTCAGTTGGGATAAATCAAGCTTTGAAAGGTATTTCTGTAACATTTCAGTAATGTGCCTGCTGGTGTGATCATCGCTAACAATAGGCAGATCAAATAGATCAATAATAGATCAATAATTGATTGTAATCGCAAACCTGACTACAAAACTCATGGCGGCCATCAAGGCAAACAATCATAACATTGAGGAACTGAAACAGGCACTGACTAATACCATGACCAAGAAGATAGAGGATACTTCCTGTTAGACACGTATGCAATATGTTGTTTACACTGCAGTGAGGAAAAACTGTATCAGATATTTATTTCTTGATATAACAAACAAAACAATAAGAAACATACTTTCTAAAGTTTAATTTGATGTTTCAGTATATTTAATATCGATATGTTTCCTAAGGTCTTCGATAATCGCTGACACAAGCGAGATTCATGGATTGACTGAATGTTCTATCAATGGCTCCAGCACTAGTACAGGCTTTATGAAGTAACATTATGTAATTACACAGACAGGCAGGTGTGATACTTGAACACATGACATGTTATGATGTCTGTTGATTGCAAAATGTTATACATAAAAAAATGAGCATGTATTTACAAAACCCAACATCTCTATATATACACACAATGAGCCGTGAAGACGGCATCTGCTAATGAACCAGCCGTTACACTTGAGTGCACACCCACCCGCTCTGACTGGGTTCGGTATCCCTGCTGCTTCGTTTCGAGGGAGGTAAACCCAAGTACAAAATATTGCACTTTTGATTTGCGATTATACGCTTATAATTTTGTTTATTTGTTTTTTCATAATCAGCAATGCATATTATATGTCATGAAGAAGTGATAATTGTGTTTTAATTATGTATGATTTTTTGGTTGCACGTGACCTTTAACTATTTCAACATCCTGCTACATAATCAAGAACGGGGGAAAGCAAACCAGAAGTTGATACCATGAGTCCAGTGTCTGATCAACTCAGACAAACAGATACAACAGTGAATCTGTACAATAAACGATAGAGTGCTGGGTCCCATTCACTGCCCAGATCTTAACAACACAGCTGCCATCAATTGGTCAAAGTATGGTAGTTACCATCATCTTAGCAGTACGATCACTTTGTTGGACATGGACCTACTCCAACAAGCACATATTCACTACTACTTACCAAGGAGGCATTCATCATACGAATATGTTTGTTTGGTTTAATACCACTTTCAGCAATATTCCAGCCGTACAGTGGCACTCCATAAATAACAAGTCTGGACATGAACATAGCACTCTAATATTTCTGCTATATGACAGTGGTATGTAAATAATCTGGATCAGAAATTCCTGTGATTGATATCATAAGCAGTAATCAACAAAATGGGACAGGGTATCACACATCAACCAAGTCAGCAAGCCTGATCAACCAATCCAGTAAATGACCTAATACTGTAGAACATGGTTATAGCGAACACGGATATAGAGTACAAACAGATATAGCGAACACATATAAAAGTCCCGTTAACAGTCCTTTATAATATCATTGAAATTATATGTGAATAACGAACTCGTGAGTAGCGAATTAACGGCTATAGCGAACTGATTTACTACCCCCAAGACCCAATTAACGACGTGATTAGCGAACTCACTCAGTGTCAGCTCAGCCACTTAGCGGTACAGTATACATCAGTCTTGTTGGCGGTGAATAAACATTGTTTGATGGTCATTAATTAATTAACAAAACAAACATATCGTGTTTAATGAAAGTTTTTGTTGACGAGGACGGTATCCATTGCCGTAGTATGATTGGCTGCCTTAGGTAACGTGTCTGATTGTGACCAATCACGATCCTTATAGCAGACTGTGGCGAAAAAGCGTCATTAGAAACCAATCTTTATCCAATAAAATCGCTTTTTACAACTGTGAAAATACTCTCGGCAAGGGTACAGTGATATTGTTGATGTTCCAGAGCTGTCGATACCAGACACCACACGATTCGCCTCGCATGTTATTCATACGAAGCTTCCAAAACGGAGGTATCTCCCACTGTTGTGTCATGTTAACGAACGGAAAGCCTGATTACATAAAAATGAAAATATAAAAGAAAAAGGCACGGGCATGTTATGACATGTCACAAATGGAAAAAAATCGCTACAGTTTTTGCTTCCTTCGTGGTTTATCTGGACATTATAAATGTAAGCTTGCATTTTCATTAAAAAATAAATTTATTTAAGTTGTAGTTGTATTATTTCAATTTTATTATAAAAATAAACTTCATATTTATCAACATGATATAGGTAATGTCTGAGAATGTGTACATCTCTACAATCCAAGATGGCGGTCAACTGTCAATAACGAACAACGGATATAGCGAACTAAATTTCTTGGTTCCTTGGAGTTTGTTGTATCCGTGTTCTACTGTACGTAGTTTCTGAAAACCAGTTCTAACATGGATCTTTCCAGGGATGCTGTTTTCCCAGCATGTAATCACAATGGGTAGAGTAACTGACAACACAACTCCATCAGTATCAGTTGGAGAAACTCATGAAGTGGTATGAAACAGAACAAATTTAGCGTCACTAGTCGTGAAGGCAGTGTTGAGAGTGCAAAATAAGTCACCTGTATATCGGAAAATCATTTGTCATTGTTGACAAAATATATTGTCTTCACTTGGAACTTATTTATGTTGCAACACTTACAGTGCCAGGAACCACATCCATGGATTGTTCTTGGAGTATTCCCGGACCTCATAACTGTAAAGAAACAAAAGTTTTAATTGTCATTTAGTTCACCAATATTCTAAGAGATTGCATGTTGCATGTAGATGGGTACTGGTGACAGTTCCAGTCAACTTGTCATGACTGGGGCCAAAAACATGTAATTTTTAAAGTAAAATTGATAGTTTATACTTATCCTGAATCTTGAGGAGAAGCAAAAGATCATGAGTCAGGATAAGGAAAAATAAATACACTTCACTGGTCTGTGCTTTTAAAGTGGGCAGTTACCCTTGACCTCCACCACTGGTGTTATGCAAGGTATGTCCATCTAATGTTTGGTTAATTTGAGGGTACCCAGATTACTCACTGGGTGGCAGTATACCTATTTAGTAAAAGAACTAACATAGAATTCCTAAATAATGTAATTTTCTGAGTAAAATTGATATTTTATACTTATCCTGACTCATGCTTAATTGCTTGTCTTCTTCTTCTTGCGAACATAGTGGAACACTTGTATCTCCCAATTGAAGCTCCCTTCAATGTAAAACCACTAATCACTACTCACCAAGAGTTATCCCTCCTTCCTGTTTTGGCGGGAACTACCGCCACTGTTCCCCCACATGCTTCACTCTCTCCTGAATATGAGCCCGACACTTGAATTTACAGGGAAATCCAAAGTGTCTTGTGGGGAGGTTGGGAGGGCTTACCTCATGAGTCAGGATAAGTATAAAATATCAATTTTACTCAGAAAATTACATATTTTTCCTTATCTTGACTCATGCTTAATTGCTTGTAGAATCCGACGGAGAAGGTGGTGAGAAAAAGCACTTTAGGATTTAATTAGTGAATTTTACGTCAAAATAAAAAAAACCTACGGGAACTTCATAATGGCACTGTAATTATGCTAAATTCTGCTGCTGTAAGCAAATGTGTTCTTTCAGCTGCCTTTTGATGGGGGGACCACAATAGTTAACTTTTGGTCCTATTTCTGTTAACATTTCAATGTGGATTTAGTGACTCCAAGGTGGAGAAGCGACCCAACTGTACTAGTAAACTTACAAGTACTGGGTTTATCACTTATGCTAGTCTTGAGATGTGCATTGATACTGAAGCAAACTCTACTGAGTGTAGGCTTGATAAGTCATGTGATAACACAGCAAGACTACGTCTCATCTTCTGTGGGGAACTGTCAACTGCTGTGCGACAACCAGAGGGCCGAAATGGTGAATGCCTGAGACGTCCTCGGTGGCGATAACTCTCAAGTAGTGGTTTGCAAACACCATGTCCGATTTCCAGAAACAGCCCTCCATGATCGTGTTAAGCGAGCAATTCCCATGTAGAGCGAGTGTTGACGCCAGTGCTCTAATTTCGTGAGGGTTAGAGGCTCTTGGAGGATCGAGTCCTGCAGCCTTGTAGGCTCGTGAGTATGACAGTTCTTATCCAAATTGATATTGTAGTGCGGGGAGACTTCTGTCTGTGTGTAAGCTGTTGATATCGGGACTGAAAAGTCGTTTAAACTTAGCGTCTCCTCATTCTGGATCGATGTAGATAAACTTTCAATGCTCTCACTGGGCACAAGGATAAGTCAAAGCGTATCATGTGGTCCAGTATGGAGGATAGTGCTGGGGCGTGGAATTGTCTGTCCGGTTGACCTGGCAGTTGATTCTTAGCGATAAAATCCCATCGCGAGTCCCATGTGCACTGTGTTTTGATTTTCATCAAATTCGCGTTCTCTCGTAATCTAGAGCATGAATTTCCGACATCCTGGCTGCTGTTGCTAGGGCTAGCAGGAACAGCGTTTTCTGTGTCAAGAATTCAAAGGATGTCGTCTCCAGTGGTTCGTAAACGTCACTTGTGAGATGTTTGAGAACAATATTGAGGTCCCATGCCGGAGCGCGAAATCTCTGTTTTTGGTCCTCCAATCTGTAAGAGCGTAACAAGGCCAGTAACTCTGGTACTTTGGTTAGCTTTGCACCCGTCCTCATAGTTATCACTGAGCTCAATGCCGCTAGGTATGTTGATAGTGTAGACCCTTTCAGATGTTTGGTTTGTCGTAGGTGACAAAGATAGTCTGCCACTTGAGGATGTGTTGCATTTCTAGCTGTAAATCCCTTTTTAGCAGCATAGGTCTCAAAACTGCGCCACTTGTCGTCGTACAAGTTGCGTGTAGAATTGCGTAAAGCAAGCGTGACTGCTTTCGCCGCTCTGGCTGAGTAACCTCTCTTGTTTAAACACGCCTTGATACAGTCCATACGTGTAGTTGGAATACCCTTGGGTTGCCGTGCGCTTGTTTTGTGTGAGGATGTACTAGTAGATTCGACCACTCTCGTAGTTGCAGTATTGGAGGTCCGAGTTCTTGTATGAGAATGGGGAACCATATTCTTGCTGGCCAGTAAGGAGCGACCAAAATCAGTTGGAGGCTCCTTGTCTGGCTGATTTTCTGTAAAACCTTTGGTATAAGAGCTGGTGGCGGAAACGCATACGCGTTGAGGCCTTCCCAAGATATGCTGAGAGCGTCCGTTGCCCACGCTCGTGGGTCTGGGACTGGAGAGACAAATGTGTTAGCTGATTGTTGAAGCGTGTGGCGAATAGGTCTATTAACGGAGCTCCTATTTCCTTGATGATCTGTGTGAAGATCTCTGGATGGAGCATCCATTCCGTCGGCGATGGTAGAGTTGGACGGGATAGTGCGTCTGCTAGGACATTCTTGGCTCCTGGAATGTGACATGCCCTTACGTGGATGTTCAGATCGTCGATTAGGTCGAACAGCTGAAAGCACAGATCTAATAGGTTCAATGATCTTGTTGAGCCTTGCTTGTTTATGTAAAACGCCACTGTCGAGTTGTCTGTGTGTACCATGAGATGCGCATTCTGTAGAATGGTGCTCCAATGGAGTATGGCGTTGAATGCTGCTTTCATCTCCAGCATGTTGATGTGCAGACGTTTCTCTTCGTGATTCCATATCCCGGATGCCACATGGTTGTCGAGATGTGCTCCCCAACCTTGGAGTGACGCGTCTACGTATAGATGGGTCTTGAACTCCGGCTCTGCTAAATAGATGCCTTCGCAAACATTCGACCTCCGGGTCCACCATAGTAGATGAGGTCTGAGATAATTCGGTAGACCGAAGGGTTGTAGGTCATCAAGATGAGCGTTGATGAGGACCTGTAACGGGCGTAGCTGTAGTCTGCCTCTGGCTGTCATGTCTTGTCAGCGGACGTGAGGAGACCCAACAGACTCTGCCACTGTCGTAGTGGCCACGGAGAGAGTAAGGCTTGAGGGATGGTCTGTTGAATCTTGAGCCATCGGTCCTCTGGCACGATGATACGGTTCTGCGTCGTGAGAAATCTGATGCCTAGAAACTGTAGGTCCTGCGTAGGTTCTAGGTCCGATTTGAGTAGATTCACTAACCATCCTAGCTGAGTTAGTAGATTGATGGTGAAATTCAATTGTAGTTTGAGACGGACTGGGTCTTGGTCTACTTGAATCCCGTCGTCGAGGTAGAATGCACTGCGTAGCCCTCGATGATGTAGATATGTGACTATTGGTTTCGTTACTCTTGTAAACAACCAGGGGGCCGATGATATTCCAAATGGTAGGACCTTCCATTGGTAATGTAGCCCGTCTAGTGTAAATCTGAGGTATTTTCTCGAGTCGGGATGTATCTGGATATGCAGGTAGGCATCCTGTAGATCTATGCTGGCCATGTAGACCATCGGACGGACGAGGTGGATTAGTTGAGGTAGATGTATCATGCGGTACTTGGGAGGTCTGCGTAGATAATCCCTGTTGAACGTGCTCATATTGTAGATGAGTCAAAACTTTTCTTTGGAATTTTTCTTTGGAACCAGGAAAACTGGGGAGTAGAAACCTGGTTCGATGTTGACTTGATCCAAGATTTCTATGGCCCGCTTGATTAGAAGAGATGAGACAGCCTCTCATAACTTCTCTATCTGATGTGTCTTGTAGTCGAACTTGTGAGGGTTGACTGTAAGCCGGGTGGTGGTGGCGTCCAGGTTCTGTGGAACCGCTGCGATGGGGTCGATCGGGGGCAGAGTGAGCGTGTCATCATCTGTCATAAGATAGGTGTGAGCCGGATTATCTTCTTTAGATGGTGAAGCCAAGTCCAATCCATTAGCCATCCAGTAACGTATTTCAGAGTCCGAAAATATGATGCCGCCATCATCCTCAGTAACAGGAGTGCTGAGAAAGGGACGTTGATACTCTTCCGACGGTGAACGAGGTGGAGTCCTGCGTGACTGTGGTAATCTGGGTGGCGATCTCACGAGACCACGTGGAGACCTCCGCGGCGGAGACTTGTTGGGCTTAACGCCGTGGTGACCCTGCGTGGGAGACCCGCGGGGAGAGGAGATCGACGTGGTGAATGGCCCGCCGAACTGTGCCTGTAGGGTGACCTACGCGGGGACCTGCGCGGAGATGAGCGACAGTGGGTTCGCGAAGGTCCTGGTGAATCCCTCGATGATCTATGGGATGAAGATGTCTTGGATACTGTAGTTGGACAACCAGCCTTTGTGAAGGCCTTGGGGTTCATCTGAGTCCGCACTTGGGAGTGGCGACTGGTCCTTCGCGAAGGCCTTCGCAAAGGCTGGTTGTCCGAGCCAGAGTCCGGGGATGAGTGATTCCTCCTTCGCGAACGTTTTCGTGAACGTCGATCATCCAAGTCCGAAGCAGGTGAAGATCGTGTAGCCTTTCGCGAATGGCTTCGCGAACGCTGATCGTCCGAGTCCTCCGCAGGGGCTGGCTGAGTCGGCTCTCGCGCAGGCTGGTCCGGTAGTGTAGTTCTGCTGGCAGAAGTCACGTTGATGGCAGGCCCCTCAGAGATGATGTTTGCGTTGGAGCCTTCAGCGAAGGCTCGGGGCCCTGGGTTGGTTGTCTCTTTTCCAGGCCGTAATGCTCCTCCATCATCTCCATGATCTGCTGGGAGAACCGCTGCATAAAGTCGCCCGGGAAGGTCTGCGGTGGTACCAGCGCTGCCCTTTCTGCGTTGATGGTGACGGGGCCCACGGGACGATCATCTGTTGTCAGCGTTGATACATCGGGTTGAGATTTGATCTGCGCTGAAGTCACCGTAGCTGAGACCGGTCGTTTCTTGTGATGAACATCTGGGATGATGATCGGCTGATCATCATACAGGCCCTGTTCTGGCGACGGGAACATTCTCGGTCGAGAAAGTTCTAGTAGTCTGCGCTGACTTCCCCTTGGTGGTGGACGCTGCCCTGGGGGTGCGAAGTCTGCGCTGGGTGGTTGACGACCTCCGAGTCTTGGACTGCGACGACGGGATGACTGGAGATGCAGGTCTCTTCTTGGAGGTGGCGGACTTCGTCCCACGCCTCTCCTCCGAGGGAAACTCCAGCGGAACACCAGATGGTAGGGGGTCGTCCGACAGCAGTTGACTGGTGAGGGACTCAGCTGACTTATCCATGACTGGATCAATCCTGCGCGACCTATCTGCGGCACGTCTCAGGACGCAAAGTAAATATTTATTAAATTCACAAGTTGATAAATGCTTGCAATAATTGCAGCGTGAGCTGAAAGAACATGGTACTGTGCAACTAGGGCATATTAGGTGCGGGTCAGCAGCAGAGAAACGTAACTTACATACGGAACAGATTTTCATGAACGTAAACTACTGAACAACCATGGAATACACCGTGAATAAACAGTGGTAAGTACGAATAAATATCAAAACATACTGATGAAGGATACTAGCTTAACCTCTATAAAGAACTTATAGAGGTAACTAACTAAATAATCAAAGGATATAGTGCCGTAAGGAGACACAGGCGCTCTCACAACCTGCTCACTGGGCGAAGAAGGAGAGAGTGAAGCATGTGGGGGAACAGTGGCGCCAGTTCCCGCCAAAACGGAAGGAGGGACAACTCTTGGTGAGTAGTGATTAGTGATTTTACATTGAAGGGAGCTTCAATAGGGAGATACAAGTGTTCCACTATGTTCGCAAGAAGAAGAAGACAAGCAATTAAGCATGAGTCAGGATAAGGAAAAATATACAAAAATCTTTATCCAGTGAAGTAATTCAAGACCAACATTATATATATATATATAATATTCATGCAATATACAGACAGTATGTTAAGTAGTAGTTTCTTCATTCTAATCTGAGAACTTGGTCCAAATACATCATGTCCTGGTCACTGTTGATTGGTCTTGGGCTACGCCTTTTTGACAATTCATCGAGCAATCACCAGCGACCAGGCCATGAGTCGCTTGAGTGATTAGATGACGTAACTGGTTTGTACCACCCCCACATTCTGCATTGAAATTTCATGGGATATTTGAATTTAAAACCATTCTGTTTGAGTCTGCCGCCATGTCTAGTTGCCATGTCTAGACGACATTACGCTGTCACAAATGGTTGACGAAATTGAATGTGCTAAACTCTGGGATGATACAATTGATGACATCACTCTCTCACAAGCTGCCGATGTAATGGAACCTTGTACCATGCCCCGACTGCAGTCCCTTTGATTTCAGCCGAGGTGTATTGTATACTTAGGTTTGCTAAATGTAGGTGTGGCTAAAATTGCAAAGAGCCAGTCAGAGTTGCTGTCGAAGGCAGCTCAAAACTGTGGTGTAACTATACAATACACCATGCCTGAGATCAAAGGGGCTGCAGTTGGGGCATGGTACAAGTGAATTTATTCATGCCATAAAGAGACACATGTGTGAGTGAGTTTAGTTTTATGCCGCTTTTAGCAATATTTCAGATATATCACGGCGGAGGACACCAGAAATGAGCTTCACAAATTGTATCCATGTGGGGACTCAAACCCGGGCCTTTGGAGTGACAAGCTTTAACTACTAGGCTCCCCACCACCCTAGAGTCACATGAAGAAACAACATTTTCAAGAGGTGCAATACTTACACATATAGGAATAGTGACATAATGGCAATGGTGACTGCTATCTGACAGGTGAGAATCCCATATACCTTGCGGATAAATCCTGCAAAGTAGAATGTTTCAGTCTTGCATCCAGTCATGGTGATTACACTGTTTTGAAAACACGACACTGTCAACACTAACACACAGACCTGCTCCAATAAATGCTGCCTGACCTGACTAGACAAATTTTAAGTAAATTTGTAAATTTTGTCTCCTTCCACAATATATATTATGCCAAACACTTAACAGTCCATATTTTTATGTGTATAGTACATGTTCTTTCAGCGAAAACAGCAGCACAAAAGGGGGATACAGTTGTCCGATAACTATTATCAATAGGGCTGGCTGAAATGATTGATAATCAAAAATATAGTAGACAGGACAAATTATGAATGATTATTGATAGGAAAATTGTGACAATGTGTTATGGATAATATCAAACATTAACATTTGTGAAGGGAAACAAGTTTTAATTTTCTCACACAATATCCAATGTTAGGACTTTATTCATGGTCTGCTTCTAAATTATGTTCTGTTCTGTTTTGTCAGTAACCCATGCACAAACATGTCACCACTCACCAGTGATGTGAAACACAGTCATTTCTCCCACACATTTTTGCATTTTTGCTCAAAGTTACATCATCAAAATTTATCGAGAATCCCTCGATATTTAGTTAAATTATTATCGATCTCTATGATCAGATCTATAGTGATAGCCAGCCGTAATTATCAAACATTGAATTCATTTTGCATACATGATCACTGAAAACAAATTTCACTTGCATGTGGTTTTAATAACTTTGAATTGTTTGCAAACATTGCTTCAGAATGTTCATGTACTAGCCTGCTAAAGTAACACCAGCCTGAGCAGTTAGAAGCCAAGGCTATTTCCATATGTAGCTATTATTACTTCTAAACATTGATAAACAATAGAATCATCAGCTTAGGTTGGTAGATTGTGTTTCAAATGCATCAATGCATTGGTAACTGTCAATTTGAATCCTGATAATGCTACATACTGATACAAATACACATAGTTATTAATACAGTTGTTAATTTGAAACAAACTACAGACAAGCTACCTTTATTCATTCATATTTACAAATATAATATGGAGTAACACTTGAAAGAGTTTTAAACTGGTGAGCATGGTAGGCTTGAGCCAACTAATTGCCTGTTACACTGATGTCCTTGTGTGCTACTAATTACAGCAAGCACATCATGAAGTGCTGCAACAGCTGGTGGACTTCAACACCTCAACCGAGAAGCTGTAGCTGGTGTAAAGAATATTATTGATTAACATTGTACACATAGGCGGGATGTGTCACCATAGAATTACTTTATTAACCATATTAACTGACATCAGTTTTGTAATACAAGCTATTCATGTATCTTTAGCATAATAGGATCACCATCATAAAGCTGTCTACTATGTTCTGTGCTTTAACTCGTCCAGTTGTTTCATACGGTGACACTTAATCTTTGACATTACCATTATTGACATAAAATACATGCTTTTGTTCACTGCATGTGTATTTGTTCATGTGGATGTATTGTTAATGCAAAGTCAAAGAGGAACTAACAAACATCAAAATGAACAAAATTCAGTTCAAGTCCATAGTCATTCTATAATCTTGGTTATTTAAAAGTGTATCAGTGAGTAGGTTATCTTCTTATTTTCATAATGGTATTGGCTCATACCACACATATTTAGGAAATATGTTTTGTTAACAAACTAACATGAACTGATAACTATATAACATTTGCAAAACTTAAAAGCAGTAATGCTTGGAAGGTTCTCATATTTCTGTAGATCATTCCATTTACTGGTTGTTAAGTGTTAAGTTATTCAATATTTAATCTCGACACATATTACAAATTCATGCTAGTCCCAAAGTCTGAGACTATCAAATTGTGTCGAGGACAAGTAAAATCCAATGCCCATAGTCCTCATGGACTAATAGCATTTGAGGTTATAATTCTGAACCAGTTCTGCATTCGATGTTCACAACACAAGTGATGCAAATGAATTCAAAAAGTAAGTCATTCTTCTGGGATTGTTACTTACGGTTAAAAAGCATCATATGCACCATATCACATATGAGATGTTGTGATCATATGATCACAGTTCTATCCATCCCCATCATGAAAAGACCTGCATAATCATATATAGTCAAACACTGTTGTGCCAAAGTTGAAGGGACATACATAAATCATTTAAGTTATCCAAGGCTATTTGATAAAAAATAATGAACAGAGAAGGAGTACACTGGGAAGAAACGTTTACTTCGAGACTGCAGTATGTTTGACATATCAAAGTTTGACAAAACAGTGTTTGACAGTAACATTGTTATACAATACATTGGCAATGGATGATGATAGCAAACAGATCAACAGAATGACAACATCCTATTTTCAGCGTGCAATTATACACACCCAGTCGGATACTCTTCTCACTGAAGCTGTTGTATTCCTGGAAACCATTGTCCACAACGGGGTCAGCTTCAGCATCATACATCGTGATTCTGAAACAACAACACAGTTCTTGATGACTGATATATTTACACTGACATCCCTGAGCACAATGCTGTAGCTCATAGTAGCAGCTGCATCCATAATGATTACTCCACCAACTGTTCAGGCCCCATATAAAAATATTCTTGGTTCTCATTACCGACCTAAAAAGTCGACCCGGCCCTAAGATCTTAATAAATATTTACACCAGAGAAAATGCAACTTTGACATTCAAAATGTGCATGAATTTTTGAAAGTTTTAAGTTTTGATTTTCTATTGGAGAAAAGTGTAAATTTTCACAGAAATCAAGTGGTTTAGGACATAAAATAAAATGTAAAAATAAAATCTGCCTGCCCGACTCATGTTTTTTAAAAAAAGTGTTGAGAAACAAGAATATTTTTTTATGTGGCCTTACCTTAATGTACAAGTGCAGTAGCTACTTTCTCAACAAATGACAGAATTTGAACAAATTGCTGTTTCCTCAAGTTACACTATAACAACTTGTGAAAAAAAATGATACTATACCATATCCCACGAAAAACCTGAACCATTGCAAAGGTGAATCTAACACTAAGGAGGGTAGAGAGGGGAGGGGGAATGGTGGCATGTTCGATCTAAGATGGAGACAGCTACAGCTGTATATAACAGCCCAAAGTCCTTACACATGAGAATGCATTATCCTCCAAACACCTATCCCAAATGCGGGTAACACATGGTGAACATATGTGTGATTCAGCTGTCATCTTATGTCAAGACTGATATCTCTGTCTATACACAAATCTAAAACACTAAATTTAAGCTATAAGTTATAAAGTGAAGCAGCCTGCTTACACCTATGATAAAACCTATATAGGTCCAAATAGCTAAACTATTCTACACGTGTTTTAACTTTCTAGCCTAATCTACTTCCGGGTACTACAAACCTGTCCTAATTATGCATAATGCGGAACACACCCGCACAACAGGTATAACAACGTACAATAACGTCACTATGGTCCAAATAAATGAGACCTGACACATATTTTCAACACAATCAGACAAGAGGTCACAGTTCTTACATACAATCATACAGACTCTGGCTACTGTATTTCTTCTAGTTCTGGCCTACATTAATAAATAGCAACTTAACTAAGTCACACGTGTCTATGAATAAGTCATACGATGATACGTTGAAAACGAAAATGAATTCTTATTTCGATTCGAATGTTCGTCTGACTGTGACAAGTAGCAATGACAATTTAAATGTAAATCGTTATAACAAGTTTTCACTTCTCATAACAGATGTTGCGTAAAGTCTCTAGCTACATGAGTAATGACTAACCATAATGTGTGCCTGAACAGATGAATGATAACACTGCGGTGTTTTTTCTTGCATATTTTGATCTCTTTTTCGTTTCACAGTTAAGCTTGAATACGTGACTACCTATAATGCACAAATATACTTTCGAAGACATTTCTTACCGAAAAAGTGAAAATTCAACCTGCAATCAGATTTTGTCGTAACTTGACAGCTCGCTAGCAGACAACACGCAACGAAGAATTTTCCGCGTATCCGTAACCGGAAGTTATGTTTTCGTCATGGCTATAGTGGTACAACATATAACATATATTGACCATTAAGTTAAAAAAGCTGTACTAAAAATTGCCAACATTTGTACTATGCTTACCAAATAATATGGTATATATAAACAAAAGAAATCAATAATTGTGTAAGAGCCAATAGTTATGTTCAAATATATCATCACTCAAACTATAAGCACATATAACAACAGTGGGTTTACAAATATTACAAATTAACAAGGCTACGAAAATAACTGAATCGCAATTAACAACTTTGAACTATCCATATCAATGAACACTGATATTCAGTGTAATATATTTTCAATCGGTTGCTGCATATAACGTTTTTGGAAAAGGATTTAGATGCATATACGAAACTTCGTCCAGTCAAATAATTACATTTAGCGCGGCAGGTTCTTTTTGCACAAAATGTTGACAACTTTCATGACTTATTGAAACAGGTGGTAAGTAAGAACTGTTTCAACAACAGTATATGATTATGTTAGACAGTATAGAAGGTACTTCACAACTGAAATACGATAATAATTATAATGGGAACTTAGAGAGAAAACAGTGGCTACAAATTATGTGGAATCTTTTATTGGAAAACACACGAAGGATAATTTCCGTCATCTGATAATTCGGCTTCAGTATTTTGATGGATCCCATACGTCGAAAGATAAAACGATTGCCAGATTTGTTGAATTCACACGTTCCGTTTTAATTACTTATTGACAAGAGATGATGATGAAAACCATACTTGCCTTGAGGTTCACAAAGATGGCAAACAGCCAATACTGTCCTCATCCATGGATGTTGTTGTTTTCAACTAGAGGATATTAAATAGTATCCCGGTATCAGGGGTTTTCGACGATGTAAGACAAAAACGTAATTTTTATCTGTAATATCATTTGAAGTTTTAATTTTAGTAACCTTGGGTGATAAAGGATATATTCATCTATTTCACACAAAAATATCAAGTGTTTCCTACAAACATAAGGTTGATGACATCGTATCGGCGAAACTGTTGCCGTTTGCCACACCCGTGGATTATGTATGGGTTTTCGATGATGAGCCATACTTTTCGCTCCGCACTGCGAGGGAGTGTTGTGATAACGTGGCTTTCTATTTAAATATTGCCTGTCACCAGCAGACGAATGATCTTACTGAATTTTCGCTTGCTACTTTTGTTATAAAGGCAATTGATTTTGCATCTGAAGTGGTATTAACGATCTCGAGTAAATAATATTGATGCTTGTTTGCTTTTTAAACAACTTAACTTCCGGTTTTCAATACAACTTCTCACGACAGAAGATGAAATTGCTTGTGCTCACCGATCGCGCACGTACTCCCCCGATATAGCGTCAGCAACGCAATCATCAAAAACACTAGACCGTCGAATTCAGCTCGTGTTGGGATATAGGCCTAGTAGCACCAGACTGTATACATTAGAATGATATTTGTTGTATAAACACTAAACAAAGATCAGTGTTGGTTACTTGTACAAATAGACATGTTATTTTCATTTACAACTCTTCAGGTACTGAAAGACAATAACAAGCAGTGAATTCTTCAGTTTTACTAGGCTCAAGGGCATCAGTTATCAATATTACAACATTGTTTTAAGTATTATGTAATAGGGTAGAGTCAGGTGACTGTGAATTTTGAGGTTCTGTCATATTAATTTAACAATTTGACAGAATGGATGGCCCAGGTAACCCAGTTACAATGCGGAGTTGCAGCCCATGGGCCTGCCAGACACCTATCATCTCAAGCTGACATTGATGTGATAACTGGTATACTGTAGTGGCGTCTTACCCAGCTTAGTCACTAACTGATAAATGATAGCTGGAAACAAGTAGACTATTGAACAGAGAAGAGTGTAATAATCCCGACCATTTCTCAGTACTAACAGGAATGATAATTATTGTCATCAAGTAACATTTCTTGGTGATAACTTCTGAAATGACATGAAAATAGAAAACACTGATCTAGAATAATTGAATACGTTGTCTCATGGAAGGGTGGGAAATTAATACATAATTATCAAGTCTTATACTTGGTTTAATGCTTTTTCTTTTGACAGCAGTAGTGGATGGTACCATTGCAAATATGAATTACATATATACAGTGTTCACTAATGGTGTTTCAAAGTAACAGCACATTGGGTTCTGTAAGTTTCAGATGTCTGTCTGACCCATTGAAAATTGAAAGGACCCATAGAATAAAATTAAACACACATTTCAGATTTAACAGTTCTTATAATTGGCATTGAAATTATTAACAAAAATAAGACTTATAAACAGGAAACAAGAGTTACATGCCACATATAACAACTTCAGTCAAAGTCATTGTGAAACATACAGTCAGACCGTTGGCGAATCTGCCGGATTTGTCCGAGGGTCAGACGCTATTCGTGAACACTGACATAGTTAACATTTATGAAATATGTTTGCACAGAAGCTTCTGTTTGTCCTCATTGCCAGATCACAGTCTCTAGGTGGTGCCAGTAAGTATGGTTGTTGCTGATGATGACAGTCATGGGCAGGTCAGAAAGAGGCCTCGTCTGTCACTCAAAGGAAAGGGGAAGAGTGCAAGTTCTGCAACAGCTGCTGTTGATGACTCACATGGATATCAGGGAACCACCCCACAAGATATATGTGAAAGGTAGCTTCAGTGGAGCAGTCAAAACATTTATGCTGCACAGTCACCCAAACAACTTTATTTTTCTATTTTCAAGTAAGATAACTTATTTTCTGAGAACCAGTGAAGGTCTGGGTTAGAACTGATCTTCAGTTACCCATGCTTGTTGTAAGCGGCGACTAACAGGATCGGGTGGTCAGGCTCGCTGACTTTGTTGACATGTCATCGGTTCCCAATTGCGCAAGTCGATGCTCATGCTGTTGATCACTGGATTGTCTGGTCCAGACTCAATTATTTACCGATCGTCGCCATATAGTTGGAATATTGCTGAGTGCAGCGTAAAACTTAACTCAATCACTCACTCACTATTTTCTGAGATAGAAATAGATTTGAATGTTTTGAAGTGATAAAGACATGTCAGAGCATTGACAAAATCTTACTGTACCATGCAGAATTAATTTGAGACTAGTTAGTGAAAAATATTTCAATCAACTCTCCTTTTTTATCTATTCTCAACTATTTCCTATCCTCATATTTTATTCAGATCTGGAATTAAATGTCTCAAGAAGTGTCTATCAAAACATGATACATGTTTTTATGGAAACCCCTCTAAAATTTATGTACAAAGTAAGTGAGCCCCCCTGCATGTCATGTACAAAATCAATGATCTCCCCTCCTCCTTCCCATATTTTTAAGCATAATTTGTTAAATAACTTAATGTACAAAATTGCTGCCCCCCCCAGTCCATGTGTACAAAATTGATGACCCCCTACCTCCCCAGAACAAAATGGGTGACACATCCCTTACAATCATTCTCTTCTCTCTCCTCCTCCCCCTTTTTTTTATCCCCAAGAACACGTGAAGTACTATGGTGTACTGGTGCCTTTTGGTAGTTTTGGTATTCTGAATTAAATATTTTTGGCGTTTCCATGGCAACAAGTTTGACTTAAACTGAAATTGGTGGTAGTGCTCTTTTCCGGAGCAGAACTCTAAAACCGTTCAATGTTTCTTCACCAAACTTGGCACATAGATAGATCTGGTGGTGTTCTGGTGCCTTTTGGTAGTTTTGGATTTCTGAATAAAATATCTTTGCATTTCCATGGCAACAAGTTTGACTTAGACTGAAACTGATGGTAGTGCTCATTTCTGGAGCAGAACTTTTAAAACCTCCTTCCACTTTTCTGTATACACACCAAAACATTTGACAAAATCATAACTCGTAGACATATTCATGAAGAGTAATTTTTAAACTTATCCTATCTCACGGTATGCACCTCCTTCTTCTACGACCATGTGTGGAAACATGCTGTAGGCTAAGTTGAATCAAAACTTCCTGGCCTCTGACCACCTGACATTTGCTCCCACTCTGACAGCAGTACCTGTCTATCATCTCAATAAGCGTGCAGATCGCTCAGATGAACACGTGACGTTCTGTGCCTGTCATTCTCTTTCTCGTCGCTACACCAAGTGGACATGTGTTGTTCTCTCAGTTAGACATTATTTGATTGTCAATATGGGAAATAAATCGAATCGAAGTTCTTCTGAGTTGGTCACATCAGTGTTCTGTTTGTTCACACTTGAATGATGATGATGTTTCTGCATATCGACGGGTTGCATCTAGAGATCGGCATACAACTGCTGCAGATCCTTCAACTTCTAAGTGTGCTAAATCGGAACACCTGTCGAAGAGAGCAGTTTGTCGATCTAAATCACAGTCCCCGGATGAAGAATTTTTTAGAGGTGGCCTCAGACTCCTACTTGAGCGAGTATCTCTGTCGTCTCTTTCGTCCTCAAACGTCTAGTCCCGTCTCCAGACAAGTTTTATCTCATCCGAGAGTGGTAGTGCTAGCAACCTCTAGCACAGACTCCTAGTTTGCCTCAGGTGGTTGTTTTATAGTGCGCCGCTTTGGTTGAGTGCTAGACCCCCTCTGCTATGGTGGGTGCGCTTGGTGAAAGCGTTCACCCTCATGCGGTGAGTGCAGTCAGTTCGGCACTTTCCACCACAGGGATCAGTTCGGCGCTTCAACCTATGCGCCGCTTGCTTCCAATGCGTCGCTTTGTTCAAGTTCAGCGCTCTCATATCTTCCTGTGGTGACACCAGGCATAACGGCAGTATCCAGTGCAGCGCTTTCAACACCTTTCCCGTACCTTCCAGAGCGGCACTTGCTGTCCATTCATCACTTTGTACCAATGCGTCGCTCTCACAAAGGGAAGAAGAGATGAGTGCATTGTTTCACTTCAGTTCACCGCTCTCGTTCGGTCCAACTCATTAGCCCTGTGCGGCGCTTTCGATTGGATCAACACTTCAGCCCAGTGTGCCTTTTCGATTAGATCAACGCTTCAGACCAGTGTTCGTTTTTCGATTGGAACAACTATTCAACTTAGTGAACTGTTATTTGATTGGAACACCTTTCAGTCCAGTACACCATTACTGTATGGTATGGCGTTTTAGACGAATGTACTGGTCCTGATTGACTCCGAGCTTTCGATCGTGAATGCGGCCGAACCGGATCACCCTGCCGAACCAGATCATTTGACTGAACTGGATCCCAGTACTGAACCAGATCACCTCTTCGATCCAGATCGTCGAACCAACCTAGATCTCAGAATTGATCCTGATCACCGCTCCATACCTGATCGCCGCTCCAACAGTATTCGCCGATCCGACAGTGTTCGTTGAACTGTCAGCATTCGCTGAATTATCTGGTTGCCTCTATGCGCATACTGTCATCATGACTTGTTTACTAGTTCGCACACTACGGTACCTGCAGTGACTTTTTCAACTGCAGTACTACTTCAACACTTCTTCCAACTTCGGCGTTGATACCTCATTTCTACAGTTTTTACCGGTGCTCAGCTTGGCTTCGGGGTTATGCTTCCTGCTTCTACGTTGTCTATGAACAGACAGAGCATTCACTCCGATGCGCCGCTTTCATTCACTTCCTGGTTATCTACTAGTGTGCCAATCGTATTCAGAGTGCCGCTTTCCTGCAGTGCGCCGCTCTCTTATGCATCAACGCTTCCATCCAGTGTGAAGCTTTCTTATGTATCAACGCTTCCAGTTACTGCATCGTTCAGCTGGTTGTACAGAGGTAGTAGTTATGTCAGTAGCGCAGGCCTCTACATTATGGCGGTGATTGATGATCCCAGATTTTTAAGATTCCTCCGTCATCTACCATCCGATCTTCACTTTTGATGAATGATTCGATTCAACGAATCTACCCTTCAACGTTGACATCAGCTCTACAACCACCCGGTTTGACATATTTGTCCAGAAACTTGACGATGATGTGAAAGGAAGGGTGCTGAGGCTTGCGAAACAGACCGACGATTACACCCAGCGATACACCACAAAGCTGCTACGAGTAGTCTGTATACAGTAACAAAACTCAGTGAAGTGTCGTACAATATTCCTGAAATATCAATCTGGTCTATTTATGCACACTTTCTGCGTGTGGTACAAGCAGTGATGTTTGGTCAAGTAGCTAGCGTCACTTTACCCAGATTCTATGGGTTGGGACTCGCCTGGTTATTTGACATCCATGTTGTCCGTTTTTTTGTCACTATTGCATTGTAAGTAGCATTTGCAATGGCGGACTACTGTTGTGTACCGGAGACTTTTGATGATACAGTGACTATGAAGTGCCCTGACAGACTAGTCTTGGTCCCACGAAGCGGATACCTATCCCAGCCTTTTATTGCCAGTGATGATGAACGGTGCCATTCCCGGTAAGAGTGATTATGTCGAGTTTTGTCAGTCATCCGAGAGCGGCAGTCTACCAAGGGTGTCAGACAGAATCGCCCGAGAACGCTTTCACTTGGCTAGGGTTACTCAGTTTTTAGCTTAAGCCCTCAGTTCAGAGGTCACTGCAGCTGTGTCCGGACTGTTCGCAAGCATTGATTTTACTACCTTCGTTTCCCTTACGAACGTTCCTGGGGTCACTGGTCTTTTTACCTCCGCCATTCCATCAACTTTACGAATGTTCCGGTAGATTGACGATCCCAAGCCTAGCATATACTAGCTTTTCGCACCATCTGGCGGACCAACACTTCATTTGGCAAGCCATACGTTCCTGCGATCACTGTTTATACAGCCTGCATCACTATGTGTACAATGTGAACGTTCGTGTAGATTGACTGACAATCTCCATGCCATGAACCTACTACATTCAGCACTTCTTCAGTACTATCATGCTGGCTTGACTAATCGAATGTATCCTCTCTCAGGAGAGATTCCTTCTTCAGTGGCAGTAGTTGCTAGGCCTTCTGAAATCAGCTCAAGCCCCAACGTACAGAGGCCATTTCCTACTTCAGCCGGTACAGTGATTTCCACGCCCGTATCTCGAGGCCGTCAACTGAACCCGAAGGAATTGAGTCGCCTTCCAGAACCGCTTCGTCCAGTCCTTCAGTGGTGGCTTAACGAACTGAATATCTGCACTGGAGTTTCTATGTTACCCCTAGCGCTTTCGCAACCCGCTTTCGCAACCCAAGATTCTTCGTCAGGTACAAGACCTTTTTCTGTTGATGTCAGCTCAAGTTGTGACTCTGAGTGGATAGCTTCAACTACGGCCTCTCCAATTTTTTCTGTGTCCGCACATCAGGATCGGCGACAATCACACATTGATCTCTCTTTCTCCAGTGCTCCATCCCCATCTCCAGTGGTATTTGGACATGTTGAATGTTTGCAGCGAAGTCTCTTTAAGGCCGCTCCAGTACATCACCTGTACGTAGACGCCTCTCTACACGGGTGGGGAGCTCACTTTCTCGATCAGCAGGTGGCAGGGCGTCACATCAACGTTTTGGAGCTCAGGTCAGTGATTCTTGCGGTCAGTCATTGGCAACACCTGTTACAATCAACCTAGCTTTTGATTCGATCGGACTATGCTGCAGTCGTGTGGCACATTAATCGAATGGGATCCACGGGGTCTCCTCAGCTTCTTCAGTGGACACAACAGTTTTTCCACTTAGTGGACTCTCTCAACATCACGGGCCAGGCCAATTACATCCCAAGGGTGAAGTACGTCATTGCAGATTCTTTGTCCCGTCCGGTTCGACTATACCCGATGGAGTGGAAACTGCATCCGCATGTTCCAGACTTTGTGCCATCCGATGTTTAACCCGACAGTGGATCTGTTTGCTACCCGCTTCCATCACCAGCTTCCAATATTCGTGTCACCGATCCCGGATCCTTTGGCCTGGGAACACGGCGTTCAAGGCATCCCAGGGGATCGTATGCGTTTTCACCAGTGGCGCTCCTTCCACGCATACTGCTCAAGTTACGCATGACGCAGCGGATGACACTGTTTGGATCGCACCTTTTGGGGCGTCAGAAGTTTGTTCCTAGACCTGCAAGACTTGGCCGACCCATTCCAGTACCACTTCCCAATCACCCCGATCTTCTGGTTCATCTTCACTCCGATCAGCTGCATTGGTCTCTGCTCACACTTAATCTTCACGCCTGGTGCATTTACATGAATCGCTGACTGTAAAGGGATATTCCAAGCGAGTCGCTACGGTGATTACCACGGCGCCCCAAACTTCTTCCAAGCCACTCTATGGCTATGGAAGAATTTTGAAGCGTACTGCTAGACGATGGGTCTTATATCTCCCGCTACAGCATCGCCTCAGATGGTCTCGGAGTACCTCCAGCATCCTAGAACTTCCAAGCAATTGAAGGGTTCTACCTTGTCTGCCTACCTGGCCATGCGTAACACAGTTATTGCGCCGGCTATGGGTGCGAAGGTGTCAACTGTCCCTGAGCTCCAGTCTCTCCTCAGATCTTGTAAAGTTGCTGTTCAATGCCGGAAGTTCCGGCCACCAGCCTGGGACCTTTCCGTGGTTTTTAATCATCTCACGTCAGAGGAGTATGAACCTCTGGCAGAGAAGGATTTCAAGCATGTCACGTTTGAGACTTTCTTCCTCCTGGCTCTTACGACTGTTGCCTGCATCTCCGAGCTTCACGCACTGGATGTCACCCGGTTGCGCTTCGAGAGGACCAGACATGCCAAAGCCCTCCCTGGTTTGAGGTGGAATCTCGTCGCTGAAACCAGTTGCCTGGACAGCCGGACAGACTATTCGCCTTCCCACCGCTGTCTACTATTCTGGGACCCTGACGACACCGAGGATCTCTCCCTATGTCCTGTCCGGACTTTACGGGTCTTTAAGCTGCCTCCAAGGACCATCGTAGGTTACGCAAGAGACTGTTTATTTCTCTGTCATCTGCCTCATCTACAGAAGTCTCTCTGACCGCATTGACCTTCTGGATGCGATCTACCATCCTTTATGCCTACGCCTATGCTGACCTTCCTCCTCCTACTATGGCCAACCCTCATGAGACAAGAGCCTTGACCTCTACGATGGCGCTACATAGAACTGTTCCCTTCACGGCATCATGGAGGGTTGTTTTTGGAGTTTGGACACGGTCTTCATCTCACCCTACCTCCGTGGAAGGTCTTCGCCAACTAGGTCCATTGGTTCTGGCGTAGTAGTTGTCGTCAGCTCGCAAGCGCAGATAAGATGCAGTTCCTACCTTCGTGTATGTTTTGCATTCTCTATATCATGAAAGATATCGGTCCTATCTTTCTTATTGGTATGGATTATACTTGGGCATAGACCACTTCACCTAGGGAACTAGGGCATGTTTGCACTGTCATAGATATGACTCGATAGACTGAGAGGCCAGTCTTGTGCTACATGCAGAGGTGAGGTGAGGTGAAATTGGGTTTAACGTCGCGCTGGAGAATATTTCGCTCATATGACGACATGCATGCGTGTGTATATGTATGTGCGGCTGCTTGTACTAGCCCAGACTGAAGCTGGTTTTATAGTGCTAGCCCACTGAGATACCATGCCGCAGTGAAGCATGAATACCCCACTCAGACACATTATACTGACTCCAAGCCGACCAGTCCTTGTACCCTTTAATGCCGGGCGCCAGGCAGGGACCAACAAGTACCATATTTTAACGTCTTTTGGTATGACGCGGTCGGGGATCGAACCCGCGACCTTCCGCTCTCCGGGCGAACGCTCTAACCACTACACCACGGAGGCGGTCCCCTACATGCAGAGGTGGTTGACACTCCGCTTACTGACCTCTACTCTCTGAGCAATTACGTCGGTGAAGTGTTGATTTCCGATTACCTGCGTGGTTTTCGAAGTGTTCCGCTCCTAAGTCCTTTCTCACCTTTGGTTAGTTAGGGGGATTGGTACTGAACGTTAAACAAGTTGAGCAACTGGGCTATTCCCTCTTTCACCGCCTTCCAGTGTGTGTCTGTGGGGGGTAGTTTCGAAGCAGGGACTGTCCAGATTGAGTTCTTCGACTTTAATTCACTGGGGTCACTTGATAAATTGCGGGGAGGCGGGGTCCACTTGCCAAACTGCGTCCTTTTGCTTGTCAAAAGTTGCGGCTGAAAACCACTTTAATTCAGGACCGCCCACTCCCTAGAGTTTTTGTGTTGTGTAAGCTAAGGGGTTATCAGAAGTTCGGAGTTGGCATATCGGGAGTTGGTGCTTTCTCCTGGCCTCCTTGTGTTATGCGACCTCACGGTTGTAGAGTTCACACAGGGTAATCTGTGGCCCTCCAGCCAACTGTGGGATAATGCATACCGTAAGATAGGATAAGTATATCCTATCTCACGCGATGGATACCCACCCGACCTTCCCCACATCACAGATTACTGGACGCTCCAAGACGGGAATGACAGACACAGAACGTCAATTGATCATCTAAGCGATCAGCAAGCTTATTGAGATGATTGACAGGTACTGCTATCAGAGTGGGGGCAGAGGTCAGGTGGGCAGAGGCCAGAAAGTTTTGATTCAACTTAGCCTACAGCACGTTTCCACGCATGGTCGTAGAAGAAGAATAGAGGTGCATACCGTGAGATAGGATAAGTATATAAATATACAATTTATAGTAAAATTTCCAATTTTGCCATTGCGGGGGATATTGATGAATTTATCTTCTTCTTCTTCTTCTTGTTTTTTTGTGTCATAAATTATGAACGGGCCCTTATGCATATAATTATTTCAGCAGTAGATACAAATGTTTCATTTTTGGCTCTTTTTTTAACATCAGCAATTTTTCAACTTGATTTTTCTCATTTAATTTTGGGAAGCTTTTTTGTAAACTCTTGTAAACGTCATCTTTCATCTTTTGTTCCAACTGAAGTTTTAGACAAATTGTTTGAATGTATTTTAGGTTGAAAACAAAATTCATAAAGATTCAAACTTTTCAAACAAAACATCAGCATAACAAAATTGCCAACAAATGGCTCAGAATGTTGCTGTTCTGAAGTTCTAAATGTGTTAAAACTTTGATGATGATGTTTGCCAAGAATAATGATTAATATGAAGAAGGAATTGATCATATGGCTGATTTGATTTGAAAGTTTTCTTCAGTTTTTGGGGTGATGGGGTAGCCTAGTGGCATCCATTCGTCATGCTGAAGACCCGGGTTCGGTTCCCCACATGGGTACAATGTATGAACCCATTTCTGGTGTTCCCCACCATGATATTGCTGGAATATTGCTAAAAGCGGCTCAAAACCATACTCACTCACTCCATCTGTCTTAGATCAGAGGAAGCTGAGCCAGTTCAGACCCTTGATGGCAACACCACCGAGGACCTAGTAAACCAGTCTGAAAGTTTTGCACCAGATGAAGGGTCCACTGTACCACCTGTATCATCCCTTGAGAACTTGGGTAGGTACAATAAGTAACATAGTGCACCTATACAATGGTGCTCATTTTCCAGAGGCAAGGAAGTTACCTGCCTGTAGAAGTCCAGTTTCAACCCTTGCCGAAGTAGGTTGGAATTTCACAGTGCCACCAGTAGGAGTTGTGTGGGTTTTTAACCGTATGTTGATTTCATTTTGTGATTTTGATTGGACTGTGCATAGAGTAGTTAGTTCAGCCAAAATATGACACCATGCTTCCAGCCTACTTTGCAAAGGGTGGAAACAGCACTTTTATAGTCTGTTAACTCCCTTGCCCAGGGAAGATGCATAGTGCTGAGTTGAAACAACTGCTGAATACTAAATACACACTTCTACAACACTATTACTTTGCAGATCAGAGGGCATAACATGTAATTATCCCCAGGGAGCTGACGAGTGTGAATCTTTGTTGCAGTATCAACTCCCTGGGGAGTAAACAACCCAAGCTACCTGTTAGGTGTCAGAACTCTTGTATTCACATTATCATCTATTCTTCTTGGGTGAACAGCTGGTTCCCCTGCCTGTCACTGAGCATTAACGCCTTGTAGGCCCAAGAGTCAGTATTCTGTGAGCGGGGAATCCATATTAAACTGCCATATGGTATCTCGGTGGGCATTTGGCCCAACTAGTACAAGCAGCCACAGATGCATTTCATTGTAAAACTGCAATAATCATGGATGTAATCATTAAACCCCATTTCCCCTCACTGATCCTTGGATCCCATGTTGTAGGCAACACCTGCTTCCTGAACAGCGTGCTCCAGATTCTGCGCTACACCCCAGGATTCCTGGATGGCCTCGGAGAGCTGTATCGGGAGATAATCGTGGTAGAGAAGACGATGAAACGTCACAAGGAGGCCACTGAAACAGAGGAGGAGAAAGAACCATCTCTCGCACTTGAGTTGGTCAAGCAATTGTTCAAGGTTGGGAGTTTACTTGTAAAACAAAAAGTTAGAAATAGAAATGTTGTCGGACCTATTCAGAATAAGTATTGGTGGATGGTCTGGTTTTTTGTAGTACTGCCTTCATTAATCCTTCATATAGTACAGTATTCTCAGTCTTCTCATCACTGTCACGGAATAGTTCCAAGTATCCCATGCTTGAGGCAAGAGGTGACTGATAGCACTGGTGGGATGCTGACCAGGTGTAATGGTGCTCAAGGAGTGGGTAAGGAACCACTGGTGCTAGGCTCAATTAGATACATGCTACCAGAATGTAGTCATAGTTGCTGATGTCAGTGTAACACAATGTTCCCTCACTGTTCTCTGACCCCGTGTTTTTGTACATATGTAATGACGTAGTCACCTGGGGTTTTATCAAGCTCCTACTCACTAGGGACATGTCTGTAAGTGCTCCAACCTCACTGAGACTGGTTGTTTTCAGCTGTACAAGAACATGGAGAAAAGAGAGGGGAGATACTGTGAGATAGCCAGTGCAGATGTTACAAGTATGGCTGTCAAACCAGACAAAGTGCTTGATATTATACGGTCAGTAGTGGTGGAGTTCATTAGAAATTATTTCCCTTGGATGCCATTGTCATTGTCTTCCTCGTGGGTTTCACTGAAGGCGTTTACTTATTTGCACCTTATGTGCATGCTTTCCACACTTTATGTTGGTATTTCTTTACACTCAATTCTTACATATTAATTTTTCCTTATCCTGACTCATGATCTTTTGCTTATCTCCCTTTCCCTTGCGAATGGTAGTGAAACACTTGAATCCCTTGTAGTTCCCGAAGCGGACGTAAAAATACTCCCACCCATGAGTTACCTCCCTTCTTTCCCGCGCAAACAGTCATGTGACCAGCCTTACTTGTCACTCTCTCCCTTTTCGCCCAAGCGGATGGTTCGGCAAGCACTGAAGTCCCGTATACGGCAGATATTCTTTATAGTTAGATCCTATTTATCAAAATTACGCTGTGTATGGTATTTGGCTATAACTATCATGTATTAGTTGTATAAAATTTGAAGAAATTTTGGTAATTTGTTACACTTTTTCATCGTAATGTAACGTGTTGTACATATTGCAGTGATTATCAAATTTGCAATTTAATCAATATAGATTGTGCCATGGATCGGGTGAGGAAGTCATCACAAGTCACGGTTGATAAACCTGGAGATCAAGCCGGTAACCGTAGGTTGTTTGCTACTGCAGAAATAAATAATTCTGGTGCTATATTGAGTACGTTGCAGGGGCAGTCATCTCGTAAGGGGTCAAAAAAGAGGTCTGCTACGATGGAGTTGACACCCTCTTAGAGCAAGAAAAAGACTACTGCTTCATCCACAACGCAGAAAAGGGCATCCATAACTAGGTCTACATCGAAATCTACACGACCTAGCAAGTCAACTCATCAGAGGTCGTTTAATGAAGACATTATCCTACCGCTCGAGGCAGACGTGTTTGATGAACCACCGTTACTTCTGCCTGAAGTACCTATTAGATCGGCGACACAATCGACCTCCACGACTACTAGATCATCTCCTGCAACTACAACAGCGGCCCGGCTGTTTGACGACTAACCACCAACTTCTCAACTCAGTGAAGTTGAAGCACACAACACATCAGCGTTCGCAAACGCTTAATCAACGCCGAATCAGTTCCAGTCTACACAGAACTTCGATCCAGGCGACTTTATGAGGCAATTTACTACTCAAATGATGGCCATGATGGAACGACGTTTTGATGAGAAAGCAAAGGCACGACAGGGGCGTTCATCAACTGACAACGTTCGCAAACCCTCAGACCTACACGAACCCAATACGCCTCACAGATCTACATCTGCAGACAACGTTGGCGAACGTGAACGTTCGAGAAGGTCATCACAATTGGACGACTCTGTCATCATAGAACAGGATGGAAGGTCCACGAAGGCTACTAACTCTACGACAACGACAACGAGAACGTCTAGAAATCCATCCCCAAGAGCATGCCATTCCAGATCTACATCCCCAAGCTCTCATACGCAAAGACAGCGTTCGCGAGAGACTAGTTCGCGAAGGGATGGATCAAGAGACAGAGGTTCACGAATGGATGACTCACAACATTCGCGAAAGGAAGGTTCGCACCCGGAGGATTCGCAAAGGCATAGTTCTACAGAACAAGAACTATCTGATGAACATACCGACTACGTCTTCTCAGATATGGAAGTTACAGCTTGGATAGCTAATGGATTGAACTTAGAGTCTCCCTCCAAGGAATTGAATGAAGTTTACACACATAAGATGTGCAAGGACGACTTCGACTCAATAACCATTCCGCCTATTGAGCCTATATCTAAGGTGCCTTCGAATCTAAGCACATCTTTTGACAAAGCTTCTAGATTCCAGAATCAACATCTGCCAGCATTTAATGCGAGGAAATTCCCCTTACATCACATGGACCCCTTGATGAGAGCGCCGGACTTAGATGAAAATATAAAACTGGTTAACGACTCTCGGAACAAGGTTTACAAGGTGGAGGATAAGAAGTTGGCTTAACCTGATACAGCGACGAGGAGATCCTTCTTCGGATTAGCGAGGTCCAGAGCAATCAATAAGGCATTGATTAACAAGTTCCAGAACCCCAGTTCGGAAGAAGATAGAATGATATTATCTGCTGTGCTCACTCAGAAAAAGGACCAATACTTTATATCGGATCATCTGGCCTCAACGTCGGCGGGTCTCACCTTATTACGGAGACAGGGTCTACTGGCATCGTGTTCCAGGAGTGACAGATTTACCCATCCGCTACTTAGAGCTCCTTGGGCGGCGCCTACCATCTTCGGAGGTGAGATAGATGAAGCAGCTAAGGAAGCTACTCACGACTCAAGGGAAGTCATGATGATCCAGTCTATAGGTACTCTAGCCAACGTCATTCGTCATACTTCACAGAAGTACAACAGCAAATCGAAATTTTCCGGTATCCAGAAGGCTAAGGAGAAGAAGTACTCTGACTTCAGAGGCGGGAAAAGTCCTTGTCGCCCATCCAGAAACGACAGAGAAAACTCAGGGAGAGGACATACTCCCAGAGGTTTCAAAGGGGCTAGGCGCTGAAAGTGGGGTTCGGAACGACTGGATGCTTCCACCCCCAGCTGTTCCTGTACAACCATCGACAATGGGTTGACGTCTACAAAGGTACTGGGAAAATTGGGGAATACTGGAGGACGACTACATCTCACAAGTACTGCGAGAACTGTACAGAGTGCAGCTCAAGGCCACACCACCGTTAACCCTCAGACCGATGATCTTCAACTATGCCGACGAGCAAGCAGACAAACTACAAGAAGCCATCAACTCACTTCTAACCAAGAATGTGGTAGAAAGAATAGATCAAGATCATCTCACGCCAGGCAGTACCCAAGAAGAATTCCAAAGAGAAATTCAGGTTGATTTACAACATGCGGAAATTCAACCAAGACTATCTACTCAAACCGGAAAGGTTCAGAATGATCCACCTACCTCAACTCAGACTACTAATTCGTCCAGCAGACTTTATCCCCATACATTCGGAATCAAGGAAATATCTACGATTCCTATTCAGAGGTCAGCACTTCCAATGGAACGTCCTACTGTTTGGAATATCGTCGGTTCCGTGGTTATTCACACGAATAACCAAGCCCATAGTCGCCTACCTACATCATCGAGGTCTACGCAATACCTTTTATCTGGACGACGGCATACAGATTCATCAAAGTGCCAATCAACTCAGCAGCTGAACTTAACAATGGAGTTGCTCACGCAACTAAGATGGCTTGTGAACCTGATGAAGTCGGAGTTGGAACCAAAACAAGATCTGCAATTCCTGGGGATAAGATTCATCACAACACAGAATCGAATTGTGACCCCAGAAGTTAGTTGGGTCAAGATACAAGCCATGATTCCTCAAGCAGTCATCTCTCCGTTGACATACTAACATGGCAATGTCTACTCGGTCTACTAACCTCAGCACAAGACTTGACTCGCACAGGAAGGTTACAACTACGGCCATTGCAACAATTCCTGGCAGAACATCTGGACAGCAGCGACCCTACTTTGGTGGACTCACAGGTCAAATATCTGCGCAGGGACGTATTTACAAGAGCCGGTCTTCGACACACATCTCTACGCAGATGCATCGCTACATGGATGGGGTGCACATCTCAACAACCAAGTTGCATCAGGGAAGTGGTCAAATGCAGAACAGCATCTTCACATCAATCTGCTAGAAATGAAAGCTGTGATCAACGCCGTACAACTATGGTCGAGTTCACTGAGCAACAGAATGCTGATGATCCACACGGACAACTCTACAGTGGCGTTCTCCATAAATCGGCAAGGATCAACAAGATCGCCAAGCCTATTGCAGCTCACATTCCAGTTGTTCAACATCACAGAGAAGGCAAACATCTGGATAAAGGCGTGTCACATACCGGGAGCCAAGGAGTGTCACATACCGGAACCCACGGAATGGATGCTCCATCCAGAAGCGTTCCAGCTCATCATAAGGGAAATAGGATCTCCATGCATAGACCTGTTCGCCACAAGGTTCAACAAACAACTACAGACGTTTGTTTCACCAGTACCAGACCCCCAAGCCTGGGCAACAGATGCACTGAGCATATCATGGGAAGGACTAAATGCTTACGCGTTTCCACCTCGGATCTTACTACCGAAAGTACCGTTGAAGATCAAACAGACACAAGAGCTACAACTGACTTTGGTCGAGCCCTATTGGCCAGCGAGACTCTGGTTCCTAGACCTAATAGAAGTCCAACCCTCAAACTACCAGAATGGCCGAACCTACTCAGACATCCACACACCAAGCAAGTCCACAAGAACCCAACATTGTTCCAGCTGCACGTGTGGACCGTATCAAAACCTGTCTGAAGAAAAGACGATATTCCGCAAAAGCAGTGAAAACAGTAACCCTAGAGTAACGCAGATCTACTCGCAATTTGTATGACGACAAATGGCAGAAATTTGAGCAATATGCTTCACAGCTATGAAAGCGTCTCATCCTCAAGTGGCGGAATATCTATGTCACCTTAGATATACAAGACATCTGAAAGGTTCGACATTATCTACATATCCGGCAGCCATCAGTACAGTCATCACTATGAAGTCATGCATCAAATTGACGAAAGTACCAGAATTACTAGCTCTGCTGCGACCTTTAAAACTGGAGGACCAGCAAAAGAAATTCAGAGCACTAGCCTGGGATCTGAATGTAATTCTACGTCATCTCATGAGTGATGCCTACGAACCTCTAGACCAGACTACCTTCGAGCTACTCACGCAGAAAACTCTGTTCCTACTTGCCCTAGCCACGGCAGCTCGTATGTCTGAGATACATGCGCTGGACTTTGGACGAACTAGATTTGACACGGGGCACCGTGCTGCAGTACATCTAGGACTTAGATGGGACTTTATTGCAAAGAATCAACTACCTGGTCAACCAGATAGACAGTTCCATGTGCCAGCGCTATCTACGATCCTCAGACCAGAGGACACCCAGGACTTATCCTTGTGTCCTGTCAGAGCATCTTCAAAAGACTAAAATTAGGAGAAGAAAGTTCAAGCGCCTATTCATCCCCTTGTCGATGGAGACAGCAGTGGAAGTCTCAAGAACGACAATATCGTTTTGGATGAGAGACGTTATACTAAGAGCCTACAAAGCAGCAGGATTAAAGCCTCCAAGAGCCTCCAACCCACACGAAGTCAGAGCACTGGCGTCAACACTGGCTCTGCATGGAAATTGATCTATATCATCGATCATGGAGGGCTGCTTCTGGAAGTCAGATGCGGTGTTTGCCAACCACTACCTCCGAGATATAGCCACCCGAAGACGTCTCCAGCATTCACCAGTTTGGGCTTCTTGTTGTAGCACAAAAACTAACGGTTCCTCAAAGGCGCGCTGAGTTGAAATCTCACCTTTTATCACGTTGACTGGTTGATAACTTTTACTATGGAAAAAGTTCCAGTTTGAAAGTCTATGTGCACAGTCCAGACTAGGCTAGCATGAGTGATTAAGACTCTGTACGGGTAAGGATCTTACCTGTATGTAAAGAAGATAAAGATCTTATCATAATCTATGGGTTGTTATAGATAACTAGTAAAAAGAAGATACTAGTATATCTTAAGCCACATGAATCTACAAGATTCACTTGTCTGAGAGAGAAGTAAGACAAGATGGTGGTCCCCCCGAGTTGTAACAGAAGCTGGAAGAATAGGATCTCAGAATGCCGTTACGCAGTTCCCATGGGGGGGATACAGGACGTATCTATGGACAGCTGTTGAATCCAGGAAGTGGCTTGACCCACCACCAATCCGTAGGATTCTATAAGCAAAAGATCATCAGTCAGGATAAGGAAAAATATGTAATTTTTAAAGTAAAATTGATATTTTATACTTATCCTGACACTTGAGGAGAAGCCCTCCCAACCTCCCCACTGGAAATACTTCGGATTTCACAGTAGATCCAGGTGCATGGGCAGAAAACTCAGGAGAGAGTGACAAGTAAGGCTGGTCACATGACTGTTTGCGTGGGAAAGAAGGGAGGTAACCGTGGGTGAGTGTATTTTTACGTCCGCTTCGGGAACTACAAGGGATTCAAGTGTTCCACTACCATTCGCAAGGGAAAGGGAGATAAGCAAAAGATCATGCGTCAGGATAAGTATAAAATATCAATATTACTTAAAAAATTACATTATGTTAAGCTAGTTCACTGCAGTATCTATGTAAATGTCACCAAGACACCTCAAGAGCATTCTCACGAGCTTGGATATGTACGCATTACAAATATGCACTATTATTATTACTAATATTTGAGAATAAAATCTTAACGAGAAAAAGAAAAGAACTTTTACCAAATCTTTCACATTCCTCCCATGTAAAGTCTGTTGCTTAAACTGAATTACATTTTGAAGATCATTCAACTCAGCACACTTACTCCTTAATTATTTTTTATCTTTTCAACTTCAAATTATTTGGTTCTGCAGAGAGTTTAATCCCATGTTCGAGGGCAACCTGCAGCACGATGCCCAGGAACTGCTGAGATGTCTGTTGTGTTATCTGGAGGATGCTGAGAAAGAACTCCATCAGATTCAGCTGGACCTTATAGCCTCAATACCCATTAGTCTAATGCCAGCTCAGCTTGCTCCAATCAATCCCATCATGCAACGCTTCCTGGCAGCTGGGAAGAAAGGTGAGAAGCCATCATCCACTGTCAGTAAGCCTCCTGTTAATGGAAGTGGTGATGGTCCATCAAAGGAAACTGTGAAGACCCAGCTGTTCAATGGCGAAATGACTGATGAAGTGGATGGTATGGTAATGACCAATGGAGGACATGAAATATTTGGCTCAAAAGTGTGTGAACTCTCAGCAGAAGGAAGTGAAACGGTATCATGCAACAAGAATCGGAAACGCCGCCACTCTCGCTCAAAAGTGGAAGATCCAGCCAAAAGCGTTTCTACATTTGACAGTGATGCCAAAGAACATCCTGACAAGTCAAGTTCCAAGGCTTCATCAGAAATGAAAACTTCTGAACCTGTTAAGAAAGGAAGAAAGAGACGATCGAAAGGAAAGGATGACTCAAAAGCTTCCAAGGATGATTCAGAGAATGAAAGCAAAGATAAAAGTGATCGTGTTGCAGATACTGGAGGTCATAAGAAATGTAGGCGAAGGAAGAATGTTCAACTCATTACATCCAGTGAAGATGGTCCTAAGAAGACCCAGTCTGATACTGCTCATTGTGGAGGTGATAAATCTCAGCCAAGTATATTGTCCATGTTAACTAAGTCAGGGCGTAGGCTTGGTATGCGAGGAAGAGTTGTTAAGAAAGGAGCTGAAGTAGCGGACACTGAAACTGTCAGTGTCAAACAAGAACCTCAAACTGTGGAGGATGAATCTGATGACATGATGGATGAAGATGAAGTTTCCTTTCCGAAGCTGAAAGCTTCTCCTAGGAAATCTGAAACGTGTGTAAAGTCACCATCCAAATTAAGTCAGGACTTTTCCCAAATGACATGTAAGTCACCATCAAAGTCTGGTGACAGGAACGGATCAGTAGATGTGAAGCAGCCTATGTTAAAGTTACAGAAGTGTGATCATGTGTGTAACAGTCCTCTGAAAAGTGTGAAGGCCACAATAGCGATGAATATTCTCAGCCCAGCAAAACGTCAAGTAAACTTTGATTTAGATGAGGACGACTTAAATAACCTAGATGATAGTGATGATGACTCTTTAGGACATCTTAAATCAGTTCCAGTCAAACCCTTGTCTGTGAAAGTTGAAAAGTGTGACCGGGTGTGTGATAGCCCCCAGAAGTCAGTCAGTGCTCACCTGGCCATGAAGTACCTCTCTGGCCACAAATTACCAAAAATGGACTTTGTAGAAAAGCTTTTTCAGGGAACGATGATGTTGAGAACCAGGTGTCTGGAGTGTGAGTTTTTTCGTGAGAGGAAGGAGGAGTTTCAGGATGTCAGTGTTCCCTTGAGGCGGGAGCAGAAGTCAGACGATGAGGAGGAACAGGATGAGGACTCGGGTAATTACTGTTCAGTGAATGGTGACACACCTACATTGTAGGTACTCAATGGTATGGAATGTCACTATTGATGATGTAGTCTGCATGAAAAATCAAGTTGTCATGTGTTCGTTGTGGGTGGGTGAGTGAGTGAGTGAGTTTAGCAATATTTCAGCAATATCACGGCAGGGGACACCAGAAATGAGCTTCACACATTGTATTCACGTGGGGAATCGAACCCGGGACATGGGCGTGACAAGCGAACGCTTTAACTGCTAGGCTACCCCACCGCCCCTAGTTTTACTTTTGTCATATTATCATTAAGGCCAGACACTGCACCTGACAAATGACAAAATGCTTCAAATGTATTTCTCGGTTTTAATTAGTTACAACTTAGATGTAAACATGTTGACATTTGAAAAAGAGACTTTTCCAGGGGATGTTGCCACCGGTTGCCATGGAAACATCCAAGATGGCCGCCGTAAGCCTGAAAAAGATGAAAATTAGTGAAAGTTTTTCTCTAAGACTAATAAAGATATCTATGTAATTACAGCTTTACAACATAGCTAGGGGTGTGTATGGTGCAATGACAGAAAAATGTTGTTATATTTTAAATTTATTTTGAAAAAAATCATTTTTTGGGGTTGATTTTTACTAATTTATATTTTTTTTTTTTTTAAAACAGGCAACAAATTTAAAAAAGTCTCTCTGTTATTGCATAAAGTAATCACTTGCCTATATGTAGACAAAATTTCATTCAAATCGGGCCAGTAATAGTTGAGAACTATGTTCACTAAGATCGAAAATGAGGTTAATGGAGAAAATAAGGAAATAAGTTTTGTGATGGTTTTACTACTTTAGCATCAAATAAACACATACAAAATCTCAGTTGACTGAAGGGATGTATTCCAAATACATGCAACAATGCATTTACAAAGAGAAAAAAGGCCTAAAACTCCCCTGCACCATACATCAACCCCTCAGTTGCCTCAACACAAACTCTGTCTCTTTTTTTGGCCTCCCACTTTGCTTTGCGTTCAACCCTGGAGTTATCCTGACTTTGCTTCCTTGCTTTGAGGGTTCTACTTGATCAAGTCTTTCAATAGAAGCTGCTGTCAGTTCATTAGCTTCTATTGCAAGCTTGTTCATCACCTGTGTAATGTGACAAGTACCCTCATTGAAGGAAGCAATAGCAGATGCGACTGCCCGATGCAACCGCCTCTTGCCGACAAAGACAGTCTTTGGACAGCGGGACCAGATCACAGAATGCAAGCATTCATTAGCATTCTGTGTCTTGCCCTTTGTCATCCTCTTTAGGAGGTTTTCATCAGACATTCTTTGATACACAGGTACCATCTGTTCGGCAATATCTGCATCAAGGTAATGTCTGATGTTGTCTTCGTGAGCAGGAGGCTCTTGATCATTGGCAAGTGCTCTATTGTAAAAACACCAGCTGGAGGAGCCATTGGGACACCTACTGTGATGGGGAGCATCATCAGTAGACATGCAGTGAAACAAAGTAGCCCAGATGGCATTCCTCGTACCATCGATGTTACCAACATTGTTAGTGATGGCAAAGCGGTAATAATACTGCAATTTCAAAGCTTTTTCTTTTGTCAGCTTCCCTCTGCCTCTACCACCCAATCTAAACTCTTTTGACAAATTCAGAAGAGCTGTGCCCATCCTTTTATGAGCATGGTTGATACAGTCTTCCTTGTCAATATTGATGTCTGGTCCATAAGGTTGAAGGTCGTTGACAGCCTTGTGGGTTTTGCTGTCACCATCTGAAAGTATACAAGTATAACGTACATTATGCTTTTCTAATGAACGGGACCATAGCCTCTTAGCAGCTTCCACTTCCATGGCATTGGAGCTGCCTTCATAGTTCTGGCAACACTGTCCAGCATGTCCTTCATACCACTGTCTGAACTCTACAGTGCCCTGTCCCAGACTGGTGATATGAAGGGTACATGAATGACAGTATTATGACAGGACTTCATAATCAATCACCAGACCTGTCAAAACATCGATGACAGCTCCAACACCATAATTTGAAGTGTGGCCTCTCTTCTGCCATGATCCGTCATAACTAACCGTAATGTCTAATGGCACATCATCTGAAACAGTTTGTTGCTCACCATAAGCTTGTTTGATAATTTCTACGCTCTCACTCAAAACATCCTCAGTATTTTCAATAATAACATTTGAAAGAATGTCTTGCTTGTGTAGAAATGTTTTAGCATGGAGACCCTCCATTCCAAAAACCAAACAAATATTTTTCATAGCAGCATGACCAAGTCCTATCTCTGACAAAAAGAGCATAAACATGTCATTGACTTGGAAGGGGTTGTTACCTGATTGCTTACCTGACCTTTGTGAGGTGTAGTTCTTGGCGACACACATCTGGCAGTTTTGACATGTCAACATAATTTTCATGGCCAATCCAAATCTATCAAAGTTATCACTCTTTTCAAACATCAAAGAACCTTGTTCATGACATGATGGACACTCAATCTCTTGAAAAAATAAACTCATTTGTCTCATATCAATAAGCATCCACTGAGGTTTGGGATCGTCATTGTCAAGGACATGAGATCGGGCGTTTTCAGAAGTTTTAAATTTTGCAAGTTTAATGTCACTGCGGGAATCTCCATTCAATGAAAACAGTGGGAACGTTGTCCTCGGCAGCGTTGTCCCCAGACGATCCCGCTGTATCTGCAATGTCCAAGCTGTCAGAATCTGACACAGGGTCGATCACGCTGTCACCACTTGTCCGATCGCTGGCACCTTATTTTGAACGTGCCTGCCGCAACTGACTTGCCCTGCGCCTCTTACTCTTACCATAGGCGTGCTTTGACCTGTTTTTTGTCCTCATTTTTAAATAATTCAACAATTTTCAGTCAAGAATATGTGAAAAACGATGTTTACCTGTCAATCTCTTCGCTAAGCAGCCACCATCTTGTATACCTACCGGGAAAGGCCGAAGTTTCGTTGCTATGCCGAATGGTGCATTGTGGGTAATGTTTTACCATATAAGGATCGAGCGAAGATTGCTGAGTGTTGCATTGTGGGACAGTTCGCTTTGCATAATGTTGCATTGTGGGATAGTTCGCCTTACAAGGAAGTTTCCGTACAGAATCACTACGTAGCGAAAATGGCGACATCCTTACATGGAATATCTATTTTTAGAGTGTTTTTAACCAGCAACATGGCGGAGACGATCAGCTTTCCAGCGATGTATAACATGAACGGGTTCGTCAGTGCTGGGTGGGCCTTGTCATGGGTGAAAGTTCGGGGTTTTCGGGATTTAATTACAAACATATTTAAATATTATCACACACATGCTGGTGTTTGTACCGGTTTATATTAATTAAAATGACTTTTTATCGAAAACAACGGGTTGTATCACGAAGTACATGCGTTAAATATGCGAAAAAAATCAAACGATTTTGATGTATTGAAGGAAAATTGTCAATTTAAGGTGCCGTGTCTGGCCTTAATCAAACGAACTGTTTGATATGTACTCATAGTCAGCAGCTGAAGAATAGATTGCTGTTACATCTCCATTGACATTGAGTCTCTTGTGTGACCAACCACTTTCAGTAGTCTTGAACAGGGACGGTGGGGTAGCCTAGTGGTTAACGCGTTCGCTCGTCACGCCAACAACCAGGGTTCGATTCCCAGGGGTGGATACAGCGAGAGAAGGGGGTGCACACTATTGAGAAAAGGGAGGGTGCACACTTCATTTTCACCCAAGTTTCAATGGTCATTTAATAAACATTCAGGACAAAAGGGGTGCGTGCGCACCCCTCTGGATCCGCCTATGATTCCCCACATGGGCACAAAGTGTGAAGCCCATTTCTGGTGTCCCCGCCGTGATATTGCTGGAATACTGCTAAAAGCAGTGTAAAACTAAACTCACTCAGTAGTCTTGAACAAAGGTATATGCATATGTGTTGGTGTGCAACTAAACCTCTAGAAGGACAAAAGTACTGTTGTGTGGCTGATATTCATATGAAAGTTTCACATTGAAAAGAGGCACATCATTTTTCGTCAAGGAAGTATTTGGTATGCAATTGAACATCAGTGATTCAGCAAACATCAAAAGGTAAATCCTCTGTATCCCAGATGATGATGACTCCTGCCTGTCCAAGCTGATGTCAGCGTTTACTGAGGTTGAACGTCTGCGTGACGACAACAAGTACTACTGTGACATGTGTAGATGCTATGTGGAAGCTGAGAGGTCCCTCCACTATGACCAGCTACCTGAAATCCTGACGCTGCATCTCAAAGCGATTCTCAGCATCATCAGGGTAAACTTGTTATTCATGAGCATAGTGTTTGAACGTCTTATGCTCTCTTTATCTTGCGGGTCAAGTAAGCACCAGCATAACACTACGTTCTGTGACTTTAGGCTGTAGTCTGAAGCCCAGATCTGTAAATTTCTATTCATTCTTATTGAGAAGTAATAGCCTAAGCATAATTACAATCTTCTGAAAATGATGCTTAGAGCCAAGTTCAGTGTATCTCAAAAAGTTTGGCACAGACTGATATTAGCTTCAGTAGCATCAATTACAGACATTAAACATTTAAGTGAACGACCTGTTGTAACATTGATTACCGGAGATTTATGTGGAAAACCCCTGAAGTGTTGATTATGTTTTGTTTCAGTATGTTTGGATGTGTGTCCAAGATCAATGACCATGTCACAATCCCCTTGTCGCTGCCATGCCTTAGGTACAAGTGCCCAAAGCCTTGCTGTCGACCTGATCATAGGTAATAACCTTCTCTCTCCAATCATAATGTATCCTGGGATGTAAAAGTTTTGGGTGCCAAATGCAAACTCACCCAAAAACTTGCATCTGTATTTCAGGTACAACCTCTATGGTATTGTGACACATGCTGGGGTGACGATATCATCTGGCCATTACCTGTCTTATGTCCGTGTTGACTCAGGACCTGTCTCATCTCATCAACCACTTGCCAGTTTCATCAAGACGGAATGGTCTCCGGTAAAGGAAGAAAAGCAAGATGACACAGACGTGGATACTGAACCTTCAACTGTGCAATGGTTTGAGTGTGATGATGAATCTATACGCATTCACTCGGACAAGAATTTTCGGGACTGTCTGACGTCAGAGAACAGTTCACTACTTGGGACACCATATGTCTTGTTCTATCAGCGTGTCAACTAGATCTAGGTCTAATCATTACAACAGTTATGTATGTCAGTTCGTGAACAGGAAACCATCTCTACTTGAGTATTATCAATATTGACTAGCAATCTTTGAAATATGACATTGGACAAACTCTTGCGATTATATTTTCCTAACAAACTTTTATTACAAATATGGTGTCACACAATTAGCCTAGTCTTCTAAAGTGCCGGAATTCACTATGCAGAGTTGCATCCCTTGGCATGCAATAAATCCAGGGTTGTAGGTTCAAATCCCAGTTCTCCCTGATTATGTTAAGATTTGTCACACCCATACTCATGAGTTTCAGTAAAATGATAAATGTCTGAGACCTCTATCACTTGGGCTCTTCTCCCACAGTAAGTTGACTTGCAGTGATATAGCTGGACTACTGTATATAGCAGCTTTAAACCAAACTCTCAGTTGTAGATGTGAGAAACAGACCAGTCCCTTTGTTTACTAGAAATATATTTGTTTTATGATTTGAAATATTTATTATCAGGATGTACATATTGCAACAGCAGGTTAGGTGATGTGTTTTTTTGTTTTATTGTATCTAAATGGAGGTGATAGAGACACATCACCAAAAGTCTGAGCACATACATTCACCATGGCCTTTTTCATATCGTGATCTGAATTCTCTTATTCTATTACAAAGATTTGCACTAGTCAGTTCCATGATCACTTTGTGGAAGTAGGCCCTGATGGAAGTGTGACCGTAATGAGTGACTTATTTAATACTGCATCACCAAGGTACACCTTGCTTTCAGTCAGCTGCCATATAGCTGGAATATTGCTGAGTGCGACGTTAAACAATGACAAACAAACAAAGCTTTCAGTCAGTCATAACGTAAGAAAAATGTTCCTTGTCATTTACAGGTATTATTTAGGGAAATACAAAGCTGACTTACTTCACTGACAGAAAGGTAGATCAGTGACCTTGTGAATATGTGATCACAGCTGAACTTTTGCTCCAGTGTTTGACATCTGTATTGTCAGACTACTTCAATGCCAATTCTGCTGCCGGATTAAAACAGTTATTGTACACTGCTGTGTCAAACAGTAACAACTACTGACTGAATCTCGACCCAGGAGCTGTTTTCCTGGACCTTGCCACCTCATTGCTTCCACATTGCTTGGCCAGTCAGGCATGTTGTAGTTTGACACAAGACGTATTAATAAAATAAATAATGTTTTGGTTTTCATAAGTCAGCATGATCCACATCCTAAACTTGTATCAAACTTGTTTTAGAGGATCCTGCAGATCTAAGAATGAATAAAAAGAACAGGTGACAAAGGAAATGGAAACCTTTTGTTTCTTATTTGTAAAATAACATTATTTCATAAAACATTGTGTTGATCAAGTTGTCAGTATTCCTACACTAAGCCAAACTTTATGATGACTATTTCCAGGTGTGTTGGTGTACATATGACATATTGTATGTTATTTATGACTTTTTCATCTATTATTGAACTTGTATCTGTATATATACATAAATATATAGTGATTGAGTATGTTGGATGAAGGTAATGCCAATCAGCATTCTGCCTGCACCTGAACTATTGAAAGAACAGCTGGGCTTGGAACAGTTGGAAGTCCTGACAAGTCTTCATTCATGTTTTTCCAAAACCCATATAGTGTCTGCCCAAATTTGATGCCATGTACAGGGATGAGAATATAACGCGGAATTTCATAAGGCCAAGGGTAATTTTTGTGAATCGTCTAAATCCGATAGATGCTAAACCCCTGGCTAGTTTTCAGAGTTCATTCTCATCCCTGCATGTAGATCAGTATGGATATTCTAACATACCTATGCATTGTAGCCACACACGTCACCCAATACAGCGTCTAAAACCTTGGGATATTTCAGTGCCTTGGTTTCTGTCAGGGGATGCTTTCATGTTGAGTTCAGAACTTTGCTGCAAAATCTTTACAAAAGTTTCATTTCATTTTAATTTATACTGACATGAATCAAAAAAAGTTCTAAGACATTAACTGTAACCCATGTGTGTACAACCCATTTCTTTTATGGATCTTAAACCCAGGGTGTTGTTGTTCGTCTATGTTAAGGTATGGGAGTTACGGTCACCTTAACACTAAGTTCGCTTTGTACAACGGCACCCTGGTAATTAGCAGCCACATGAAACAGGACTAAGCTGCTGTTGCAAGTTTGTCTATAAGACATGCTTATCTCTACAGACAGAGTTTGCTAAGGCACATAACCATGTGATTCACACTAATTTACTTTTAATCCTGCATTTCAGAAGACTTGTGTGTTACAGATCTCACCAATAAAAATAAAATAAAGATTTTTCCTTATCCTGACTCATGATTATTTGCTTTCTCATCCTCTCTTCCGAACGGTCAAGTGGAAACTTGAATCCTTTCAATTCCCTTGAAGCGAACGTACAATCACTCACCCTCATACCTCCCTTGGTTTCCTGCCAAAACCGGCACGTGACCTCGCCATGTTGGTCCTCTCTCTCTCTATCGCCCTAGCGGACGGTTGGGCAGTCACTTCAGGGTCCTTTCGCGGCTTATAACTTCAAATATTTTGGATATATAGCACAAATTCTACCGTGAATGTGTTTATTAATATGTTATTTATCATATTATTAACAAAATTTGTACAATTCATGTCAAATTAATTCACATATTACTCCGATACGACAACCCGTAGGGCCTTTTACAGGTTAGCGAGGTCTAGAGCCATCAACGAGGCGCTGATGTACGCTTTCAATAATCCTAAGACGGAGGAAGAAAAGATGATCCGGTCTACTCTAGTTGTCCAGCGCAAGGATCAGGAGTTTATCTCCGATCACTTGGCTTCTACATCAGCGGGCATCACTCTTCTACGTCGTCAAGGGTTGCTGAGTTCCTGTACATGGCCAGATGTCTACACCAAGCCTCACCTAAGGAAGCCTTGGGCAGTGCCTACTCTGTTTGACGCCGGCATCAGGCAGTTGTCACGTGAAGTATCTCGAGACTCCAAAGACTTGATGTTGATCAAGTCCGTCCAGACGATGAACACCATGGTGCGTCAATCAACTCAGCGTAGTCATACGTAGTCAGCGTGGTATACAGAGAGCCAAAGGGAAGAAGTTCCCAGCTACACGTGGCGGCAACATGGGATCCTTTCGTCGTCCCCGTAATAATAGAAGTTACTCAGGCCGAGGACGGGCCTCCAGCGGCGGCAGGAGATCCCATTACTGAAGGGCAGGTTCTGAGCGACTGGTCGCTTCCAGCCCCAGCCGTTCCTGTAAAACCGTCATCTGTGGATGGACGTCTGGGTCTATACTGGGAAAATTGGAGAGTACTACAGGACGACTATGTCACAGAAGTCTTACGAGAGGGCTACAGCATACAGTTACAGTCGACGCCACTGTTGACATGTTAACCGTTGGTCTTCAAGTATCCTCAGCTACAGCGAGACAAGCTCATCGAGGCTATCGAGATGTTGGTGGCAAAAGGTGCTGTAGAAGTCGTCGATGGGCTGGCTGGTGAATCATCAGAAGTCGGAGTTGGAACCGACCCAAGATCTACAGTTCTTAGGCATCAGATTCCTGACGTCGGAAAATCGCATCCTGGTTCCAGACAACCGATGGCAGAACATCCAATCGTGCATACCAGACGCCCTCAACACTCCACTAGATTTGAGAACGTGGCAGCAAATCTTGGGTCTACTGACGTCGGCACAGGCTCTCACCCGCAGAGGAAGATTGCAACTTCGTCCGCTACAGAGGTTCCTGATAGCTCATCTAGACAATGTCCAGAAGTTCGCCATCCCACAGCATCTAAAGCAATTCCTGCTTTGGTGGACAGTAAGGTCGAATGTCTGCGGCGGAACCTATTTGAGAGAGCCAAATTACAACAGTCATCTCTACGTGGATGCGTCCCTCCAAGGCTGGGGGGCACATCTCAACGACGAAGTTACAGCAGGGCGGTGGTCACAAACAGAGAACGGTCTGCACATCAATCAGCTAGAACTGAAAGCAGTAATAGAAGCAGTACTACATTGGGCGCCGCAGTTAAAAGATCAGGTACTGATGATACACACAGATTACTCCACGGTGGCATTTTACATAAATTTGCAAGGGTCCACGAGATCAGCGCCTCTGCTTCAACTGACGTTCCAGCTGTTCAACATCACAGACGAAATCAACCTGAAGATGAGGGCTTGCCACATCCCAGGGGCAAAGAACGTCCTAGCAGACGCTCTATCCAAACCAGTACGGCCGTCTCCCACAGAGTGGAAGTTACATCCGGGGGCGTTCCAGTGGATAACAGCCCAACTCGGCTGCCCTCTCATCGATCTGTTTGCGACCAGTTTCAACAATCAGGTGACAACCTTCGTCTCGCCAGTGCCAGACCTGCTGGCATGGGCTGTCGACGACTTAGCCATATCATGGGAAGGAATGAAGGCTTACGCCTTCCCTCCACCGATCCTGCTACCACAAGTACTACGCAAGATCAGCCGGACGAGGGTCCTACAACTGACTTTGGTAGCGCCTTACTGGCCAGCGAGACTATGGTTCCCAGACCTCATAGATCATCACGGCGAACCAGTGCTACGACTTCCAGATTGGCCGAATCTACTCGTCCATCCTCACACCAAGCAGCGTCACGGCAACCCAAAAGCATCCCAGTTACACATATGGAGCATATCACATACTGCTTAAAGAGTCGAGGATACTCCACTAGAGTAGCCAAGGCAGTAACCTTGGCTCTACATAGGTCAGTTTGAACAGTATGCTGTTCGACAAGGGTTCACGGCCAGAAGAGCGACTAATCCACAAGTAGCAGATTACTTGTGTCATTTGAGGTCCACTAGACATCTGAAGGGTTCCACATTGTCTACTTACCTTGCGGCAATAAGCTCAGTCATCACCATGAAGACAGGGGTGAAGTTGACCAAGGTGCCTGAACTTGTAGCCTTGCTGAGATCTTTCAAGTTAGAAGATCAACAACAGAAGTTCAGGGCACCAGCTTGGGACCTCAACATAGTACTACAGCACCTCATCAGTGAGGTATATGAGCCGCTGACACAGACGACATTTGAGTTATTAACTCAAAAGACGATATTCCTCCTCGCCTCGGCTACTACAGCTCGGATGTCAGAGATACACGCCCTTGACTTCAACCGTACGAGATTCGACACGGGAAGAAGGGAAGCAGTCCATCTAGGCCTTAGAGGGGCTTTATAGCCAAGAACCAGCTACCGGGACAACCAGGTCGTCAATTTTACGTTCCGGCATTATCAACCATACTGGGTCCACAGGACATTCAAGATCTATCATTATGCCCGGTCAGAGCGCTGAAAATCTACTTGCAGAGATCTGCTACGAGAAGGAGGAAGTTCAAGCGTCTATTTATCCCACTATCACCCGCTACGATGGTGGAAGTCTCCCGTACTACGGTCTCCTTTTGGATCAGAGCGGTGATCCTAAGAGCCTACAAAGCAGCAGGGTTAGAGCCTCCAAGAGCATCTAACCCACATGAAGTAAGAGCGTTGGCCTCGACACTCACCCTACGTGGAAATTGCTCAATATCATCTATAATGGAAAGCTGCTTTTGGAAGTCAGACACTGTCTTCGCTAACCACTACCTGAGAGACATCTCCATGAAAGATGTATCTGGAATACGTCAATCCGGCCCTCTAATCGTAGCGCAGCAACTCACTATGTCACCCTTGTCACGCAGTCTCGTTGACGCCAGGCAACTGTTCCATTTAGAGTCCATGTTCCCCTGTCTTACAAGATAAGTCAGCGCATGAGTGATACGCAGACTCAGTTATGGTGATGTTCTTGCCTTAACAGATGGGTCGGGATACCAGTTTCGGTAATGTTCTTACCGCAAACATATTGGGTCGTTGCAGAATATCTAGACAACAAGGCGTCTAGTATACTAAAGCCACAAAACCTAGGTTTACTTCTAATACGTATGTATAAGAAGGTGGTCCCCCAATTAGCATCAAGAAGATATTGAAGTTAACCACAGAAGAAGAAATTTCCCAGGGGGTAAATCAAGCGAACGCTGACGTGAATACAATCATGCAGGGAATCCCGTAGGTGGCTGACCCACCATCTTTCCATTGGATTCAGTAAGCAAATAATCATGAGTCAGGATAAGGAAAAATATGTAATTTTTATGATAAAATTAATATTTTATACTTATCCTGACTCATGAGATGAAGCCCTCCCAACCGTACCCTCTCACCACACGGGTTTCCCTGTAGACCTGTGTGGGGCATATAACGGAGAGAGTGAGGACCAAAGCATGGCGTGGTCACCTGCCGGTTTGGGCGGGAAACCAAGGGAGGTAATTGAGGGTTAGTGATTGTACGTTCCCTTCAAGGGAATTGAAAGGATTCAAGTTTCCACTTGACCGTTCGGAAGAGAGGATGAGAAAGCAAATAATCATGAGTCAGGATAAGTATAAAATATTAATTTTATCATAAAAATTACATTATTTTTACAGTATGATATTCTTTTTTTCAAACATTATTTAATTACTTGTTAATTACCATATTTAATCTTGGCTATGACTTTCATACACTCTTTCACTATTTGGATGTATGTAAATTCCTAGAATCCACCCTCTTTCTGAGGACCTCCCCTTTGTGTATTAAATTTCTGGTGAAATCTCTTCAGCCAAGGAAGTTTCAAACTGCATTTTTATGTCAAAGTTCAAAGTCACCCGTGACATGTAACATTAGTATCTTACTTTCTTTTGAATCTGGTGCAAGTATCATTTCACTACAGTGTATATATTTCATGTAGATCTAAGGAATTCTTTTGGCTCATGTAATGTGAAGGTCAAAGGTCAACATCAAAGGTCAAGGTCACAAGACCAATGCCATGTTCAGGATGGGGCCTTGCTTTGGGAAAGGCTTGGTAAATATGAAAGGGCAAAGTCAGCATTCAGTTTCTTGTAAAACATGGTTATAACATTGTCACTGACAGTCACTCTCACACTTTGTCAAGTGTAATTGGTGGGTCCTCCATTTTTGCGAGTAACACCTCTCAATAAAATATGAATCACCCAAGCTCTTTAAAAATATAACAGTATATGTTAACTTGCATGGCCCAAACTCTGTAAAGACAGAAGGGTACATATTTATTTGCAAGACTCACATGTTTATTGTGTGACCCAAGCTCTGTAAAGATACAAGGGTACATGTTTACTTGCATGACCCAAGCTCTGTAAAGATACAAGGGTACATATTTATTTGCAATACCCACATGTTTATTGTGTGACCCAAGCTCTGTAAAGATACAAGGGTACATATTTATTTGCAAGACCCACATGTTTATTTTCGTGACCCAAGCTCTGTAAAGATACAAGGGTACATGTTAATTTGCAAGACCCACGTGTTTATTTGCGTGAAACAAACTCTCTAACCATACATGGCTCTGTAAAGATGCAGGTGTACATGTTTGTTTGCATGACCCAGGCTCTGTAGAGATACAAGGGTACATGTTTATTTGCAAGACACACATATTTATTTGTGTGACCCAAGCTCAGTAAAGGTACAGGTGTACATGTTTACTTGCATGACCCAAGCTCTGTAAAGGTACAGAGAGTGGCTGACATATATGTTGGTGTTAGTAGATGATGTATGGAGAGCCTAATGTGATGCCTGTCTCTCATGTGGTGAACACTGCCACTGTTTCCCTTTACCTCTTCTAGATGACTGTTGTACTTTTATTGTTGTTGTGTACAGTTGATACATACTCATTGTGTAAGGCTATAAAATTTGTTACAGAAGAACTTGTTTTCAAAAGGCAAGTGTCCATATTGTCACTGTCCATGAATGAACATTTTTAGTGTGTATTTACAAAGCAATATTCTGCCAGTAATTATTTGCACAATATAAATTTGAAGTAAATTATGAACGATCAAATCTCTCTGATGTTTTGTGTTTCAGTCTATTCAAAAACTTCTTTTCAATTTCATGCTTTAATTAGAATGTTTATGTCCATATTTTGAAGTCTGGATGTAATGATTTTGAACATTGTCATTTCAGTTGATGTATTGCTCTACCTCTGGACTGTTGTCTTGTATTCTGTTGTCAGACCGTGTATGTCAGTGGCCTTCATGTAGTGCGGAAAGTCACAAGAACATTGATAGTGGATTTACTGTAGTGAAGGCTGGTAAAAGGATATAGCTTCCCTCCATGTCCTCCATAACTACTCATTCCCATCTTTTTAACTATTTATGACGGAAACACCTGTTGTTGGGTAATCATGCCATTTCTCGATTGTCATCACAGTAAGACATGTAAAATATTTGCTTTCCATATCTGAAATTGATATTTCTGTTATATAAAGAAGTCTGTAGTTTGGGGCTGAGATCTTTACAGTTTGTCAGGGTGCGTTCCAAGGAGTTCCTTTTCTCCCATTAAATGACAACTACCTTGTACCACTAGTTTTTAACACAAAGACTTGCAATGCACAAAACATCTTCTTAATCTGGATATTTCATATACTTTTGAAACAAGATTTTGTTTATTTCAGTGAGAATAGTCATTTTTGTTTAGTAGCTGGGTAACAATTTTAAACTATTAGCAATACCGACATTCAGTGTGATCTTGTAGACAATGGGTACAAACTGCCCTTTCTCAGTCGTACAACCAGGTACTGATGTATTGTAGTACATATTCTCAGTCATTCCGTTTGACAACATGGAATTTAAAACAAGTGGCATCCACTTTGTTGTGGCATGTTGTGAAAAAAATTATGGCTTCATTGCCAGTCTAAGTAAACTTTAGGCTCAGTATTATTCGTTACACTGCTATACTGAGTCTAACAAAACCTTGTGGAAGGTCGCGTCAGGTAACCTTTGAGCGACCTATGACCGTCCAATCAAATGCGAGACCACCGAACGGATTTAACCAATCAGACAACGGCTACTATTTAGGGTTTAGCGGGACTTACAAAATGGATTTTCTCTTCCCCGGTCGCCAACACTGATCTCATAACAAATGAAAACCCGCATAAAACCGTATTATATGACCTGCAGAATATACGCTTTAGGGTTTCTGTTGACGTGGCTATCATTAGCTAATATTTCCACAAGCTGACATCCTTGAATACTGACAAAACGCTTTTCTCAGCGACTGTTTACTCACTCTTGTGGCGTGCTCCATGTGCATCACTCAGAAGCGATCGTACGGAAAATAGCATTCGGAATCGTTCGGGTACAAAAAAAAATTGAGGTAAAAGTTCAAAAGGTATGTGCGAATGTCAACTTTCGCGATTTGGTAAGCTGTGTTCTGATTGGTCCATTGACAAGGTCAGCTGATGCGACCTTCCACAAGGTTTTGTTAGACTCCGTATAGCAGTGTAACGAAAAATACTGAGCCTAAGTTTACTTAGACTGGCTTCATTGCTTAAGGTGAAATTAGGAGCTTCTGGCTATAAGGCATGATGTGTTCAGGTGAGAGGCCTACGTGTGATTTCTAGTTGTCAACATTTGAAGGTTGTAGTCAGTATAGTACTGTATAGTTTAAAGCTCTTACTGTTGTGAGGAGTGCCAGGAAAGCAGTACTGAGGTCACTGAATGTGCTCAACTGTCAATTACGATTATGTGATAATCCCAAATTTTATGATAATAAACATACATCAAACATCACTTTGCTGCTGTTATTCACCTAAATACTTGACATGGGATTTAATGTCAAGTTCAAAATTTTTACAGGACGTCAGATAGTATATAAATATACAATTTATATTAAAATTTTGAATTATATAGCAAAATGCATGTACATGTGTGATTGCATGCATGATTATCATGTTTGTAGTGCTACCTGATTGAGATAGCATTTAGCTGTTATAACAAGAATGCCCCTCTCAGGTAGTATATTGACCAATCTGTTTCATCCGCATGAGTGTTAACCCCATTTCTGGTGTCCCCCGCCGTGGTATTGCTGGAATATTGCTAAAAGTGGCGTAAAACTAAAATCACTCGCTCATCCGCATGACGCAGAGTGCCAGGCAGGGTAACAACAAGTACCATCTTTTTGTATGCACAAAAATTGAAGAGTTCAGAAATTGTTTCATCTGAACTGTCAAGACCCATGAAGATGCGGGATTGATCTTCAGTAACCCATGCTTGTCATACGAAGCGACTAACAGGATCAGGTGGTCTGACTCACTGACTTGGTTGACACATGCCGCCGTATCCCACTTGTGTAGGTCGATGCTCATGCTGTTGATCACTATATTGTCTGGTCCAGACCACGGCCATATACCCGGTAGCTGGAATATTGTGAAGGGTGGCGTAAAACTAAACTCACTCACTCACTCTGAACTGTCAACTATGAGGTCAATCCGACCTTCAGATCGTGATGACACAATGAACCTTTCAAGCCTTCTTTGTTTCCACAAGCATTTCCTACTGCAGACACAATCCAGAGTTACTCAAGAACACACTGTATGAAACATTACAAGACAACATACTAAATAAAATTATTTATTTCTCACTCCAGTCAGTCTATACATACACTCGAGTACCATAAACACTTAACAGTGGTCAACACTAACGCCTTAACAGTCAATGTTTTAAAGAGTCTTGAGATGACATCATGGAACAGATCCAATAACATGATGTGTCACATTGAGATGATCCAAATTTTCCGGTAGCCCTTCACATTCACACAGCCTCTCATTGTTCAAGGTGGAGCAGATGAGTTGTCTAGGAACCACTGAAAAACAAAAAAAGATGCTCAGATAACTTAAAGGACGCAAAACATTTTCATAATCACAGCATGTACATGTTTCTGGTGATCTCTTCTCACAGCTTTTTGAAAATGCTCAAACTTTAACGATATTATATGACTACATGACTGATCAGACTTATCCTTTAAGCTATAAATGGCTACCAATATGTTTGTATCAGAAAATATAGAGGGTCTTTGTCTCCCTCAATCTAGGTATGTTACATAAGCTAAAAACATATTTGTAAAGGAACCAGATTTAAACCAATGACCATAGGAACATGACATGCCCCATCTGAACAGCACATCATCATGGACTACTGTGGCCCCAGGTTGGTATGATCGAAAGAGTAGTGAAAAGCCTCTGAACATGACTATTATCTGTAGTAATGTATTGGGTTGGTTTGTGTTTAACGTCACACTAAACAATATGATGGCGGTATGTAAATAATCGAGTCTGGACCGGTCAGTCCAGTGATCAACATCATGAGCATCGATCTACACAACTGGGATCCAATGACATGTGCCAACCAAGTCAGCAAGCCTGACCACCCAATCCTGTTAGTCGCCTCTTACAACAGGCATGGTTTGCTGAAGACCAATCCAACCCAGATCTTCACGAGTCGGTAATGTATTGTGACTATGGCTGTACTTACACAATGATGTTGTTGATGGGGATGTGGATCAACTTTACGAAGAATCCAATGAAGCCCATGATGCAAAATCCTATTGCTGTGGCAATTGCGATCTTTTGGAATTCTGAAAACAGGTTCACAGAATATTTATGACTCATGACCCAGTCTAATCACAACCTTATGATATTTTTCATATATATTTTCAAATCTTCCAATATCGGAAATTATTTTATCTTTGCTTACATAAGTTCATAACCATAAGCAGCTAAAACAAAAATGTTTTCCAAAAAGGACATTGGGCTTTTGAAAGAAGGTTTGAATGTAAAGCATTATGTCAATGATATCTCTAAAAGAACTTTGAAAATATAATGATATTGACTTGTTAATAAGGTCTATTCAAGTCTTTTTGGTTTTACTATCATCATGTTTAGAAACACAACATTTGCCACATACCTTTTCTGTCAGGCTTTGTACATCTTTTCACAAGCCTGAGAGAATCCTTGGCAAACTGTTTGCCAGGTTCAACCCATTGCATAACCTGATCCATGGTTTCTGAAATTAACATTGAAGGTACTATTAGACATGATTGACTGAACAAAGTCAATTAGATATAAGGACAACAATTACAGGTGCAGTCATGGACTTTCTTTGCCATTCAGTAGTATCTAAAAAAAACACCCAGATATGAAATGTGTTAAATAGGCAAGACTACCCCAACTCTGGATCCTTGAATGAAGATAATGTCTGTCAGACATATTCAACAGATCTCCAGATCTTAGTCTCAGTACTATTCGTTACTACTCAGTATAGTAGGGTCACGAATAATACTGAGGCTATGTTTACTTAGACTGATGGTACACTGGAAGCAGTACTATACACAAGTATATTGTCATATTGATTATATAGTAGTGTTTATTTAGAAATAAGATCATGCAATATGTGTAACAATTTCTCACTTCCAATATGTTATCTAAATCCAAATCAACAGTCTACTATTAGGCCTCTAACTGTTACATATTGGCTTATGAGTATTAGATATGTAACAGTAAGTAAATTTCATCATCATAGTTGCAGCTCCAGTGAATCTGAACTTTTATGATAACGTTAACGCATCGCACACCAACAATATGGTGAAGCGAAATACTAAAAAAAGCAAAACACATTGTGTATCACAACAGACGGACTGGCAGTCTGAGATGCGAGATGAAATACAGATCAAGCTGACAACTGTACCAGTGCTTGTGACACGTCACACAAACTGGGCATACGCTTACATTAAATACACACAACTAAATAATCTACATAATCTGTTTTAACGAAAACATCAACATTGAAGGACATTGTAGCAAACAGAAAACATTTTAATAAATCAGTATTCAACTCACCTTGTAAATATTTCAAGTAGTTCTACCGGCCGTGTTAAATTTTCTGACTGATATAGCTACCGGAAGTGACGGAAAGAAAGAGTGACGTCTTGACACATACGATCTGATTGGCCAAACGGAAATGTGCTCGATTTTACATTGGTCGAAGCAGGTGCGTGTCAGTTCATTTCGGCGTGTGAACAGTTATCTCCCTTTGTAAGATCCAATACGCTCTCTCGTCAGGGTTCACGTGAGCAAAGTCGAACTGACAATCTTACCCCATCATCCAAGTGCATTTTGATTCAGTTGGTCACTACAATCAGGGAGACTATATAATATATGTTGTAGAGTATCCCTGCTACAATGAAACAGTTGCAGATAAACCTATGATATATTTTAAAAGCCTCAGAAAATAGATGACTAAAACTTGATCAATTCGAAAATGACAATGCATTTATGAAATGTTTCTTTCTAATGACACGTGTCACAAAGGGTCCATTATTTATTATTCTCACAATGCGATCTCATAAACGTGATCGTCACTTTGCTTGAGGTTATAGACAGTATCTACATATTGAATACCCAGAGGCGAAATTGCTCACCACTTGATTGTCTGTATTGCATAACAGCCAATGATATATGGGGTGGACGCACCACTAATCCGAATATACTACAGTCGAACTTCACAGCTACTCTTCCTGGTGATGTAACCGAATGTCAACCCTCACCGTTGTAATTGAATATGCGAGGATTTTCAGTAAAATGCATGAACTGACAGGTGCCCTTGTTTCAGATCTCTCTAAAAAGCGAAATATTTAGTTAATTTTGCACGAACTGTGCATCATGAAATAAGTAAATATCATTTTGATATGTATTCAGTACTAATAACAATTAAACTATCAAGAACTTCTATCTAACCCAGCCGTTACTAATCAAAGTCGAAAGTACATTGTGAACATGTTTTTAAACAGACATATTGCTTTAAGTCTTCCTTGAATATGTATGCAATATTAAATCATATTTGCACATGTGACTACGACATGTTTAACTTTAAATTATCCGCGAGCTCAAGAGACCATATTGCTGAATAAAGTATTGTCTCATTCATAGCAATTACATATTTAATAAATTAGAAGTTACTATGGATAATCAACTTCTTTATTGCAACTGCAGTGACATTTCGGTGTAGATAAAACACGATTTCAATCATTATTCTATATATGCTATATATTCATATGGCAAACCAACGGTGTTTAAGTCTACAGGTAAACGTCACAACTGTTCAAATATTACAAATGCAGGGATGATGAACACCCTTACTATCTTGCCATTAGTTGCAAACATCCATATCAACTCAAAGCTCGTATTGTATACTCGTCTAGATATAAGGAACATGTTGCTGTTGTTGATGCTTGACTGTAATTCGTTCTTGAAATGACTTGGAGAAAAGTCAGTCATTAACATCTGATGACTGTCCAGCTCAGTATTAGCAGGGATAATCTACAGCATATTTTATTCTCCCTGGTGTTAGAGAGCTTGTCGTTCACCAACTACATGTATAACCGCATCGGCGGATCCAAGGGGAAGAGTGAAACTTCCTGGATACTCCTGGAGAGGTCGGCAGGTAGTCTGTCTCACAGTCCCTGAACCACAGTATTTTCCCTATTGCCAAGCCCTCTCTGCAAGGCTAAAGTAGTAAATGAAGCAAGTCTAGATTTCTTCAGGTTCTGAATCTCTGGTCTCCATGGGCTCCTTTTCAATTTATATGGGTTTGTTTGTTACTGTCAAAATTATATATATTCAGAGACTAAGCGTTAGTCTACCTGGTCTTGGCCATTGGCCACATGTCTTGTATTTTGGTCAACTTCAGCTTTGAGGGAAACCTAACAACTGACTTGAGATGCAAACTAACTGATGTAACAGTATAATAACATCCTTCTCCATCAATGACCAGAAGGTTGAAACTGTGAAACCGTACTTGGAACTATTATTGACATCTCAAGATAAAGTTGCTGTGATCCAAAGTCAATGCTAGAATGCTTGCTTATTTACGTGTGCGTGTGCGCGCATTCATATACATGCTATTATGAAATAGTTCCTTCACTTTAGTGAATTTGGTGTATCTAACTTGTAAAAATTCCACTAAATTAAAAACCCTACGTTTCCTAGTTCCTAATAATGGCCTCAACGGAAAGGTACATGTGAGTGTGTGAGTGAGGTGGTTTAACACCGCCTTGAAAGGTAGCCCAGGTAGGTGATTGCGTGCCAGCTTGAGGTGTAAGGAAAACTCGATCATGCTTCTAAAGACGTTTACAACTTTGGTTGAACCCACATGCTGACACTGAAGGAAACATAAAAGGGACCAACTAAGATTCGAACTCACAGTCATGAGTTTCTGGTATGCCCAAGGGACACAACTCTTGACAGCGAGGACAGAACTATGTCCAGCAAGGTAGCTATACTACTACTATCAAGGTATCTTAGCTAGTATGGACATAGTATGGCTCATTGGAAAGCCCATTGCACCTACTTTTACATAAGCTCTGGTGTGGTTACCAGACATGCTCCAGTGTTTTTAAAAACAACATGTCATGTGACCCCACCCAGGCCAAAAATATATAATTACGACCTTTAATTTAGATTTTAAGTTTCCATCATATGATATATGGCTTTAAGGCATCTTTTGAATTGTTTATAATTAATTAAATGACTGAAAGGCAATAAATGCAGATAAACACCTGAAAATAATATTTTTGGGTAAACTCAGCTTTTTTAAAAATTTACAAATCAATTTTCATGTAACACACATCAGCCCATCAGCAGGTGCTAAATTCCAGACTCTTTATTGACCAATCACAACGCGAAGAGGCAGTCAGTGCGTACCTATGAATTCTCAGCGGAAGTTGACAGTAGTTGCTACGAAAGGTAAATAACTTGATGTGACACTTCTGTTATAATTAATTTAAGCTTCCATTTTTGTTAAAACGTACTTTCATGAATGATGATATTGTACCGGTTATAATTCTAATGTTATCTGAATGACTTGATTTGAATTGAAACGATCGGATCGATCAAATTATTCATCCATCACTACTGACAAGAGAGTAGAGTCAACCATGAGAGTGAGGAGTTGAAATGATTTGAAGAAGACATTTCTAGAAATGTATATCTATGCGTGTCTGCTTTTCATAACCCTAAATTATATGTATGTCAGAATATTTGATTAGTCTGGTGACTCATAAGAATGTGCGATAGCTGGAAGCAGAGACCATATAATAGATATATGGTCTCTGCTGAAAGTGATTGACTCTAATAATGGCATTTCTGCTAGTTCTGCTCTTGTCTTTATCAATAACTAATAATGGTTATTGATCTTGATCATATTCACACAGTCTCCTGTGGTCATCGTTAGGCCTGTGGTATTCAATGATGCTCTAGGTCTCCTGTGCTGGTCGTATAAATGCAAGTTAATAGATTTGGTGCTTAGATCGAACGGTTTGTTTGATTGTGTGCCATGTAATTCTCAAACGTCAAGGCATATGTTTCTCAAATTGTCAATCTGTCATCAAACTACATGTATCTGGTCAAGACTTTGATGCTTACAGTTTTCCTTCATACAGGAGGATTATTACGGTATACAATGCTCATCAGTTTATTAGTTACGTATAACTTCTGTTTGTGTCCTAATAGTGGGGCTCAAAACCCTTATGAATGATACTGGTAAATGTTCATGCTGACTGTTAAAAGTTCATGAAATGAAAATAATGATTAGACATGATGATAAAGTGATTAACTAGACCTACTCAGAGGCTGATGTTCATCATCAAGTCCATAGCGATATTTTCACTATTTCCATATTCATGTCACTGTGAAAGTGATATAAATTTTACAGAAAAGAGAACCCATAAAGTTCAACTCCTAATGTTAAACTCTTGCATTGAGGGCAATGCTACTTTTCAAGTTAAAAATGCCTCTTACAATAAGAAAATGTAAACATGAAAAGAAATCCTACATTTGTACAAAATGATTTATGTTTCACAATTTGCTTGCCTTGGGCACTTTAAGTTTGCAGATGTGTGTGCCTTTAGCAAGCAAATTGTGAATTTTAATTTATTCAAATAATTATTTATGTATATACTGGCAGGATTTCTATAATTCCCAATTATGTTAAATTAAAAAACCAACTTACTGTATCGCCTATTTATTGGTCCTCTTAACAGTGGTGAAGTACAAATCACAAATACCAAGATATCTCGTCATTTGGAAGATCTTTTGTTGTCACTGGGAAGTTTTTGACTTGGATTTAAATATCAGCATTTGAGAATGTCTCAAATATAATGATGATGATGATGATGATAGGATATTTATATAGCGCACATATCCACGCAACTAGTACATGCTCAAGGTGCTTGAGTGTTCCCTTGATCAACGGATGTCTTTTTTTCTGGCATTCTTTTAACCATCTCAACTCCCTGGGGAGTATTCAACTCATGCAGCCTGTTATGCGCAGCGAGTTATCACACAACCTCATCCTCACAAGGTATCCATTTGCAGCTGGGTGAGCTGGGACACGTAACCACAGTATTTTGTCCAATGATACTGCTCGTTACTATACCCGCAACTAGGTGTCTGCACGTATTCGTGTGTCCACCATCTGGTCTCCTACCATCGGATGAGTGGGTTCTTTTAAGTGCACAGGGTTGTGTACTGCACACTAGGGGTTGTGACAACACTGAAAGAGCCTGCAAGTAATGTTAGCTCCAAGGTTTTTACGCCCGGTCACAAGTGGGGATCGATCCAGCCACCTGTCGCGTACTAGTGCGGGTGTCAGGCTGGGAAAATCACATTTAAAAAATGACTATTGCTGGGAAGGCCATGGCTGTAGCTGGTAAAGCCACATTTCCAACAGATTAATTAATTAATGGATTACTATAACCGGTGAAAGAGTGTCCCCATGTATAATATTGTCTTTACTCAAAAGGGTGGTGTTTAGAGATACCGGAGAAAGACTGTCCCTATTTATGGTTTAAACATATTTATTTTCAGAAGCCTGGGTTGGTAAAAAAGCACCGTTCTGCTTATATAAATACCGCAACATAACAATTCCAAAATAGTGATGGTTACAAGTAAACGAAAATAATAAAGAACTCATGTGTTCATAGATAAAGAAGCATGTGTTCATAAGTAAATGAAGCAAAGGTGCGATTAACAGTAAGATCACTACATCCTAGTCTCAGTCGACTGTGAGTTATTTGACAGTTTCTACTATCATAGTATACCATAATAAACTACCATAATATTCACAAGAAACGAATAATTTTTCCTACTCACAAGCGTGGTGTTTAGCATTATCGGTAAAACACTGTCCCTACTTATATTTTTTTTCATAAGACATCAGTAAACTCCAGTCCAGATTAATCTAACTGATTTCTTTCCTACTCAGCGTGTTGTGATCTGAATAAAATTATGAGGAAACATGTCTTGTTTTGTTAATTACGGTATCCTGTTTGAATCACTAAACATGTTTGACAGCATAGCCAGGAGAGCCACATTCCATGTTCACGCAACCATAACTATTGCCGGGAGAGCCAAATCAATTTTGGCTATCTGATTTGGAAATGTGGCTCTCCTGGCCTGTAACCCTAGCTGCGGCTCCTTAGACAGCTTGCCCACCATGCCCCCAGTATCTGCACACAATAGTTTTTGGTTTCAGTATAAACAATGATAGAGATGGAGGACGCCTCACTGAAGGAGCAGTTTGAGAGGCTCCAGGAACAGCAGAGACAGAAGTTGATGAGAAGGAAACAGAAGAAAGACGCAGAGAAGGAGAAACCAGAAACTGCCAGAAGTGCATTTGGTGTTACTGATGAACTGAATCTAAAAGTAAGTACTCTCTGCCCCATGTGTTCAGCTTTACTGAAAAGGCACTAGTCCTGTAGACATTTCCACGTGTACTGTGAGAGTATTCAACCAATTTAATCAAACTCAGTAATTAGTGCTTACTGCTGCTACACAAAGCTCATAGTGAGTGCTGATAGTCGATCTGTTATTGGTCAATTGATATTCATACACCTAGTCATTGGTCAGAAAGTCCAGCATGTGTTGAAGTGAAATGGTATTCCAAAACATTTACTGGCTATTGCACACGTTACTCTATGCTCTATTACACTATGTGTTTACCTTTGGAATATCAGATATTTCAACGTGTTCAATAATGTGAATATCAGTTACTTAGACAGTGTAACAGTCAACAGTTACACACAAGTATGTGTTAGCATAGGCTACTGACAAGCCTTGTGGACCACTAACTTTAGATATTCCTCTGCCATTTCATTTGACCCCTGAACTAAGCAAGCAAATAATGTCAGTGCCAGTGTTAAACATGCACTGATGATTCTGAAAACTTTGCCTATGTTATTAGCTTTCTAGCGATGTGAATGTTAATGGATTTCAAATACAAAAATGGTGTGTGTTTGTGTAAATATTACAAATGCTATTACGTAATACACACGTTTCTACAGCTTGCTGACCCCCCTGCAGCAAGTAGTTTTCTGTCTGAAGAGCTGGTGGATCACCTCAACGACCAATTAAGGGTAAGTATATATGTATTAATTAATGAGTTATGTGAGACATCAAGACATCATCTAATATTGTTAATATGATTATCATATCAGTATTTGTATAGGTAAATATTGGTATCTGCCCCACAAAGAAGATAGCTGCTATTATTTGTGGGTTTAAGTTCTTTATTGCTTGGTTATTTATTGTTAGATATAGACTGTTTAAGTGCTTAGTGAAATGGAACAGATTCATGAGACAAGAACATTTTTTCATGACTATGTTTTGTTTTTCAGGAACTGAAGGATGAAAATGGACGTCTCTACAAACTGCTGAGTGAGAGAGATTTTGAAATCAGGAATCTAAAAAAAAAGAAAATAGAAGAAAACTCAGCAGTGGCAGGTTGGTGTTGAAACTGATATGTAAAATAATGTTTTAAGTCAGTTACTCTCTTAGTAATTAAAAATTCTCAGTATGTATATGTTATTGTTGACAGAGTATTGTTTGTTTACTGAGCCTCTTAATTTGACATTCTTGAGAAAAGAGAGTTAATAGTATTTGATGAAGACTGATTTTGCATCTACTCACCAGAACATGTGTTGAGGCCATATTTTTATTTGGTTCTCAACATGCGATTATCATCTGGTTGGTGTAATGTGGTCCTGTACATAGAAGCCCAGGTCACAAATCAGTCAAAGTTAAGTAACGTTGGTTGCAGCCAGTCCTTGGATAGGTGACTGTATTTGGCAGCTTGACTCCTGAGAGTTTCTAGGTCTTCAGTCCTGCACCACAATGAGGTATGCATGACACATGTGGTCTCACCTAGGGCAAGTGGGTTTGTTCATGAATTGCATCTGTTCACCCAGCAGTGAATGGGTACCTTGTGGTATAAGTCATATGACTGTTAATCTTCTAGCGCCTCACGGGCAGCTTGGGTTATCCAGGGTAATAATGTGTTATTGCCTTGAGGATATATTTTATACATGGTCATTATTATTGTTATTATATTAACATATGATTATCATCTGAATGTATGATACCAATAACCTGCCTGGAGAGAGACCTGCTCCTTGGTGTGATGATGTTAGTGAGAGTACCAGGCAGGCAACTGCAGCTTTGATTATATCTGCGCTGATTTGTTGTCTGATTATATTTGACACTCCATTTGAAGGTGTGACAAATGAAACTGCTGCAATAAAGATTGTCGAACTATCTAAGAAAGTAAGAGAGTTGACAGCAGAGTTAGAGTGTGGTTTGACATGAATTGCACTCCACCTTTTGAAGGTGTGACAAATGAAACTGCTGCACATAACTAGAGCTAGAGAGTGAGAGGACAAAATGTAAACAGCTACAGAAGAAGTGTCAAGATGCCCAGAGACAGGTCAGCACCCTTCACTGTGTTTGTTTGATGTTGATGCATGTTATTTTGTAACATATAGATGATTAGTTTGTGCACTTGGAATGTCACTTGTTAAGTAAAACATTTGTCTTTTTATCAATATTTGTATATTTGGGGGATGTATGTACTATGCTGTACTTAAAGTACTATGGACCTTCCAGGTAGAAATAGACCCCATGCAGGGGTGGAAATAACCCATTGCCCGACGCCCGAGTCCAGTGTTTTATTCTGTCGGGCAAGCAAATTTGTATATCACACTGTACCGGTGTCCAGTTGATATTCCAATGTTAATTATGTTGTTTATTTAAAAAATCAACAAGAAAACGGTCGGTATAGTGGAAAAATTATCAGGGCAAGTGATTTTACATGTGCCACAGTACCGGAGTACACTAGCAATTTTAAAGTTATTTCCACCCCTGCCATGTAACCTGGGCTCGTCATACAGGCTCAACCACTGGTTTGCTTTACCCAGATTGGGGTTTTAGGTTTGGTTATACATACTACGAAAAGGAGTTAAACCACTTCCAAATATTTTATTTGACTGTAGTTGTATGGATAAATCTGTTCTTTAACAGCTTTTGAGTTGTATGGCTGAATTATAGCTGGAGTATTGCTGACAGTGGAAAACCTAATGCAGTATTTCACATCAGTTCCTTTTCTAAAAAGATTGATTAAATATAAAATGTCTTAAAGGCTTTTTTTGAATTTAGTAATAATATACATGAATGTCCTATAAAAACTGATAAAATGGTGAAAATGTCCATTGTCCCAAGCAAACTCACTGTTAATGATAATTCTTTTTCCATTTTATTTTCCATTTACTTTTTATTGTTGTGTTGTTGTGTATATCATAGCTCACAGTATTACTGCACTATCCAGGTGACACAGCTCAACAGCATGCAGACCGACAATCACTCCATGATGGGCTCCATGATCAGCCTGCAGTCACAGTTTCTAGATGACAAGGCATGTCACGTACACACTAAACTCTGTATATATTCCCCATTGCTGTAGATGTCATGCACACACTAAACTCTGTATATATTCCCCATTGCTGTAGACAATGCACACACTAAACTCTGTATATGTCCCCATTGCTGTAGATGTCACGCATACACACTAAACTCTGTATGTCCCCATTGCTGTATACTAAACTCTGTATATATTCCCATTGCTGTAGATGTCACATTACACACTAAACTCTGTGTATATTCCCATTGCTGTAGATGTCAATGCACACTAAACTCTGTATATACGCATTAACACTAAACTCTGTATATATCCCAATTGCTGTAGATGTCACGTGCACACACTAAACTCTTCAATGCACACTAAACTCTGTATATATTCCCCATTGTCATGCATTACACTAAACTCTGTATATAGTCCCCATTGCTGTAGATGTCAATGCATTACACTAAACTCTGTATATATTCCCATTGCTGTAGATGTCATACACACTAAACTCTGTGTATATTCCCCATTGCTGTAGATGTCGCAGTCACACACTAAACTCTGTGTATATTCCCCATTGCTGTAGATGTCATACACACTAAACTCTGTGTATATTCCCCCATTGCTGTAGATGTCACGCATTACACACTAAACTCTGTGTATATTCCCCATTGCTGTAGATGTCACGTACACACTAAACTCTGTATATATTCCCCATTGCTGTAGATGTCACGTACACACTAAACTCTGTATATATTCCCCATTGCTGTAGATGTCACTCTGTATATGCATTGCTGTATGTCACTAAACTCTGTATATATTCCCCATTGCTGTAGATGTCACGTACACACTAAACTCTGTATATATTCCCCATTGCTGTAGATGTCACGTACACACTAAACTCTGTATATATTCCCCATTGCTGTAGATGTCACTGTAGATGTCACGTACACACTAAACTCTGTATATATTCCCCATTGCTGTAGATGTCACATACACACTAAACTCTGTATATATTCCCCATTGCTGTAGATGTCACGTACACACTAAACTCTGTATATATTCCCCATTGCTGTAGATGTCACGTACACACTAAACTCTGTGTATATTCCCCATTGCTGTAGATGTCATACACACTAAACTCTGTATATATTCCCCATTGCTGTAGATGTCACGTACACACTAAACTCTGTGTATATTCCCCATTGCTGTAGATGTCACGTACACACTAAACTCTGTATATATTCCCCATTGCTGTAGATGTCACGTACACACTAAACTCTGTATATATTCCCCATTGCTGTAGATGTCACGTACACACTAAACTCTGTATATATTCCCCATTGCTGTAGATGTCACGTACACACTAAACTCTGTATATATTCCCCATTGCTGTAGATAATGCCTGCAACTGGATCTTAAGGTTTTGAATAAAGCTTTTAAGATGTAGAAAAATCTATTATTACATACCCAAATATTTAAAATGTGACTTTTACTGTCATTTGATACATGAGAGGTGCACCTACCACCATATGCAACGGCATCTTATAAGTAGTTGGCTGTATACAGCATTTTGTTTCTATTTTCAGAATTAACTGTAAATAAATTGAATGTACTGAATGTTGTATGGTGTCTTAATGGTAAATGTCCTTAAGCATGTTCAGGAAGGTTTCACATGATTTCCCACGTAATCAGATTTCACTTCTGTGGGTTGGAATGCTTACATGATGGTACAGATTTAACACATTGATAATAATGACAGTCATGACAGATCAGATGTATTATAAATATATGAATACTTGAGGAATACTTGGTGCATCCTCAGTTAATATATGGTAAATAGTCAGTGGTGTTGTTCCAGACTGATGATGGAGTGGATGTGAAGGGGCTGCAAGATAAACTGAAACAAACTGAAAGTAAACTGGCGGACTACCGTAACCAGTGCCAGGCCCTCAAACAGGAGCTCAAAATACAACACAAGGTGGGAACTGTCTGTTTAACCTGTCTTACAAACAATTGATCATTTTCACTGACTTTAGAAGCAGGAGCAATTAGCTCCTGAAATGCCTGCCTTGCCTTAAATATTGTTCCTTGATAATCCAGTGTGTACTGCCTCATTGTTATTACTACAAAACCCTGGTCCCATTCAGTACCAAAGCTTCATCTTGAACAGATTCACATGATTTGATGCTATGGGACCGTTCATAATGAATGGCTAGGGGTGTGATGATGAATTTAAGTGGGGGGGGTCACCCATTTTGTTCTGGGGAGGTGGTGGGGGTCATCTATTTTGTACATAAAAATATAGAATAATTATGCATAAAAAAAGAATTATGGGAATTATGGGAATGGGGTGGGGGTGGGCAGCATTGATTTTGTACATGACATGCAGGGGGGTCTGTCACTTACTTTGTACATAAATTTTAAGAGGGGGTCATTCACATTGTACATGCTTCTCCATAAAAGTCATCATCACCATCCACCCCCTTCCCCTTGCCATATATTATGAACGATCCCTAGAGATAGTGGTCCAGAATCTGTATGAAGTTACAGTAAGGATGGGAATGTGGGTGCTGCTTCTGAAGTGATTGTTTATTGTAATAATATGGAGATATAATTGACAATGATGATTTACCTTGTGCTGTAGACCAGAAAACTAAGCTAATCAGTGTGATACACTGGTAGTGTTACTTACACTGGGGGAGACAGGAGGAATGAAAACTCAAATGCAGCGGTATCTATTCCAGGTGCTGCAGCAAGAGGTCGGGGAGAATGTCAATGTGCAGTCCAGTGGCTCTCGGGCAGGGCCAACAGTGGCTGGAATAAGGGGCAGGGCACAGGAGAAGTCAATTGACACTGCAGAATAAGGTTGGCAGGGCATGATGGTTGACACTGCAGAATAAGGTTGGTGAGGTGGGAGGTCGGGAGAATGTCAATGTGCAGTCCCTTCTCAATGCCAACAGTGGCTGGCGGGGCAGGGCACAGCAAGTGTTGACACTGCAGAATAAGGTTGGTGATATGATGGTATGGGAGGTCGGGGAGAATGTCAATGTGCAGTCCCTCCTGAACGCCAACAGTGGCTGGTATGGGAGGTTGGGGGCAGGCAGCACAGCAAGTGGCTTGTTGACACTGCAGAATAAGGTTGGTGATATGATGGTATGGGAGGTCGGGGAGAATGTCAATGTGCAGTCCCTTCTCAACGCCAACAGTGGCTGTCGGGGTAGGGCACAGCAAGTGTTGACACTGCAGAATAAGGTTGGTGATATGATGGTATGGGAGGTCGGGGAGAATGTCAATGTGCAGTCCGTCCTGAACGCCAACAGTGGCTGTCGGGGCAGGGCACAGCAAGTGTTGACACTGCAGAATAAGGTTGGTGATATGATGGTATGGGAGGTCGGGGAGAATGTCAGTGTACAGTCAACTCACAGGCATACCAGTTGGTTGATTGTAAATTTGTACACACCTAAGTTGTTGAAAGTATTGGTAGGTGTAACACCAGGCTGTTAGGTGCAGCTGACCATGCTGTTTAACATGATCCAAGTAAACTATGGTCTTAGTTTTTGGATCTTATAAATGAAATATCCTCCCATGGACAGTGATTAGCACCAGTTTTCTTGCCTGGTAGTTTAGACTTTCTGTGTTATATTACTACCGATCATTTTATCCTAAATTGATAAGAAATCATGTTAAAGTTATCATTTTCATTATAGCTTACACTGAACATTATTCCATCTCAAGCTTAACTATTGTTCTTAACATCAGCCTCAGATGTTTAATATGAAATGATATTTAATACCATACTTCTGATGTACGTCTGTGTAAGGGTATATTGTGTGTCATGTGATAATCATGATGATGTCATAACTGCACAGATAGAGGACCTGAAGACCCAGCTGGAAGCTGCGCAGGGGAAATCGGGGAAGGAAGGAAGTCTTGAGGACCAGATGCTAGGGAGGACATCAGCACGGCGGAGGACGCAGGACGAGAAGTATAGGGAAGAACTGCGGAAGGTGGAGAAGGAAAGGAAAGAGGCACAGGAGGTGGTTGTTCATTGATTTTGTTGTTGTGGGGAATTCCTGATAAAGATCTTAGTTAGAACTGGACTTCAATCCAGGTGACAAGATTAGATTATAGATTATAAGGTTTGCTGACTTGGTTCATGCATATCATCTTATCCCAGATGGGTAGATCAATACTCATCGTGTCAGTCACTGGATTGTCTGGTCCATACTTGATACTGGCTACTGCCCTATAGCTTGAATATTGCTGAATACACCGGTAAACAATAAACTTTGTGAAATGTCAAAACATCAAAAACAGGAGACAGTCATGATGATAAATGTTATCTCTTTGGACTTTGTTACATGGAAGACTAAAACTCCCCAGCATAGCTGAGACATGGTTGATGTCAAGCAATAATTGGCTGTCAACTTATCATGAACTTTTGTGATGGCTATTAAACCAAACAGTTTATTCACAGAGGTGATGGGCTGGCATTGTGGTTGATGACTTGGGCCACAAATGCTTGGTTTTGATACTTGCCCTTGTGTCCCGGTCTGATTCTATTGTAGTCAAGAGAATCACTTAATTGTTATGGTCATTAGTGAGCGAGTGACTTTAGTTTTATGCTGCACTCAGCAGTATTACAGCTATATGGTGGCAGTCTGTAAATAATCCAGTGTGGACCAGATAATCCAGTGATCAACATCATGAGCATTGTTCTACGCAATTAGGATACGATGGCATGTGTCAACCAAGTCAGCGAGCCTGACCACCCGATCCCGTTAGTTGCCTCTTACAACAAGCATGGGTTACTGAAGACCAAATCTACCCTGGATCTTCAGGGGTAATGTTATGGTCATTAAGATTTTGTATACTGTACTCATCACAACTGAATGATTTCTAATGCAGTGCTATATTACACGTTGATGAAACCTGGAGAGAAACTTTGAGATAGCAGAAGAAAAAACTTCATGAATTTGTTTGTGTTTGATATATATGATCATGAACAAAAAGGTTTGAGTAATCATTAAATACTGCTGTACAACACATTTCAAAATAGAATTTAGCAAAAGAAGGTATTAACAACCCATAAATGTTCATTCAGAGTTTAGAAACATTACTTAGTTCAGTTTAAATGTTATTGAAGACTCTGTGATGGTGTCCACGTGAAGCATGTAATGACATTGAGTTTTAACTGCAGAGGGCTGCTTCTGAGCTGAAGGCCTTGGAAGAAGATCATTCCACACTGAAAAACAAAATGGATGCTTGCAAAGCAAGGTACTTGAACATTTATTTTTCTTATATCAATCCTTCCAAATACACTTTGCTGCAAAAGTATTTTCTTACTCAAAATGATTGATGTGTGTGTTCAGGAACAAGGTGCTGTCCAATGAGACCAAGTCCCTGAAGCAGCAGATACAGACTCTCCTGGAGAAGGGAAAGAATGACGATGAGCTGGTGCAGGCCCTCATGGTGAGTGTCAGCAGGGTGTGAGATGGTGGTGAGTGTCAGCAGGGTGGGAGATGATGGTGAGTGTCAGCAGGGTGTGAGATGGTGGTGAGTGTCAGCAGGGTGTGAGATGATGGTGAGTGTCAGCAGGGTGGGAGATGGTGGTGAGTGTCAGCAGGGTGGGAGATGGTGGTGAGTGTCAGCAGGGTGGGAGATGGTGGTGAGTGTCAGCAGGGTGGGAGATGATGGTGAGGTCAGCCAGGTGTGAGATGATGGTGGAGTGTCAGCAGGGTGGAGATGATGATGGTGAGTGTCAGCAGGGTGGGAGATGATGGTGAGTGTCAGCAGGGTGGGAGATGATGGTGAGAATGTCAGCAGGGTGGGAGATGATGGTGAGTGTCAGCAGGGTGGAGAGATGGTGGTCAGCAGGGAGTGTCAGCAGTGTCAGCAGGGGGGGTGGGAGATGATGGTGAGAGTGTCAGCAGGGTGGGAGATGATGGGTGAGTGTCAGCAGGGTGTGAGATGGTGGTGAGTGTCAACAGGGTGGGAGATGATGGTGAGTGTCAGCAGGGTGGGAGATGATGGTGAGTGTCAGCAGGGTGTGAGATGATGGTGAGTGTCAGCAGGGTGTGAGATGATGGTGAGTGTCAGCAGGGTGGGAGATGATGGTGAGTGTCAGCAGGGTGGGAGATGGTGGTGAGTGTCAGCAGGGTGGGAGATGATGGTGAGTGTCAGCAGGGTGGAGATGATGGTGAGTGTCAGCAGGGTGGGAGATGACAGGGTGGTGAGTGTCAGCAAGGTGGGAGATGATGGTGAGTGTCAGCAGGGTGATGGTGGAGATGGTGAGAGGATGGTGAGTGTGTGTCAGCAGGGTGGGAGATGATGGTGAGTGTCAGCAGGGTGGGAGATGATGGTGAGTGTCAGCAGGGTGGGAGATGATGGTGAGTGTCAGCAGGGTGGGAGATGATGGTGAGTGTCAGCAGGGTGGGAGATGATGGTGAGTGTCAGCAGGGTGGGAGATGATGATGTGGGAGGGTGAGATGATGGTGAGTGTCAGCAGGGTGGAGAGATGGTGGTGAGTGTCAGCAGGTCAGCAGGGGAGATGGTGGTGAGTGTCAGCAGGGTGGGAGATGATGGTGAGTGTCAGCAGGGTGGGAGATGATGGTGAGAGTGTCAGCAGGGTGGGAGATGATGGTGAGTGTCAGCAGGGTGGGGAGATGATGGTGGAGTGTCAGCAGGGTGGGAGATGATGGTGAGTGTCAGCAGGGTGGGAGATGGTGGTGAGTGTCAGCAGGGTGGGAGATGATGGTGGTGAGTGTCAGCAGGGTGGGAGATGATGGTGAGTGTCAGCAGGGTGGGAGATGATGGTGAGTGTCAGCAGGGTGGGAGATGATGGTGAGTGTCAGCAGGGTGGGAGATGATGGTGAGTGTCAGCATGGGGTGGGAGATGAGTGGTGAGTGTCAGCAGGGTGGGAGATGATGGGTGTCAACAGGGTGGGAGATGATGGTGAATGTCAGCAGGGTGGGAGATGATGGTGAGTGTCAGCAGGGTGGGAGATGATGGTGGGTCAGCAGGGTGGGAGATGATGGTGACAGGGTGGGAGAGTGTCAGCAGGGTGGGAGAGATGATGGTGAGTGAGTGTCAGCAGGGTGGGAGATGGTGAATGTCAGCAGGGTGGGAGATGATGGTGAGTGTCAGCAGGGTGGGGGTGGGAGAGATGATGGTGAGTGTCAGCAGGGTGGGAGATGATGGTGGTGAGAGTGTCAGCAGGGCAGGATGAGTGATGGTGAGGACATGGTGGGGAGATGATGGTGAGTGTCAGCAGGGTGGGAGAGTGTGATGGCGGGTGCAGGGTGGGAGATGATGGTGTCAGCAGGACAGGGTGGGAGATGGTGATGTGAGCAGGGTGGACATGGTGAGGAGATGATGGTGAGGGTGGACAGGGTGGGGAGATGGTGGTGAGTGAGGTGGACAGGGTGGGGAGATGGTGGTGAGTGTGGACATGGTGGGAGATGATGGTGGTGATGGTGGGTGGACAGACAGGGATGGGTGATGGACAGGGTGGACAGGGTGGACTGGGAGATGGTGGTTAGGGTGGACAGGGTGGGAGATGGTTGTTAGGGTGGACAGGGTGTGAGTTGCTGGTGAGGGTGGACAGGGTGGGAGATAATGGCAATGGTTGGACAGGGTGGGAGATGTTAGCCAGGTATTGTTGAACATAGCTTTCTATCCTTATTTAAACCATCCCCTGGTAAATGCCCTTGTGTCCATCCTGACAGAGGCAGCTACAGCAGCTGAAGCAGATGTTGGAGGCTTCAAATGTGCACCAGCAGAGTAACATGGAGCGTCACCAGGAGAAGTTGAAGGACATGAATGTCAAGGTGCAGCAGGACAACAACATCGTGGAGCAGCTCAAGGCCATAGTTGCGAGAAGGAGCAGAAGGTCAAGGTCTTGGAGAGTGAGATCCATCAGATGAAGCTCAATGTAAGCGCTCACATCATTTTCATTGTTGTTGCTCCTGTTGTTGTTACGGTTAGATGTGCTGTCATGGATCATAGCTTGAAATTATTGTGCATTATTACTCAATTTACCCTTTCAGCTTGTATCCCTGAATATTTTCACATATCTTCATTTTCTAGTATCTGTAAATGCTACTGCAGTAAATAATTGTTTCTTGTAAGTGACACATATATCTGTATTGTATGCAACACGTGACACACTTTGTGCAATACATGAACAGAATAAAGTCAGCAGAGTATGTGAAACACCTGTTTAAGCAAAATTATTTCAGAAGATGTGTAATTATTGGTTTCACTTTGAATAATAACATGTCAGTAAGTACTCCATGGCTTGATGTATTATTATTGCTGGGACCATTAAGTTGATTGAGAGGAATCTTTGCTCAATTTGTGGATGTTATAGATACTACCATAGTGACAACTTGTTCTTATTCTGGAGCTCCTTAGCCTGTGTTAGCGCCAGGAATATTGGTAGAAATAGAGAGAAAGTATAGTTTACCTATATTGGAAGTACTTCCTGTGTGTGTGTAGCACATCCAACGAGCCCAGATGGAGAGCGTGTCAGCCATGTTCCAGGAGCCACGCCCACCCTCTGGACCAGTCAGCAGTCGCCCTGGCACAGTGGCATCAGATGGTGGAGATACTATTGTCCTTACAACAGTCACACCACCAGAATCAAGGTACAAACTAGGTCCACTAGTCTAGTCACTAATCACTAGTCACAGACAATGCAGACAGTGTATTTGACACTAATTCAGTCATTCAGTTACACCTGAAATGTTTGAAACATTACAGATCTTTGAGGGGTTTGTTATTTTCATATTCCCTGGCTCCAGTGTGGGATGGGTCTAAATTTACTACCCAGGTAACTAAAACTCTTTTACCCGACCCTGCCTTCATCGCTACTATCGTTGACTACATTATTCACAGTTGGTTATGAATACATGCCATATTTATTGGTGTAATCTGTACACATGTTCTAAATACATGCCATATTTTTGGGTGTATTATGCACAAATGGAACCGGATAATCCTGTGGGTACCCACATCACACTCAGGATTCACCCAGTCCGGGTACCTGAGTTACCTGTCCCCGCCCGAGTAGGATGTGCACTGTACCTGCTTGATGATATGTATGTCTCAAGCCTCAGATCATGCAGACTGAATACTTGTGATGTTATTTCAGACAAAGTGACCGGCCACCGACCAGCAACAGGATTGTAGAGAGTGCCAGATCTCTGTCGCGAGTCTCTGCCAGACCGACATCAGCAAGGTGAGTACAGTTGTGTATGGGGTTTCTGTAGGCACATTAAGATTTATCTTGCCTCACACATAAATGTCGTTTTCTGATTGGCTTAGAGCTCTTCTATTATTTTCAATGTAACCTGCTTACAAGCAAGTAACATTTTCTATGTACCCTGCTGGGAATGCCGAACTCATTTGGTACTTTGTAGCAGTAATTCTTTATCTCGAATAACATTGAATGATGTACGGAAATTACCGATGTTTTGCAAATGCAAATCGATGGAAGGGGGATAACTCTTGTTGTCTGCTACTCCATACTATGATCCGAAATGCGTGCTTCAAACAGTTCGAAATTACCATTGAGGTGTGCGGTAAGATAAATACGTTGTTCACTGGTCCCTCGGGGCCCATGGGTTGATGTACCCTTGATGTTTCTTTATGTTCTTGCTCAGGGAACATAAACAAACATCGAAGGTACATCAGCCCATGTCCTCCTAGAGACCAGTGAACAACTTATATTGTTTTCAATTAATACCAACAGATCATTGACTTATATTGTAATAAGACCCTGATTAGAAATCAGTAACACATGCTTGTTGTAAAAAGCGACTAACGGGATCAGGTGGTTGGGTATGGTGATTTGGTTGATGCATAATAACATCTGCCAACTCTGTTGATCTTTGCTGAACATATTAGTCACTGGTCCAGACTATTTACAACCCACCATCATATTGTTGGATTATTGCTGGATCGGGCCTTATACAACAAATATTTAATGATTCCCTGACTGTGGTTGTGTTGGTAGCAACATGAACGGCAACAACATGGTGTCTGGAATGGCTGAGCTCCAGTACCAGTGTCAGGAGTACCACACCATGATGCAGGTGGCTGACGTCGAGCGGGAGAAGCTATCCGAGCTGGTGCATGTTCTACAAAAGAGGTGACTAGATAACTACAAAGTTGTAGTGTTTCTTTCCTTTTGATGTTTAATGTGTGAACTTCATAAGGCACCAATTTACATTTTGCAACAATATGTTTCATGTACTTGAAATCCCACAAATCTTCCTCTTTCATCCCACTGTTTCAGGATTGTGTTGTACCTATTAACTTCACATGATAGTGAGCATTTCTTCTGCATAATTTCTGACCTTTTGAAAACATTTATGAACTTGAACTTGATGGAGGTTTCAGGAATGTAATTGATCGTGAAAACAGGTGGACAAGTAGCGTCTGTGCTTCTGTATGTGATACTTATTCAATTCATTATGAGGGGCGGTGAGGTAGCCTAGTGGTTAAAGCATTGGCTCATCATGCCGAAGACCCGGGTTCAAATCCCCACATGGGTACAATGTGTGAAACCCATTTCTGGTGCCCCCCCGCCGTGATGTTGCTGGAATATTGCTAAAAGCGGCGTAAAAATCAAACTCAGTCAGTCAGTCAATTCATTATGAAAAGTGAGAAAGTGACAAGATTTTTCGGTAACTATTGCCTTTATACCATTTTACTTCAGGATTGATGAAACATCAAGCAAAGTGAATGACATGCAATCAGAGCTAATCCAAGAAAGGAAAAAGAATGTTGTGTTAGAGAAAAAGCTTGGCAAAGCCAAGTTAGACCCAGCCTTAACGTCCAGGAGTAGTGCTAATGTGAAGACAGGCAGAATGCAGACAGGCAAGACATCGGCCTCTACCGTCAGGGAGTCCATCACCAACCTCGACAATGTAGACAAGTTGGACCAAACAGAGATCGAGGAACTCATCACTAGGTGAGTATACATTGCTTCATCAGATTGGAAAGTACACCAAATATACAATCAGTCAGAACTGTTGGCACTGGTACCCACAAATTAGGGCCAGTTAGCTGAGGCTCCACAAGTCAATGTGCTGAGTTGCCTCCCTTCAGTGTGCCAGAAACCTATGGACAGGGGTTTGAATTCCTGATTAAGTTTTTGGTTTGTTGGCTCCAAACCAGTGTGTGTCGGTTTTACCAAAGAGGTAAACATCCAATAATGTCTTGCTCGTAAGGTTTTCCTTCCTCAACAACTTGACATAACGTGATATAACTGAAATACTGTAAATGTATACTCACTCACATGAATTGAGACGCATGTATATATTCAATGTTCAGGATTGATTTGGTTTAGCTTATTTATTTCAGCTGAGATATTTAAATGTGATAAAATTTTATAGAAATGTTTGCATTGGTTCCAGTCTTGAAATCCAGCGTGATGAAAATGATGCCCTCAAGGTGGCACTACAGAGCACTCTGAAGGCTAAGGAGGAGGACCTGAAGCTCTACAGTGACACAATGGATGAAACCAAGAAAGTATTCCTCCAGGCTCTCCGACAGTTCAAAGGAAAACCTCAGACATCATCTTGATCATCAGCTACAAACACTAGGAATGTTCAGACACAACGCCAACTCACTATCTCATCATCAGCTACATACTCCCTGACAGCATCTCAGTCATTAGTCACTATGTGTCCTTTCAGTCATCCTATATAAGTCTAGCAGAATTATTGTATAATATGTTGGACAGAAGAAGGTAGACTTGGTGAAATGTGATGTGCATAGTTTTCAGAGATTGTGTTTTGTGGCACAGTTTGATAATACAGTGTTACATCCAGTCAGGAATCTGGTGGACATCTACGTACATTTTATATGAAAAATGAACAGTACTCCATTCCCATGTCACTGGTTAATCTTGGAAGCATTCCAGTTTTACAAGATGTCACTGTATTGAGTCAAAAGACGGTCTGAAGCCACAATACTTCTGTATGTAGGTGTCTGGTGGTAAATTCTGGTAGGTTCTTGACATGCTGACATGTTTGGAACACCACTTCATGAAGTTTGACAACCCTGCTGATGCTATTTACGCTTTCTTGGCCAATGTTTGTTTCTCGTTCATCACATGAAATGTTTTGTAAGACATTATTGTTGAGTTGATAGTAATCGTCTGTTTATATGTAGATACTATAAACATGGAAATGATATGGTCTTGCTCAAGCTTTTTTCAAATATTCCATCCATCTCTGTTCCATATGTAGCAAGTTGTCTTGTCTTGGTTTTTGATGCAGTATTTTACTGAAACTTTTTACCCTTCCTGTGAGCTTGTACATTTTATTCATGATCCTCCTCAAATATGTGCATTATTCTTGGGTGTCTGATGAAACAAGCATAATGCTGACTAAAAAAAGATCACAATTATTTCAAATATGAGACTTAGTGGATCCTTGCATAACTTGGGGACACAAGGAAAACATAAGACTATGGCCTCTCATGTCCTTGGTGGTGAATGTTTTGCACTCAACATGAACATGACTTGCATCCAAACATATCAGCAACCTGTAGTCTCTTAGTTGGTGTGGGCTATGTTACATTATTGCAGACTTAAACATAAAACATTTTGCTTGGCTGTCCAGTCAAATGCCACAGAATTTTCCGTTTATTCAGTAATATTTTGCAGCAAGTCCACTGGGGATGCAGGTTCATCATCCTGCTACACAGTTTTACACAGATAATGTGATAGTCTCAGATGTTATCACATGTTTCATAAGAGGGAGAGAGTTTAGTTTTATGCTGCTTTCATCAATATTCCATCAGGGGACACCAGAAATGGGCTTCACACATTGTCCCCATGTGGAATCCAACCTGAGTCTTCGGTGTGACGAGGCTACCCCCACTGCCCCCATTCCATAATAGGAGATGCTCCAAGAAGGTACAGGTGGCTTGTAGATTCTGTTCTGGCACTGATCATGCGAAGCTGTTTGCATTCACATCATTGCTGAAGCACATCCATTACCTTTGTTTTCATCACAATTATGATGTGAGATATGTATATTTATTCATAATGATATGCATCTACAGTTGTTGAAAGTGTTGTTTTTCATAAAACCCAAAATGAACAAAAATGCAATGCACAAATAAACTTGATTCCAAAGTTGTCTCTTGTATGGATTATTATGTGACAAGCTGTGTTTCAAGGACTGTTCCTCTCGGGTTCCAGGGATGTAATAAGACCAGTGGCAATGACTGCATTGTGGCCCTGTGCTATGAAATGATGCTCAGGCAATCAACTTCTGGTCTGAAACTTTATCTACAGGATGCAGTATGATGTAACATGATTGAGATGACTGAATGAAAGCTGTACAGCGGATGCAGATATTAGAGACTTAGTCTAATCAACTAATGCTGGTAAAATGTTGTGACTTATGGGTCGTTAGACATGGCAGATATAGTTGACGACTTGGTCTTCGTGTCCTGGTGGATCGTGGCTCACAATATCAGTTACTGAATTTTCCATTTCTTACATGATAATGTCAAGATGTTGGACTGGATATGGAGAATCAGGGATTTACCTTGAGTTCTGTATCTGAGGGTCCTTGGGACTCATACTCTTAATTTTCAGGGGTCCTGGACTACAAAAGATGGGTCCCAGACACTTAAATATTATTACTAGTACTGTTATTGTATTGTGTATCATGATCCTCACATTAATTGTTGCAGTAATTAAATTGCAAATGATACCATTACCCAGCTAGTAGCAAACTCAGTGATAACTTATTGTTATTTGATTGAAATTTTAACAATAAGTATTTGAACTTTTTTCTGCATCCCTGTGGATGCGCTAATAAATCTTGTTGCGTCCTTTGTCAATTTTTATGAGTATAGGACGCAGGAATTCGCGTCCTGTAAATCCCTGGAGAATTACTGCCAAAATCTGTACAGGCAATCTAGAAATTCTGCTAATAAGCTGACAGATACCCTAATATACATTCCTATTCAGAGGGATATGTCAGTACAAACACGCTGACTGTATACTGAATTTGTCAATATGTAGACCCTGACATACAATGGGGCGAGTGAAAAGTTGTGAAACTAATTTAGACTGATTTATAATCATAACCATAATCCTCTCAATATTTGTACACTTGTGTCAAAATTGGTGGCAATTTTTTCCCGGTTTCATAAAAGACCTTTGCTTGGCTGTCCAGAAGTTCTTTAACCTGTTTACAGCTGCTATGCCATCATTTGTTGATTGAAATGGATTATGGGTAGAGATTTCAGATGGTAGAATATACCAGATCATGAGAATAAGGTTGATGCTGAAGGAGTTCAAAGTCACACTGATGGATTGTAGCCATGGCAATGCCTAACATATTTGATAGTAAGTGAGTATGGTTTTACGCCGCTTTTAGCAATATTCTAGCAATATCACGGCAGGGGGACACCAGACATGGGATTTACATGTTGTACCTATTTGGGAATCAAACCCAGGTCTCCAGCATGACGAGCAGATGCTTAATCCATTAGGCTGCCCCACCACTCTGCCTGATTTATGAACTGGTGCATCTTTTCTCTCCTTTTAATGTCTCTTGCCCTAAAAGCGTTGGCTCGTCACGCCGAAGACCCGGGTTCGATTCCCCACATGGGCACAATGTGTTAAGCCCATTTCTGGTGTCCCCCGCCGTGATATTGCTGGAATATTGCTAAAAGCGGCGTAAAACTAAACTCAGTCAGTCAGTCAGTCTTGCCCTAAATTTCATTCATAAAACTGTCAAGGTGCACAATAACATGCACTGTCTTTGTCTATTCTTATAAAGACTGTCTGTCATTATGATACACAGTCTGAAATGATGTTGGTCTCTCTTCCAAAAGACAGGGTTTCCAGACCATATCCTCATTTAAAGACACAAAAGAGCATGAGTTGTGCATTAATTTAACAATATCGGTAAGAACTGCATCCAACTGGTTGTAACAGGTGACATATGGGGTCTGGATGTCAGACTTGCTGACATGGTTGATGAGTGTCATAGTATTCCAGTTGTGACAATAAGTGTTCATGATGTCAATCACATGGCTGTTTGCTCAAGATATATTTGTAAGACTGACATCATATATGGAAACTGGACTGACTGACTGAGTTTGGTTTTACGCCGCTTTTAGCAATATTCCTGCAACATCACGGTGGGGGACACCAGAAATGGGCTTCACACATTGTACCTGGAAACTGGAATATTGCTGAGTGCAATTATGAAAAAATTACAAATTTGACACAGAATTTACATTTCAAGAAAAACTAAAATGTCAAAAAATATTTTTTTGGACATTTTATTAACATAACATTACTGTTTGATCTCTGGTCCTGATGACATTTGTTACATTGTCAAACGTTTCTGCTACATGAATGGTGACACTGGTAACACTGAAGAACTAATGATCTTCACATGTTTTGAAGTCATAAGAACTGTCTCCATGTCAGAATCCCAATATTGAAAACAGTTTTGGTAAGCAATTCATTTTCCACAGTATAAACCTTTCTTTCCCAAATTTTATACATCAAACACAATAGGCTTCTCTTCTATCACTTGAACAGTTGACTTGTACAGCTGAGATTTGGAATATTGTCCTGCGTATGCTGCATATTCAGGCTGATGTTATAAACACATGAGAGATGAAAGTCTACATGATGAGGATGACTGTGTTCGTACACAGCTAGGTCTTCATGGGTTCACTGCCATCAGGGTTCTTGCCTTTCTTCTCTAGTTCAGCCCTGAAACAGACATGTATTTCAGTGACTTAACAGTTATGGGTGCTTTATTTCATGTCTTGAAGATGTTCATCAAATATTTTAAGAAGTGAAAAAACATATGATCAAACCAAATCCTTAAATATTGTATGATCGTGTATGACAAATACCTGTCAAACACCTTATAAGTGATGAGTATTGGACTGAATTTTGTGGTGCAGTTCATAGCAATAATGATTCATGTATTGCAATACATACCACAAAATATTACATAAATTCTATCTGTAATTGGCTATGAACCTGAATGAATAAAATATCCCCCCAAACCCTTCTGTCTTCTTACTTTGTTGGATGTTATGGTGGTCACGATAGATTCGTAATAAACACAGTAATCTGCTTGTAAATTGTTTCCCTACTCTATCAAAGGAAACACTTTCTTAATTTGACTTGTTGATAGTTGTCACTTTCGGAAACATTTCCAGCAAGATGAAGATTGAGCATGATTTCGAAATTCTCAACTCACAGGTTCTGTGATACATATTCATTATATTTCACATCATTGTATACTGGTAATACAGGCACATTTTTTATCAATACAAACAAACACTCAATAGTATATTCTTTGTTAAAATGTCATAAGTAACATTACTAATACTGTTGTTAATGTGTAAGACTTGTCTTCATGTCTGACAGTCATTTCTATCAAGAAGTGAGTGAGTGAGTGGGGTTTTACGCCGCTTTTAGCAATATTCCAGCAACATCACGGCGGGGGACACCAGAAATGGGCTTCACACAATGTCTCCATGTGGGGAATCGAACCCGGGTCTTCGGCGTGACAAGCGAACGTTTAACCACTAGGCTACCCCACCGCCCCTTCTATCAACATGATCAAGAATACTGCATATGATGACTGGTAGATAAAGGAATGGAGCAGTACCTGAGTTGTTTAGAGAAATCATCCTCAATATTGTCATCATCCCAGTTGTCTTCCCACACCTTCACATCTTCTGGGTCTTCATCCACAGCATCCCAGTCTGCCAATTACAAACAGTAATAATCAGTATTAAGCAGTGACATTATGACTGATCAAACATTAACATATATTGTTACTTGATCTTATGATGAAGAAACAGGACACTTTCCAGTTATTGACCAGCAAAATCTGTGTACATTTTGCAACATAATAATAGGGCTGGGACGATACAATGTGTCACAATACGATACATATTGCGATATTTTACCTGCGATATGATATGTATCACGATACATACACCTTGAAAGAATGACACAGTATTAAAATTTAAAATGATTTATTTGAAGGTATTTGTGTATAACAATAACACTATTGTAATAAACAAACAAGTAACTCTATCATACTTGCGTATTTTTCTTTACATAAGTACTTTAACATGTTAAAGATAATACTGGTTTGAAAAGAAAGTTGTGTATAGTTTTGTATCGATACACCAGTCGACGATACAATAACTGTATCAAACTAAAATGTATCAGTGCATCGGTCAATCGTCCCAGCCCTGCATAATAATAATAACGATACATACATATTACATACAGAATTAAGGAAAGCTAGATTAGAATAGATGCATACTACATAAAAATTAGGAAAGGCTATTGATGATAATATTAAGCAAAGAGGTCAGTCCTAACACGAGGCCGTACTACCTTGCAAAATGTTGTCACTTTTCCACTGGGAACCATTATTCAACGTTCACTTTCATTTCAGTGATTAAAGTAGAAAACACTGCAGCCATATTCAACCTTGTTTCTGGCACGGGGTTGAAGCATCACATCAAGGTTCCTGTGTCATGATTTTTAGGCTAATGTTCAAAAGGCCATTCAAGTTCAACATGTTCAACATTCTATCAAGATAAAGATATTCGTCTGCTGGACAGTAATTATTTTTAGCCTATCCATGAATAAGCATTTATTACGAATATTAATGTCATTTATATGGTAAGAACTACGGACTTCCCTTTTTTGTTGAAGTATTTCAAAATACATGCTAAACAGCTTTCAGTAGGCTAGAACAGGCGACACGAAATTGAATCATGAATGAGTAACACAGGGCAGTCGCCACATGGTGAATTCCGTTAACTCTGTGTATATAACCTGATAGTTTGGCCTAAAAGTAGACATATTGTCGTTATGTGGATCTTTGCACTGGTTATTACCTTCAGCTGGAAACTCCTCAAATTCGTCGTCTTCTTCTAAAAGACCTAAGTCAGGCTTCTTTTGTGGTTCGGCCGCCATGATGAAATGGAATGAAAAGATTAAAAGACGGACAAATCCGCACACTACTAATGTCTGAAGCGCTCGTAATATCCCACTACACAGTCATACATATTATAAGGCAAAACCTGTACATCGATGATTGATTTACTTGCATCAGATGGAAAATGGACTAAGAAATCACGAATCCTATCTGCGTATCGTGGTTGCCAGTCAAATCGCCCCAGCTACAAAATGCTACAACAAATTTGTCAAAATGTCCCTGATTTTTGGTCAAATTGCCCCAGGTTTGGCCCCAGGGGGTAGTCAAAATGCCCCAATTTATTAAAAATGATTAAATATATGCCATAGATGCAGAGTTTTTGTCAACTTAGACATTATATTCTTCATATAATATTATATAGTAATATTTCTGATAAATGTTCCATTAGTAAACTAATAAGAGCAAAAGTAATATTCATGTAATACCAACATTATTTGCATGTTATTAATGCTTTTGTCAAGAATTACAAGAATAAAATGAAATGTTTGTATAATATGTTTATTGGCCGTAAATGCCTAGTTTTTGTCAACTGGGATATTATAATCCTCATATAGAAGTTAGTAAGAAATCACATGTCTTTCTTTCTGTCTTTTTTTCTGTGTCAGACCCAGTATTGTGGAATAGTATCCCTTTTGAAGTCAGATCTACAAACTCAATTGGCTCTTTCCGCCAATCCTTGAAAACATTTTTATTCTCCAATTACTTTTAACTTCTGTATTGTTTCATGTTTCTATTTATGTAAAGCACCACTGAGCATGTAACATATGTTATATTTGAGATAACACTTTCTTAGCAAAGTACAGATTCTAGTACTTTTGGTTTGTTTGTTTTTCTCTTTTTGGGGGGTTTGCTAATTTCAAAAAGAAGAAGTTAAGCTTAATCTTTCACGTCATTAGGATTTTAATGACCCTACTTTTGTCCTTATGCTGTTCCCCAATGCCTTTCTCTGATGGTAGCTGAAACTTTAATCACACAGTATCACACTTCGGGGGAAGTTGTTCTGTTGTGTTGGGAACTTTCATTTTGTTGGCTTCGTCTCGGTTAATTGATCCGGATGTGGAAGAAATATATTCTCTCCGAGAGTAGAGAGTTCTTTCAACTTATCTCCCCTTGTTGATTCCTCGCGCCGTACTGTTCTGAGTGAGGATTGTTTACAAGAGGATATTGTTTTAATAACGTTTTGTCAGCCAATGTCTGTTAAAGTTTCATGAGGAACAGACTACATTTTGGGAAAGACTTTTGCCCCTACCCCCCTTAAATTTTGAAAAGCCCTAACCGAACCCTAAAGTTAAAACATAAGTTGGCATAACCCATATTTTATGGCCCCTAGTCAAATCATATTCACTGAATATATGTATCTTTTTCCTCATCGTTAAAATTTGGAAGGGGTGGGGGTGGGTAGTAGGGGCGGAAGTCTTACCAAATTTGGTATAACGAATCATTTTCAAGTATTTCCATTCACACTTGGTCAGTGTATAACATACTCTACATTACATTGTTAACACTCATTAATTGTTATTGCAGAATAGAGAACCCATGAACACTTGTCCTTCCCATGGCACGGGAAAAAACCCAGTCTAATGCTGAGTTGTTGAGGCAGACATCATGTCCAGTTGTGTTCACTGGACTTACAAACCAGTGGTCCTCCCTAAACTGGACACCGTCTCATCTCGCCCAGGTGCTTCAAGGAAAGACATACAGGTGCAAAATTGCACCCAGGAAGAGCAATGGTATAGGACTATATCTTGTGTATTTTTACACATTAAGATACTCATGGAATTTTGAAAATGTGCACACATGATCTATGAATACCAGTGTGTACTTGTAGTTTGTAAACAATAAAATAACACTCATATGGTCCATTTTAGAAAAGGTGTGGGAAACCGACTGTGCTCACATAGAGGCATCTCTGGCTGACTTCACTGATTGGACAGCTGGTAATACAAGGGCAGGTAACCCCCTCCACCATGTCTCACTCAGGGACTTCTCATGTTACGTGGACTACAAGTACATGTCTGACATGTTTGAGGACTGCAGTGACTTGTTGAAGGTAATTAGCATGCTAACTGACGCAAAATTCTGGTTTTATAGATCGATGCTCATAACGTCAATCACTGGATAGCCTGGTCAAGACTAGAACATTATTACTCCTGTTTATTTATGTTCCAGTCTGTGGACTGGTCAGTGTTTGGACTGAGTGGACGTGACGGCAAGGACAGCACCATCTGGATAGGCAGTGAGGGGGCCTCAACACCATGCCACTATGACACATATGGCTACAACCTGGTGGCACAGATCCACGGCAGGTAGTTGACCATAGTGTATGGATACTCAGGGAATGTACCAACATGTAGCAATGTTCCAGCTGTATCATGTACAGCAGCGTAACAATAATCAGTTGATCATAGCATTCTAATTTTGCATGTAAACCTCTGCTTAAAGATGTCTTTGGTGTGTAGGGTTTATGAGCTTTTGTCAGTGTGTAGAGTGTATGAAGTGTGGATGGTGTGGTGAATGGTAAGTTGAGGGTATGAGTTGTACATGGTTTTATGTGTTGCCTCTATGGTGGCTTCTTGTAATGAGAGCTGTGTTTGGTTCCAGAAAGAGATGGCATCTGTTTCCCCCTTCCTCCACAGAGGCGCTGTACCCAACACGTCTACCCTATGAAGAGTCTAGTGTCTTCAGCGAGGTCAATGTTGGACAGCCTGATCTCGGTAGACATCCTCGGTTCAAGGTATTCACCACACATGACACACAAGATGTAGTACTGTGTTAATTGTTTAATGTCAGCTTGTTAAATTGATTCAGTTTGAAAGTCATAGTACAAACAGAAAGGCTATGTCCTGAAAGATATTGCCTTGTGTAATGAGAGGTTTGAACATGTATGTCAACATGAGTATCCTCTCTTGAAAGACATAACACACAGTTACAGACTGATAACTGCTTCTGATTTTGAGGAGTCATCTGGAGAATCTGTGCAGAGAGAAACTGAGATACAGAGACAAAGTTCTGAAGCATGATCTAGTACCTGCATGGAAAGGGCATGACACTAAAGGCAGTGCACACTTCAGGAACATTTCCTCTCATATTCAGCTTTAAAGTAATAGGCTGCTGAATGTATGTGAGGCTGAAACAGCTCAGATGTTGCATGGTCTGGTTATCCCAAATATGCCACATCTGAAACTCAGTTGGAGGCGGAGCGGTGGGGTAGCCTAGTGGTTAAAGCGTTGGCTCGTCACGCCGAAGACCCAGGTTCGAATCCCCACATGGGTACAATGTGTGAAGCCCATTTCTGGTGTCCCCCACCATGATGTTGCTGGAATATTGCTAAAAGCGACGTAAAACCAAACTCAGTCAGTCAGTCAGTTGAAGGCTGACCACCTATGTTTAAGGATGACCAACATGTTACAGTTTATCTTGTCAATCTCACCAGAGGGATTCGTCCTGGCTCGATACAGTTGTTGTTTGTTAGCACAATACCCATGTTATGTGGATCTGAATACATTTTCAAACTACAGTAATTAATTAGTTTATACAGAACACACTTAGAACAAACTAACAATGTGACAAACTGTTTTGTGGTCCCAGGCTCATACTGTATCTTTTAGTCAAAATGAACTTTGTTTATGACAAACTAAAAGAAGGGGCCCTTTTGGGTTCATTTTAGTGTAGTTACTGCATAGAATTAGCAGATCAGTGCCTAATGACCCACAGTCCTTGTCTCCTCTTGTTCAGGAGAGCCAAGCCGTGGTGGTGACCCTGGAGCCAGGCCAGGTGCTGTACGTACCCTGCCACTGGTGGCATTATGTGGAATGTCTGCAAACAGCCATCAGCATCAACACCTGGGTGGAACTGGTAAGTCTTGTTTTGTAATGATTGTAGAAACAATAAGTAACCCAGAAGTCAATACAGAAGAGAATTCAGTGTGAAACCAACAAACTACAAAGATGTATGCTAATATTAACTAGGTTTACAAATCAATATAGATTACTGCATGGTTATTACACCTGCAGTACTCAATAGAGTGGCAGTACAAAATTCAGTGCCAGTATAAAACAAACTAGCAGTAGTAATTGCAGTATAGGTATACATGTAATACTAGCAGAGATGCCAACCCATATGATGTTATTGCATTTTTTACGAAAAGCAAAACAAAATACGACAACGATGGCAGTAAAAATATACAATTTAAAAAAAACAACATTATATTAAATTATCAAATAGCATACGTAGCATACACAATAAATTTCGATAACATTTTATTCAGTATCAAGCTATATGTGGATACTTACTACTGACTTAATTGAATTAAATGTTAATAACAAGGTCTTAAACTATATATAAATTACATTTTTTGTTTGATATGAAAAGTCTTTGGAAAAGTTAATACTAATTTTGGCCAACAAATACTAATTTTTAAATCATTTTTGGCCAAAATACTAATTGGGCTAAATTAGGGTTGGCATCTCTAGCATTCATTTAGCACAAAAATGGTGAAGCTTCCAAAATAGGCCAAGATGGGATATCCATGGTTACAGTATGATTGTGACAGTTGGTTTTGATGTAATATGAGATGATATAGGCATGCGCTTGTCCTCTATAAGACCAGAAATACCTTCCAGAAGATCCTCACTTTGCTGGAAAGGTCAGTGTAGGAGCGACCAGCTGGGATGACCTGATCAGGATTGGCTCATGTATGTCATGGTATTCCAGTTGTAGAGATCAACACTTACGTGGTCATAGTAATTCTGTCTCTAGTGTTGTCAACATGTTGGGTGATATTGTTATGTGGCAGTGTGATTCTTTGTGAAACAGTGTTATACAGGAGCTGATCCAGAGGGGGGTACCAGGGTGTGCTACCCCCCTGTCCCCCGAAAAAATGTTCCCTGATGCACCCCTGTTATAATTGTTACAGTGTTCCTGTTGGTATACAATAAAGGGCAGTGATGTACTGCTTCTATTTTAGACAGGGAATCTAGAGCAACCAGAATAGTCCTGAGTAGTTTCATCCAGGTTATTACAGACTGGTCCCGAAGGAAAACGTATGGAAGTGTTTTTACATATTTTGTAAAGGGGGCACAGGTTTGCTGTATGATCTCACATTTGATCAAGACATGCGAGTTTTCACCCTGCAGTCCCAATCTGATCTTATTTTGAAAGGTTGGCCACTGTGGCAGATACTGGTAGGTTAACATTGATATCACTGCTACAATCACGGCTTCGGTTGGCCACTGTGGCAGATACTGGTAGGTTAACATTGATATCACTGCTACAATCACTGCTTCAGTTGGCCACTGTGGCAGATATGGGTAGGTTAACATTGATATCACTGCTACAATCACGGCTTCGGTTGGCCACTGTGGCAGATACTGGTAGGTTAACATTGATATCACTGCTACAATCACTGCTTCGGTTGGCCACTGTGGCAGATACTGGTATGTTAACATTGATATCACTGCTACAATCACGGCTTTGGTTGGCCACTGTGGCAGATACTGGTAGGTTAACATTGATATCACTGCTACAATCACTGCTTCAGTTGGCCACTGTGGCAGATACTGGTAGGTTAACATTGATATCACTGCTACAATCACTGCTTCGGTTATGTTACCAGTGTAACATAGTTGAGACACAGTGTTGCGCAGTGGAATTGAAAACTAAACTAACTAAAATTAAAGTATCGAAATATGCTATTTGGGGAACTAAACGTGACTCTCTTGATTAAACTGATGAAATAATTCAAACAATACAAATGGGGAAATAAACGTGAATCTCTTATAACAAATGCTAATGAGGCAATAAACTTAATGTGATACCTTAAATTCTATTATCTACACTATCTAGCTCTATTGCAGCATAAGTCTACTATCTACAGTATCTAGCTCTATAGCAGCTAGCTATATGGAACTTCTATTTCGATGCACTAATACATTCTTTATATCAGTCTATCTAAATCCTATTTTGACGAGCTGTCACCCAGCTCAAGAAACAACCGAACTCAAGGGAAACCTGAACTCAACTCACGTCTAAACTCAATTACGTCTTAACCCAAGCATAACCTGTACACAACTGACCGATCCGACCGTTTCCCACGTGGTCAAGAGCTTGTGGTCTGACCGCACGTGAAAAGTCATGCTTCTCGGTGAGCCGCGAAGCATGGTGCGTTTATGCGATCTGTTCCAACTGTTTTGTCTCCAGACCACACAGAATGTATCTTTTGCAGCCAAGTGATGATGAATGTCGCCTGAGTGAGTCGGTAACCCGAGCCACCATCTCATGTCTTGTGAACAGTGATGCAGGGGCACATCTGGAACACTGGATCAACCCCGGTGAGGTGAGGTCACCATTCATCAAGTAACACAAAAGTCTTGTTCAATAACTGAGAACATTTATGTAACACATGTTTTGGTTCTGTTTTGGACTATGATTTCTAAAACTGTCTCCATTTTCATTGTGGTATTGTCTTTGAACAAAATACCATTTGGGGTTGACCTAACATGGTAAGTATCTTGCTCTGAGCAGTTTCATGTACGTCATGGGAGGAAAAGGGACTTCAGTGTTTCTTACTTTCTTGAAACCCACCAGCAATAGGAAGGACCTGAAAGTCTAACATCATATAATGGGGCAAATCTGGGATTTAGACTCAGGGCGAGCAGATCCTGGTATGGCTTGGAGTAGCAACTCTGCAATATACGCCAATGATACCATGAATAGTTACTAAAACAAGATGTGATGTACAAGGAATGCTTTATCTATAACTGAGAATACCAGTATGCACCCATGAGTGTACATAAGCTTCGTTCATATCATAACTCATTGTCTTCATGTATCAAATTAATGGAGTTGAATTTGTATGTTTTCTGTGGTTTATACTTATCTGAACATTTAGTTCAAGTGTCTGTCCTTTGCTGGCCTTTTGTCAGTGCATTGTTAAACAGTTTTTACTTCACCTCAGAGACCAGGAGGCCTACAAAGCTGAAACTTTGCTAAGATTTGTGCAGTGTTATCTCTAATAACTATTTTGGTAATTATGATCTGATTTGCACCATGCCTGTCATATTATAACTGTCAATACTGAATAGTGAAATGTGTTGGTTTTCAGATCATTGTAACATCATCAGTGTTAGCTTAAGTTTATGTTCATCAACTCTACATGAGTACATGCTGTACTTGTCATCACAATGACAGATCAGCTGAAAGATGATTGTCAAATATCCGATTGTTTGTACTAATTTATACTTATATTTATCACTAACAGCTTTGTAAAACAATAACTCTTTGTATAAAGGTGAGCTTCTGTGCATTGTAGATTTTGGTTGTGAAATCCAACAAAAGGGCCTCCCATCACTGCTCAGAGTATTCTGAATAATTTTTTAAACAAAAGTGTTTTTAATAATTTATGTGATCTCACGCAAGTTTTAAAAAATTCTTGAGAGGTACAAAGCCTTGTCTTCTTTAATAATGGTTTTGATTTGACTGACGTTAACATTCAATTACTTCACAGCAAATAATGCCCATGGATGTTAACCTGACGTATTTGGCCCAATGCCTCCGCTCGCAAGCAGACAAGTCAGCTAATGACTACCTGGAAGCTAGGGGGGTTGGTTCTAAAGATAATCTGCACAGTTTCCTGCAGCATTTCAAAACAAGACAGTTTGATGTGGTACATGCGCCATGGCACATCCCTGGTGGGGCCTCCATAGTGAAGACTTTACCTGGTGATGGTGAAACGAAGCATGACAACAGGGACATGCACCTTGACGACCAGGCACTGGTGGTTGGAGGCTGCAAAAGACACAGTGTTTCTTCTGTTGAGGGTTCAAATGTTGAGATGAAAAATGTTAAAAGAAAAACACCAAATCAGAAATGTACTGATGATATACCTGATGTTGTCCCTAATGAAAATATAGATGATGAAAACCTAGTTGACAAAAAGAAAGCTAGACTTGTTTCAGGGGATATGTGTGTGCATGAGGGCAGTGTTCAAGGAACCTGTGGTATATTTGTCTTACAACCCAGTTGTTTTGACACATATTTCAACACTGTGCATAAATCAAGTCCCAACATGGTATGTGGCTTGGAGGCAGCAGACATTCAGGACATAGGTGATGAGGACTCTGTGAGCCTTGCCATGACACACCACTCAGTAGGTGACACACAGCTACCAGAAGCTTGTGCGTCTGGGCAGGACTCAGTGGAAACACAACATTCAGTATCAGTGGCTCATAATGATTCATCTGATCTTTCAGCTATCAAGGAAATCTTCTTTAAGAGTCTGCTTCATCCTAGAGTCATGAAGGCATTTGAAGAAGAACTTACAAAGAATTATATGTCTTTGATGAAGTAAACTCATTTCTATTCTGCTCAGTGTGCTTTGTTGTTTTGTATACCTTGGTCCTCACATACAGTGTGAAGTCTGCACCTCTATAGCTATATGGTGGAATGGTGGAATCCTGTAATGAACCTGTCTGGACCAGTCATTATGATTATGACCCGACTCAAAACGATCGTGCTGTATGGAGTTAAAGTCCACAGAAACATGTAAAGATTGGATGAACCGTGAAGATTGGATGAACCGTGAAGATTGGATGAACCGTGATGTTTTTCCAGCTGCTCGAGTCCTGTCATTGAAGTCAAGAGTGCATGTCGAATCGTCAGTAAGTATGATATTAGTCTAACGTTGATTATCCCACCGACGTTCTCTACACCTTACCTCGAATGCAAATGACGTTAATGACATGTAGATCTTGAGCACGCAAATTCCCTCTATGCAGATGATCCAAGAACGTCTTTGCACTTATTCTTGCACCAGTTACTAGTCCCTTATCTGAGTGTGCTAACGATTTCTTAACGCTATCCATAGGCGGATCCAGAGGATGTGTGTGTGTGTGTCTATGTGCGTGCATGCGTGTGTGTGTGTTCTGAAAGTTTATTTAATGACCATTGACTCTCGTGAAAAAGAACTGTGCACCCCCTCTTTCCCCAAAAGCTGTACCCGCCCCCAGTTATCGTTTTGACAAATCTGTCCTATCCTGGAGTTGCTGCTCTTTAACATCCAGGCAGCGTCTACCATTAACGTGATGTGTTCGTTGGTATCGGGCGAAATATCTGCTGGCGAGAGATTGAGAAACAAGCAGCGTGTGGCATTCAACTTTCTGACATCTATGGCATATGAACGCTGAGCACGTTCCAAATGTCGCATGATCAATACTGTCACTTCTTTAATGATTACATTAGTTGATAGGTATATTTGGCCATTTGGTTTCAAGAAAACAATATGCGTCTGCTCCCAGCCGAGTCAGAGTGACAATGGAACATCTGGCATACCACCCCTTGCCTGTGCTGTCCGAGCGTGCTTATGACTGTCGTAATGCTGTGTTAGGGAGCTTCATTTCTTACGAAACTTTTCCACGTAAATCGTTTGCTTTTGTAGCCTGATATTGGTACGTGTTCTTGTAGTTTCACCTCCAAACAAGATACCCCCAAGTCTTTTGCTATATGCGACTTCTGGGTGCCTTTGCATCTACCTTACCCCCAAACTACTTCATCTTCTTCACCCAGTACATTTAGGGAATTCCTATTGCTTGGTCGAGACGAACAATATGTCAGTGATCCACAAGGCCGTTTTCTTACATTTTCTCACACAAGTGCAAGATTCATATAGTTTGTGGGCGGTGGGGTAGCCTAGTGGTTAAAGCGTTCGTTCGTCACGCCGAAGACCCGGGTTCGATTCCCCACATGGTCACAATGTGTGAAGCCCATTTCTGGTTTCCCCCGCCGTGATATTGCTGGAATATCGCTAAAAGCGGCGTAGAACCATACTCACCCACTCACTCTTATAGTTTGTAAACCCTCGTTTCCAACACGTTATTCACACAGTTATTGATTGGTATGCTAACTTAAATACAGGATATCTAGTTTCGTGCGTGTGTGCGCGCTCGGATTTGTGAAATGTCACGTGAAAAGTAGGCCTCTGTGGTATATTGGAGGTGCAAAGAACGCCTATTTGACCTGTGGACAGAAGGTCGGCCGTTCCATGCCCAGCGTGATGCCAAAGACGTAAGAACGTAGTACTGAAGGAGATAAGGCATGGACTGGTCGGGGTGACTCAGGGATAAACCCACGAACGTGGGTAGGGTGCTGACAAACCTGGAAACAGAATCGATGTAGACCAGGATTCGAACCCACAATCGTAGGTTTAGGCATGCCCAAACGACACAACTCTGCATATATTGCGAACAGTGGCGCCTTAATCGACTACGTCAACCGCACCATCTCGGAATGTTATACTATGACTGGGTGTAGTATGAATTCCATAGTAGACTGCGGGGTATTTTCTCATTAGGATACACATGTAAAACCAGCATACGTCAAGACTGGTACAAGCAACCACGTAGGCAACCACACACGTGAATGTACGTCTCTACACATATTCCTTCATACAAAACAAATAAAGAACATACTGACATAATGATGTGGGATCATGAGTAATATGAAATAATAACTCATAACTCATATTAGAATTCTGTATGTTTTTAGAATTCAGTATTTTATACCATTCTGTACACATCAACTGATGATATTTAAAAATTATTTACTTTGAAACTTTAGTATTATTTTTACAAATCCAATAGTGTAATTGAAGACAAATGACGTGTCCTTCCATGATGGATACTACGATTAGTTAAAACTCAGTGCGTATCCATAATGTTAGGGCGGTGGACCAATCCCTTAGCAAAATTGTATTTGGAAAATTATTCTGAGGAACTTCTACCTTAATTACAAAGGACAACACAAAGAATATTATGACTGAATACATAATGAAGGCGGTGTTAACAGTTGTCCTATCTACGCCCACGAGTTATTCAGGCCATGGTACATGACACCTCAGCAATAACTGTACTGCAAGCAATTCCGTGGTATTTGATTGGCTGACCAAACACATTTCTTTTCCACTAGGAGAAAAATCTAACAAGCCACTATTTCATAGTTGGCTGGTAACAGAATGGGTGGGGCTTGTGTTGCATAATTGCGCTGAACACGTCACAGATTTCGTATTCTCCTCAGGTTTTTACACCGTAAAGATTAGATGAGCTATTCAGATATTTATGTTGATCGGTGTGACAATACATACCCCCCAGTGTATTTACACAGTGCACACCCTGATCGTCACCTTTGTACCTGCAAAAACACGAAAAATATTGCAATCAATTCTTAAGTATATTGTAAGGAGACGGTATCGCCGATCCCACGACAACCATGATTGGATAACTGTGTTGGCTTTAGACTATCCTTTCTCTACACCGCCTGTGGCCATTCTTCAACAGCAAAAAATCGGCGAGTATTATGAAATACACAAACTTTGAATGTTTGTATCGGTACAGTAAGTGCTGATGGGTTGTTTCATGTCCTGGATGGTGGGTGTGCATGCTCGAAGTACTCCTGTTAATAGACAACACGCTCCTCGGAGTCACTTAGGAAGGGTGTTCACTTAGACGTAGAGCTGTGCCTATGGAATGTTACATTGTGGGGAGACAAGAGGATTTATTGTAGGGTATGATGTCAGTCTTCAAACGGATTTGATATAGTGCTGACTGTATCTTGATATTATAATTCTATTTCTTCCCCATGAATCAGAAGACCTACTGAATAAACTCCAAACCTCCAAACAACAAAATTAGATGTGCCGAGATATATGTTTTTCATACGATCACTGGCTTTTAAATTGTCTTCTGATATATATTATGGACATTTATCAGATATAACTTCTGTTCCAACATGTTCCTAGAAAACTTCTCCCATTACGAAGGATCATGTATCTGCTACTGTCTATTATGACTCAAGTACGGCGGTGGGGTAGCCGAGTGGTTAAAGCGTTCGCTCATCACGCCGAAGACCCGGGTTCGATTCCCCACATGGGTACAATGTGTGAAGCCCAGTTCTGGTGTCCCCCGCCGTGATATTGCTGGAATATTGCTAAAAGCGCGGAAAAGCATACTCACTCTGACTCAAGTAAACCTTTTTGGTGAATTACTTCATTGACAGGCATATAAAAGTTGGAGTACCTAGTAAGTATAGGATTTATGGACGAACAATGTCTTGACGAGGACTGACGTTTCGGTGTAGATTCTAACAGGTTACTGCTTTATTTGCAGTGAGAGCGACGTTTCAACAAACCGGAACGTATGTCATCCTTAAATCTTATCCTTACTTCTTTGGTATTGTGACGACTATTAACGTGTAAAAGAATTTAAAACACCGAGAAAGAAATAATTGTTTGTTTAACCATATCCTTGAGTTATGTGTCGGGTGCCGGAAATAAGCGATGTTTTCCCGCAAATTATATGAGTAACTGAAACACATCTCACCCACTTATACATTATCTCACAATACAAGCCATCATCCCAACATATACAATGTGTCTGTGACGGGATACCTTTCAGTATAGCGACACTAAACATGGTCGTGCAAAGATGTATGATGTCCGAAAACATATAAAACAGAATCCGACGATATAGTACTGGACATCTGAAATACAATTAGCATCACTTCCTGTATAGATACATACGACATGGTCGTTTTAGCTAGAATACAAGAATATTCGTTTTGTCGAGAAATACATGTTTTTGTTTACAAATTGAAATGCAGAAGCGAAAATTTATTCATAAGATATGTCCCATAACATCGGTTATTTGGCAACCTCTATCTGATTTTACTGTTTATTCATTTGATAAGGACCCATGAAGATCCGGGCTAGAATTGGTCTTCAGTAACCCATGCTTGTCGTAAGAGGCGACTAACAGGATCGGGTGGTCAGCTCGCTGACTTGGTTGACACACGTCACCGTATCCCAATTACGTAGGTTGATGTGCATGCTGTCGGTCACCGGATTGTCTGGTCCTGGCGAATCACCGACGTCCATAATAGTACTCGGTTTGCCTTGGACATTTTAGAAATACAGATGCAAGCAGAAAACCCTATTCCCTTGTCAGACCCTTGTCGTCCTAATAGAGGCAGTCAGTGTGCATCCAGTGGAATGCTAGCTCAGGGTGGGGTGGGGTGGGGTGTGTGTGTGTGTTGGGGGAGGGGGGGCAACTGACTACCTTTCTGGATCCTACATTCTACAGTGAAGCCAAGAGTACACTTGCAGGGAACAGTCATTATTTACCACTAAGATATCACAATATCAGAGACCCGTCGTCCAATATAGAGACCGGGTATTGTTCAGGTGGGGAACTGATGACAGCACGTACACTGCTGAAAAGCAAAGCACTTTTTTCAGACATGTGAAATTATTCTGAAAAATTAAAAAGTTCGGCAACACTTTCATATATCTTTGGGTCAACAGGTCGAAACGTATATT